GACGTGATAAGGCGCTATATCAAATGTAAGGATTATTATTAAACATTATTATTATTACATGCTTTGCTCGCACAATATTTGTGGGAGGATATGTAATAAACCTTTTGGCACACTTGTATACACTTTTTCAATGTTACATAGGTTTTGAGATTTTGTTGTTTAGGTGCATAAGATTTTCTAATTAAAGTGACAGATTTTCAGCTTCTGATTGTCTCATTGCAGCTGCAGATGAGCACAAAACTCATTAATTTTTTTTATCTTCACGCGACTTAACTTCTTTAAAGGGATCTGCTTTTGGAGCACGTTAGATTGAATTTGGATCATTAGTTTCCAGTGTCCATTTGTCACTGTTTATATACTGTTGAGTCTCATAGTAAAGTTATGATTGATTGGACAGCAGCAAAACTTGCATTTATTTTGTGGCCTTCATGTACAATAACATCTCAGAGAGTTATACAATGGCAGGTTTGGACATCAAGCAAGGATAATAATAATTCTTGCATTTGCCTTATCATGTCATTGAAACGTCTCAAAGTACTTCAGAATATATTGTAAAGTGAATTGACTGTGTATTTTGTGGGTGAAATGCCAATTGTGCACAAATATGTCCCACGAACAGTTGTGGATTGAGTAACCCTACCTCTGTGACCTCCTAACCCCCTATCAACTCTTTCCGCTCAGCTGGCTCCGGCCTGCTCCACGTCCCCCGACCCACCCACCCCACCATTGGCAGGAGAGCCTTCCAGCCACTCTGACCCAACATCTGAAATTCCATTCCCCAATCACTCTGCCTCACCCCCTCCTTAGCCTCCTTCAAGTTGCGCCTCAAGACCCTCCTCTTCAACCATGCCATCGGCGACCCCCCTTCCCCTCCCCTCCCTTCTCCCTCCCTGACTCCAGGTTGGGTCTGAAATGTTGTACTCTGTCCATCGCCTTGGGACGTCCTCCCGACGTGAAAAGCGCTATACAAATGTAATCTTGTTGTTGTTGTTGTTGTAACCACATTTTTTGAAGGGGGAGGGATTATTACCCCCGGAAAACATTCTGCCAATTGACTAATAACCAGGTTCCTACTTACTGCTAGGTAAACAGAGTTGTGTGGTGTAAAAAATTTGCCTATGGTTTTGTCCGCTGAGGAATCAAACCCAGGTCCTCTCATTGCGAGGCAGGCGTGCTAACCACTACTCTACGGGCTCCAACCACTACTCTACAGGAATCCAGCAAGGTAAAGGGGGTATAACCATAGGTGTGGTTGAAGCGTTAAGTTTTCATGTGGGATTTAAATATAAATAAAGTGGGGGTGAGGCGAAGAAGTAAAGGCATGGAATTCCAATGCTAAAGTCAGGGATGAAGTGGACTTGTTCAGGCTCAATTTAGGATTCTTATTCTCACTACTAGGTGTTTGCTCAGTTTTTCCTGACATTGTTTCTAAATCTGTATTCAGTAACCAGTACAAACGTGAGACCTGATTGTATTTTTTCTCCTTGGCTGAATTGCTGGCATTTGTACCTTCCTCTAGAAGATCACTGAGAGCTGTAAGCTGCTTACCTCTATTTGATCTTCATCTGCAATGCTTGGTGTATGGTTCAAGAGGTTCACACAGGGGAAATGTCCACAATAGACACATTTAAAACCAGCTGACTTTATTTTGTAATTGTCAGTTCAAATCCGCAGTGATTTTAGTCTCACGGATTTCCAACAATTTTTTTTCCATGACACTTCTAGTTATGCCCTGGTTTACTTTTCCTAAATGCTGTAACTCCTGCTGGGTATAATATACAACAACAACAACAACAACAAGATTCCATTTATAAAGCGCCTTTCACGTCAGGAGGACGTCCCAAGGCGCTGCACAGTTGGGTCATGACCCGAGCAGGGGGGAAATGGTCAGGGTGAGGGGAGGGAAGGGAGGGAGCGAGGAGGGGGGAAATGGTCAGGGTAAGGGGAGGGAAGGGAGGGAGCGAGGAGGGGGGAAATGGTCAGGGTAAGGGGAGGGAAGGGAGGGAGCGAGGAGGGGGAAATGGTCAGGGTAAGGGGAGGGAAGGGAGGGAGCGAGGAGGGGGGAAATGGTCAGGGTAAGGGGAGGGAAGGGAGGGAGCGAGGAGGGGGAAGAGAGTCGAGAGGGGAGCTGAAGGCACGGTCAAAGAGAAAGGTTTTGAGACCGGCCTTGAAGGAGGAAAGGGAGGAGGCGGCGAAGGCACTGGGGGATGGAGTTCCAGAGCCTGGGGGCTGAGAGGCTGAAGGCCCGACCACCGATGGTAGGGCGGTTGGGGCGGGGGACGTGGAGCAGACCGGAGCCAGAGGAACGGAGGGTACGGGCAGGTAGGTAGGGGGATAGTAGGTCGGAGAGGTAGGAGGGAGCAAGGCCGTGAATGGCCTTGTAGGTGAGGATGAGGATCTTGAAATCAATCCTCTGGGGGATGGGGAGCCAGTGGAGGCGATATATAATATACATGTGCTGTCAACCTCTGGTAGTTCACTGAATTCAGCATTTTTACCGTACCATAACCCACTCTGCCTTCCCTCACCTCCGCAGCATGATCTGCCACTGTCTCACACCGCAGGCTGCCGAGACCCTTACACACGCATTCATAGCATTCAGGTTCATTTACGTAAACTCTCTGCTTGTCGGCCTCCCCAGCTCCTCGCTCCATAGGTTACAGATCATCCAGAACTCTGCAGCCTGTGTCCCCTCCCTCACTAGGCTCCACGACCCTATCACCCCCATCCTTGCCCAACTCCACTGGCTTCCCATCACACAGAGGATACAATTTGAGATCCTGATCCTCACCTTCAAAGCCCTCTATGGTCTTGCTCACCCCTGCCTCTGCAACCTCCTAAGCCCCTATTAACCTGTTCACTCCCTCCACTCAGCTGGCTCCGGCCTGCTTCACATCCCCCGCCTCGCCCGCCCCACCATTGGTGGGAAGGCCTTCAGCCACTCTGCCCCCACCCTCTGGAACTCCATCCCACAGTCCCCCTCCCTTGCCTCCTTCAAGACCCATTTCAAGACCCTCCTCTTCAACTGTACCTTTGGTCATCCTCCTTCAACCCCTGCCCTCCACCCTCCCCAATCCCAACCCTAGGCTAAGGTACGAAACCCTGATTGTCCAGCATCTTGGGCCGTCCTCCTGACGTGAAAGGCGCTATACAAATGTAATTTTGTTGTTGTGTGACCATAAACAGTGAGATAACCATTTCATAGTGATGAGGAGCATGAACTCTGGCTGATTATTCACCTTCCTATCCCAGTGACACCAAGGCAATTACAATTCTCTTATGAGTGGTGTCATTGATGTTCACTAAATGTAAACTAAGGATATAATCTGGGACCATCCTGGGAGTATGAGTCATTATCATGTTATTTTTCCTATTATAAGGTTACACTGCTGCATTTGGTAAATTTACTGACCAGCAGAGGATCAGATGTCATATGAGAATTATATGTGTTTGGATATGAAGGTATATTTCCACATATATAGCAGTTAGCACCTCCAATAGGAGTGCAACCCACAGCAGAGTGTTAGTGTAGATAATGAAATGGAGTGTAACAAAATGGAGCTTAAATCCACAACTTTGACTCCGAGCTGAGAGTGCTACCAATTGAGTTAGGCTGGAACATACTGGTCAGCTGGATGTCTGACACATGCGGAAACCCATCGTCATGCTTAAGAGTATCCAAACCAAACTGAGATTTCCATGTATCCCATCTGTATAGAAATTCCAGAGATATTCGTTGGAATGGTATGCACACTCTCCTCCTGGAGGGACTCCTCCTACTGACCTAATTCGGGAACGTAATAGGCGCAAGTTGGCAAGAGCCAAAGCCTGGGGACCCCAGAATATTCATTGGGGTACTGCTGGAGTCTAACCAGCTAAAACTATATAGCTTGCCATTGAGAGCATTGTGGCAAGTTTTCCCGATGCTTGTCCAGCTAGGACCACCGTACCCGTTGGGGTTTTGGCTTGCAGGATTAACAGGAGCTGAGTGGGACGAGTCCCTTCCTCCACTGACTGGTCTGCCCTTCCAAGTCCTGCCGATGACCCAGGCTGCTGTGTTGTCATCAGCAGTGCCCTGGAATATGGTGGACCTGACTGGATTACCGAGACCCCCACAGAGAGCTGCTTGATTCTGATATTCCGTTGTCAAACATGTCACTTTGGGGCTAGTTTAGCTCCAAGGAGACCCCATTTACTTCCCCACCAAGAAGGATAGCTCTCTGTGAGCTTCCTGATGGGCAACACAGCTCAGCAGGAAATGCATAAGAGCATTGTCACCATCTTCCTGTCTGCAGCTTAGACATACACCCCTTCCCCTAAAGCGATTGCTCCATTATTTGGAGCTGCAGAGCTTAAGAAGCAGCTGCTTACATCTCTGCAAGCCAATATTAATAATAATTCTTGCATCAAAGAATATACTGTAAAGTGTATTGACTGTATATTGTGTGGGCGAAACATGGCAGCTAGTTCTGCCCAGCAGTGTCCCTCAAACAGTCGTGGATTGAGTGACCAAATTATTATTTTCTTGGAAGGGATTATTACCCCGGGAAAAGCGATTCACCAATCGACTAACAACCAGATTCCTACTTACTGCTAGGTAAACTGAGGCGGGTGGAGTAAAGAAACTCGCCTCATTTTTCACCCTACCAGGAATCGAACCCAGGTCCTCTCGTTTGCGAGGCGAGTGCTATAACGACTGAGCTACAGGACTCCACATAATATAAGTGGAAGTTGTTGTTGCAATGAGAGCAATGTCCAAAACCTCTTGACTTGTACACCGGAAGGAAATGCGTGCAGGTAAAATCTAGTCTGCAAAACACTTTGCACTGTGACAAGACACAGCTCGAATAGACAAACCATTTGCAAACGAAGCCACGAAAACCGATCCAAACCCACCACAGCAAAAGCAACGCTCATCTGTTTCTTTGCTCGTATTTCACGTGATTTTACAGGGTGGGAATTTGGACATGCACAATATTTTTTTTTTTTGGGTGGGGGGGGGGGGGGAGAGGGGGGCTTTGATGCGAGGGCGTTAGGATAGGGAGGAAAGCTGTGCGCAAAGTGCAGAGTGTGCTGGGTGACCAAGTGACAGACAGACAGACACAGACAGACAGGAGCAGAGCCCGAGGCTGGAGTGGTACCCAGAGTCTCCATCACATCCAGTCACAGGATCTGTGCAGGTCTTTGTTTGCAGAGATAACGAGCACCGCCGCATCTGTCCCGGTTGACTGCAGTCAGTTCGGTGCAGCTCCCAAGAGAGGACACAGCGGTGGCTGTTATTCCTGTTATTCCCGTTTCTGCAGAGCCGGGATGGAGCACATCAGAACCCCGAAGGTGAGAGACAGATGTTGCAGATGTGACTGACTTCTCCCCTCTCTCTCTCTCTCTCTCTCTCTCCCTGACCTTGTCATCCCCAGCGAGCAGTTACTGTACCCCTCTCTCTCAGTGTCGGATCATCAGCACTTACGCTTTTGAAAGCTCCTTTTCCCTTTTTTTTTCAACATTAGGGTTTCATATTGTTATGCAAAATATTGCGGATGATGTGTGTGTGTGTGTGTGTGTTTTTTATCGCTGTAAAGGTTTGGTTGGCCATCTTTTTTAAAAATATAAATGAAAAGGTAAGACTTACAAATTGTTGCAGGGATACAGTTCCAAAATGCAAACATGTTCTCTTGTGGAATAATAATGGAATTTTTTCGCCCTGCACAGTATTTGTTTCTGTAAGGTTGACATGGCAAAGCCTACAATAACAACCTCATTTTTGTTTAACCCTTTGTAAGGATGGTATAATGTTATGATTGCAAGGATAACGTAATGTAGGTGGAAGTGGCACCCAATGTGTACACATCAATACCCCACAAACAGCCATGAAGTAAATGACCATTTTTTAAATTTAATAATAATCCTTCCTTGCATTTGATATAATCAATAATCCTTCCTTGCATTTGATATTTGTTGGCTTCTCTTTTCGAATAGTATCATTTGATCATTAACATCCACCTGAATAGGCAGATAGGACCTCGGTTTAATGTCTCATCCGAAGAACAGCATCACTGACAATTCAGCACTCCCCATCCCTGTATTCAGCCTAGACTGACATAAACATTATACTGTGCCATCAATGCACAGGGTTAAAGAAAATAGACTTGTTTTAGTATTTATTAAGACACAGAAACTTAACAAAAAGACAACATAGATATAGTTACTACACTTTGCAGTATATCCTGTGAAGTGCTTTGAGCCAGCTCAATGACGTGATAAGGCGGTATACAAAATACAAAGATTAATATTATTATTACTGTGCCATCCATGTAGAGTTAAAATTGACTTGTTATAGCATTTCTATCAACAACAACTTGCATTTATATAGGCCCCTCACGTAGAATAGCATCCCAGAGTGCTTGAATCTAAGACACAGAAACGTAAACATTCCCTTTATTATTCTACAAGAAAAAATGTTTGGAATTTGCAATTATATTCCTGTTTTTTGAATCATTTTAATTTTTTGTACAGTGTTAGTGGTGAGATTAGAGACTGCAACAAAATCTTAATTATGGCCTATAAGGCAATGCACATTTAATTTGGTTGGTGACTGGATACAATACAATTAAATAATTATATTTATTGGGAGGGCGTTTCAAAGTCTTTCACAGTGCTGGATGGGCACCTGAGCTGGGGGTGGGAATTGAGAGGGGTGACGAGGGGAAAGATGACCAAAAGCAGAGTCAAGCAGCTACGTTTTGAGGTACGTGCCTTGAAAGAGAGGAGGGAGGGAATGAGTCAGAGGGACTCCAGGATGGAATTCCAGAGAGCAGTGGTAGATGGCTAAATGCCCGCCCATTGACGTTGGGCCATAGGAAGCAAATTTGTGCTCATGGGCATCAGTGTTGGCTCCAATGTTGAACCAAGGTAGCATCTGCCTGTTCAGAAATCCCACAGTGCTTTCGAAAAGTTTCTATTGGCCAACAATCCTCCAGATTATAAATTGTTGTACACCTCCTGGTTATTAATAGGACTTTGCAATGTTCAAATTGGTTGTTATGTTTGCCTACAAATGCATAGTCGCTATATTTCAAGTAAATCCTGTGAAGGACTTTGCAATGTTTTGATGATATGCTAAGGTGCTATATCAAAGTTTTCTACCTCAGTCATGGGTATGATAACAATGGTGAGTTGGGAAATATAATCGTTACATAGGTGAAGTGGGAGATCCTTTCATGATATTGGGATTGACATATTGGAATTAAAAAAGTGGCATTTTCCAGAGGGACTCAATGATAGTGATTCAGAGCCACTGACAGGGAATCCTGACAGTAAGCACTGAACATCAGAGTCATCTTGTAGGATTCCCGCTTCAAAGCATTAGTACTAATTGCGGAATTCCCCGAGTCAGTTGCGAAACATTGTCGATCTCCCAGGAGCAACTTTTGAGTCTCCAGCAGTGAATCCCATTGCAAAACCCTATTTTATCACTGTTGTTGTTGAGGCAGAATTGAGGGAGCTTTACTCTGTACCAACATTTAGTTTCTGCAGCATTTGATTGGGGAAAGCGTGATGCTGGCTTTAAATTTTAAAAAGTGGAAATGTGACCTTTTTTCTTTAGCAAATTACTTTGACAAGGATATAACGTAAACATTTCCTCCCACTGGTGACAATGGTACCTGTCTTCTATTGTAAAACTGTTCACTTACAAATTATTAAATTACTTATGAAGTCATCTTGTCTTGTGCTAGTTCTAAGCCAACTCAGCATTTTACCAAGTAATCTTAGAATAAAGTTCTCCTTTAACAGATTCCCAGTAATTATCTTCAGCACTGTATTACTGCTGTATTGAGTTTTCCACAGGATTGCTGAAACATACTTTGTTGACTAAATGTTATTCAGATGGTGATTTCAGAATTCTGTAGATAGATTTTGATAAAGACTTCATACACTGATATCTGTAGGTTGAAAACGTCCGTTTGTTGGATCGAATCTCTTCCAAGAAGGCACCGGTTGGTTCTTTATATCTCACAGCCACACACATCATCTTTGTGGAACATTTGTCTGAATCTCGTAAGGAAACTTGGGTAGGTTGACTTTAGCTTTCAGCTCTTTTCTGCCTCTGTATTGTTTTAGACACCAACAGAATGTTGATTGGTAGCCACGAAGCTCTGTCAGAGTGTACATTCTGCTTTTACCAAGATAAATAATTTTCTGGATCCAAAAAAATTAATAGAAAAAAGGGAATTGATAATTACTTTACTTGCTCTACAGGAGAAACCTGTTATATCATGCAATTTTAGGTTCCTAAACCCAAGCAACCGTTATAATTGGCACAAAGTGAAAATGGCCACCACAACACCACTTTCTGTGAGCTGAGCGTGTGTGACACTAGTTACTGAAAAACGTCTGCCACTAACATCACTTCCTGCCCGCTGTGCCTGTGTGCAGCAAGCTGGGCGAGCGACCAGCAACTGTGCTGAAAAATCCAATAGACAACAATATAATAATGAAACTCGCTGTTTGTCAGAACCAGCTTTATCTGAAAGAGCAGTATATGCATAATATGGCAGAAAGGTTGTTGGACTCAACCTTCCCTTCACGTGTGTGATTGACGGATTTACTCATATTTTGTCTCTGGCCTCAATCATGACTTCTGACCAGTGGTATGTTGGCACATCTGTTACCTGTTTGTTATCCTTTCTTTTGCTGTCTTGTGACAGAAAGGAGTCCCAACGTATGATTTAAATTTAGAAATCCACAACACATCGACTAGCGGCTCCTTGGCACTAAGAACAGTGTTGGGTAATTCTGGGTAATTCCCAATAACTGCATTCCGAGTTTATACATTTCAACCAGATGGTAGACCCTGATGTATTACAAGGCAGGCTTATCTCAAGAGGTAAGATCTGAAGCTTTAATAGAAACAGCAGCTTCAGGATTTTTTTCTCTACATCCTGTGGGAGGTTGACTTTTAGGTTGTACATATTGTTCAGGCACCTTATACTATAGCTTCGAAATATCTGAGGCCTGTTCCAGCCATTGGTTTCTGTATTAACAGAAATAAATACAAGCGGTTTGCAGACATACATTGCTTGTTTTCTTTATGCACTAGGTACTTCATAGTCAAATCTGCGCTGTGGAAAAGCAAGCAACAGCTGCAACAGGCTGCCCACTACTTATTCGCTGCAAGAACTTCCAGGTCATCCAGTTTATCATTCCGCAGGAAAGAGATTGCCATGATATTTACCTTTCGCTAATCCGCTTGTCTCGTCCAGGTATCATTCTATGCTTCTTCGTCTTGTTTTGGAAATAATCTTTATTTTTAACCAGGATTTGTGTGAAGGATTGAAAATAAACTCTCATTGGGTGATCTAGAATAAAGTTTGATTAACAAAGGAGTACTGGGAAGAAATTTCACCTGGGTCTAGATTTAATAATAATAACAATCCTTGCATTTGGTATAAAGCGAAGTGTCTCAAAGCGCTTCACAGAATAATAATAATAATAATAATAATCCTTGCATTTGATATAGCGCTTTTCACGTCAGGAGGACGTCCCAAAGCGCTTCACAGAACACACTGTAAAGTGAATTGACTGTATATTTGAGGGCAAAACACAGCAGCCAATTGCACACAACAGTGTCTCACAAACAGTCGTGGATTGAAGTGACCAATTTTATTATTGTTTTGTTTTCTTGAGGGATTATTATCAGGCGTGTGAAGCAAGGAAACTTACCCAAGGTTTCGCCCTGCTGGGAATCAAACGCAGGTCTCTCGCTTGCGAGTACTCTAAACACTGAGCTACAGGACTCCTTAATAGATTTAGTCTATTTATGTAGCTTTTTGGAGCATTCAGAATTTGGGAAATTCCTAAATGCGGCCTTCATTTTGAGGCCAGTTTTACGTAAGCTCTTTTAAAAATTACAGTAAAAAACAACTCAAATTTAAGACTGAATTCAACAATTTGCCAAATTCTGTACATTTGAAAATGCCTCATTCCTAGAATAAATCTAGACCCAGACAGACCTTCTCCCCCTGCACCCTGCTTGACATTGTACAATAACTTGTACAGTAGCTCAAGTTTAAGAAATATTATAAAACAAGAAATACAAGCTCACCACACATTAAATTGTTTTGAAGCTATAATTATAGAATGTTCCAATCATTTCCTGAAGTTGGTTTGTTATTTGTGCTGATGCTGCGGTGAACATTATGGACAAGAAACCTGTTCCTGAAATTTGGATCCAAGCAAGTTTTAAAGGTCCTGTTCAGCAAAACAGAACTCAGGAGTTTAAAGAATAACCAGAAGCAAACAGGTCAAATTTCTGAGTGTGACATTAGATAATGTATCAGGGACCAGGGAATGGGATGCTACAACATTTGCTTACTAACAAACCTGGTGAATACCCAAAGTATGTGGAGAACTCCGGATGATTTGATTAAAGGATCCAGACTATTTTACACAAATATTATTTGTCTTGCCATATTTTGTATACTTTCCTATTAAAAAAAATAATATTAAAGATAATAACCGAGGCTGGATGGACATAGGATGCACTCCTGCTGGAAATTATTGCTATGTGACCATGCTTTTTAAATATACAGACTGACCCTATTAACATGCATTTTGTTAGAGCGTGGATCATTTAGAATGTGGGTGGACTTGTGCTATAAAAAATTGATGCAGTTCAGGGATTTGTCACTGACTGACTGGCTTTGTGTGCATAGTACAGAGGCCTCTCAGTGCCTAGCACTAACCCTGGAACCACTGGAAATGCATGTAGGAAGTGACATAAGGAGGACCTGATGGCTGGTGACCATTTTTATATTGTGCCCCGTTAGAATGTGAGGTCAGATTTGCTGGATCTAAATCACTGTGTTATAACAGGGTCAGCCTGTATCAGGCCTGACTAGTTATGTTGAACATGTGCATTGAATAAGTTTTGTTTTATTTGAAGACGTACAAAGCGCTATATCAAATGCAAATTATATTAATATAAATCTGTTTGTTGATGCTTTTAACATTTTCATAATTTGGGAGGGAGTTTGGGAAAGGGAGGGGTTAAATGTGCAATGCACAGAGATACCCTGTTATCACTCCTGTTGTCTCTATAAGAATCAAAGGTTGATTGGAGTACCCTACAACAAACAACAAATTACATTTTACATTACATTACCCTAGATAAACAATTGAAGGTGTCTTTGAAAATCAAACTGTACCATGTGCCCTAAAGCTTTCGACATTTGGTTATTTTCAGTAAAATTTGAAGAACTGTACTGCTTCTCATTTAGTACAAAGCAGCACAAGAATGAGAGAGAGCAAGGCTGGAAAATGGTAGATCTTAAAGCTGAGTACAACCGCATGGGAATTCCCAATAGCTTTTGGCAAGTTTCGCAGGCAAATAGAGACTATGGGGTAAGTGTAATAATAAACCTGATTTGCATCTGACTTTCTGCAGGAATCTTCATTTGATTCTTAATATATAAGGGGATAGGAAATATTTAAAGTGGAATAAACTGGAGACTATAGATTATTGATAAAATTGGACAAAATGCTGTTTGTTATATAAATAGAGTATAAATGCACCACAATAATTAGCACTCAATTCAAACTTGAGAAACACCTTCAATTAAATGCCTTGTTTTCACATATTGCTTGTTAAAAAGGTGACAAATGTTACATTTCTTAACAGACTTGTTAACTATAGAACATGGTAAGAAGTCTCATATTTTTCTGAACATTTCTAAAGCATGACTGTGGAACAGAACCCCCTCCCCGAATGCAGCAGAATTATTTGGTCCATTTTTGATTTCAGTCCTGAAGGCAACATTTGAGTGCTGCTTCACAGCATACCGGATGAATTAAGTCAGTATTCTATTATTAGTTGCACTGATTTGCTGCTCTCCCCTTTGGGATAGCAAAAGAATGGAAAAATCTGTTATGCTGAGAATGGGGTTGGGGGCCGCAGAGGGGCAAATCATCAATCCAAATTGTAATTTGCTTGTCAAATCTGGATGATCCACTATTTTGTGCAACTCAGTATGGATAAGACAGAAGCCATCCTCCTTGGCTTCTGCCTACATCTTCTCAATTCTGCGTATTACTTCCTCAATGTGTCTGGTCTCTCTATCAAACTCACTGAACCGGTTGTGCAAACTTGGCGTCCGGTTCAATCTTCAGCTCTCTTTTCTCCCTCGCATTCGGTCCCTGACCAACACTGTTTTTCGTCACCTCCGCCACATTCCTCAACTCCAGCCCTACCTCAATCAAAGTGCTTCTCAAAACCTTATAAGAAGATATAAGAACATAAGCATTAGGAGCAGGAGTAGACCATTCGGCCCCTCTAGCCTGCCTCGCCATTCAATAAGATCATGGCTGATCTATTCTAACTCCACCTATCCGCCTTATCCCCATATCCTTTAATCCCTTTATCCACAAGAAATCTATCAATCTCAGTCTTGAATATATTCAAGGACTGAGCATCTACAGCCTTTTGGGGTAGAGAATTCCATAAATTCACTACCCTCTGAGTGAAGAAGTTTTTCCTCAACTCAGTGCGAAAGGGCTTACCCCTAATTTTAAGACTGTGACCGCTGGTTATAGTTTCTCCAACCAGGGAAAAAGTCTCCCACTATCTATTCTGTTGTAATGTTCTCTATTAATAATCTTATATGTTTCTATAAGATCACCTCTCATTCTTCTATATTCTAGAGAATATAGGCCTAAATTGCTCAACCTATCCTCATAACTCATCCCCCTCATCCCAGGTACCAACCTATTGAATCTACGTTGTACCTCCTTCAAGGCGAATACATCCTTTTTTTCTTAAATAAGGAGACCAAAACTGCACACAATACTCTAGGTGCGGTCTCACCAGGGCCCTATACAGTTACAACAAGACTTCCCTACTCTTATATTCTAACCCTTTTGTAACAAATGCCAACATACCGTTAGCCTTCCTAACTACTTGCTGTACCTGCAAACTAACTTTTTGTGACTGGTGTACAAGAACTCTAACACTATCTAGTTTCTCCCCTTCTAAAAAATAATCTCTACTGTTTTTGCCACCTAAGTGGATGACCTCACACTTCCCTACATTATACTTCATCTGCCACCAATTTGCCCACTCATCTAGCCTATCTATATCTCGTTGCATTTTTTTAATGTCATCCTCGGTGTTTACTCTCCCTCCTAGTTTTATGTCATTATGCATGTCTTCATCACCTTTCAAGTGAATTCATCTCTGGTCTTTTTTGAACTCTCTGATGTTTATTTTTAAGTGTCTTGGAAGCAGTAGCTCAAATAATTATTAACTGTTGGTCTTTTATTGTGAAATTAAATATCAAAAGTGATAACATGTTTTCTAATGATTATCTGATTGTGACTGGGAATGGTACAGTCAGCTAATTCAGTTCTCTTCATTAATTATTTCTTTCCCCTATAACAGGTCTGTGAGACTTACCCTACAGAGCTCTGTGTGCCCAAATCAGCCTCTACACCAGTCATTGTTGGGAGCTCCAAGTTCAGGAGTAGGGGACGTTTTCCTGTTCTCTCTTACTTTTGCCAGGATAACAATGTATGTATACTATTTCACACTTGTTACCTGTTTGAAGAATTCCTGATAAAATGTAAGAGCCTTTTCCTGTGTATTGCATTCTGAAGGACTCTATATACTACTTTTAATTAAGTAATCCTTGCATTTTCACCCACAAAGTATACAGTCAAGTCACTTTACAATATATTCTGTGAAGCGCTTTGAGATATCGAAGATGTGATAAGGCGCTACTATCAAATGCAAGGATTATCATTATTTGATATAATGCCTCAACACATCATCAAAATATCTCAAAATGCTTCACAGGACTTTTAATAATAATATTCTTTGCATTTCGACTAAATTAGTTGAAAGGTGGAGAAATGGACAATTCTCTCGGTTCAAAAGTTGTTTGAATTTAATATTATTGGGTCTTTTCAATTTAATTTAAACATGCCACTGATCTGAAAATGTTTGCTTATCACTTACTGAGTTTTTATTTGAAATGATTTTCTTCTACTTCTTAAATCCTACTCTGTTACAAAGTGTTTTTGACTAAGGAAGTGTTGTGACTCTGTGTGATGACTCAGAAGGCTGCAATATGTATGTACACATACAGCAGTAGAATTGCAAACTAAAATGTAGGTTCATGCCATCTTGGAAATAATTGTTGTGCGCAATTGGCTGATGCGTTTCGCCCACAAAGTATACAGTCACTCCACTTCACAGCGTTCTCCGTGAATTGCTTTGAGACGTCTCATCGATGTGATAAAGCACTATATCAAATGCAAGAATTATTATTATTATATTAAATAAAAGGAGAGCAATGATCCCTTCTGAAATGGGTTTCTCTGGTTTCTATTCTTGTCGCTGTCCAGGCTGCTATCTGCAGAAGCAGCCAGCCTCTCTCTGGGTTCAGTGCTCGGTGCCTAGAGGATGAACAGATGTTGCAGGCCATCAGGAAGTCGAACCCAGGAAGTGAATTCATGTACGTTGTGGACACTAGGCCAAAGGTAACCACACCATTGGCGTCACACTGCAACAACTGCATTAGTACAGACAACTCTCATTTGTGATATGTTTCCATTTTGGTTTAACAAAGATTTGCATTTTGTATGTACCATTGCTGGTGACTCTTTGGTATATAATGCAATGAAATATGATGGTTTTATGAAAAATTATATTAGAGCTGTAAAAGGGGTATCATGCTAGAACCAGCACACTTAGAATCTCAGTTTTTTAAAAAAAACTACAGTATACATTAGCAGTTTCTTCCCTCGTATCTATTTTATGCGTGAATTTTCAAGAGAAGATTGATACATAAGATTGCATAATAACCATGGCATGAAAGCTCATGTGTCTTGTCTATACATTATACAGAACAAAATGGGTGTTCGGGAAGGATGAGATCAAATTGACCGAAGGACCTTTTTCATCTCCACTTCTCTAGCTCTATAGTCGTCTTCACATCCCTTCATGCCCTGGCGTCTCCCTACCTCTCCAACCTGCTTCATCCCCACTTCACCACCTGCTCGCTGCCTCTCCTCGGCTGACTCCAGCCTCCTGCTTGTCCCTCGTCCCCTCCGCTCCACCATCGGCAGCCGTGCTTTCAACCACTATGCCCTGACACTTTGGAACTTTCTCCCTCAAGCCCTCCACCTTGCCCACTCCTTCCCCATTTTCAGATCATGCCTGAAGACCTTCCTCTTCAACCATGCCTACGGTCACCTCCCCCTTCTCACAGGTTGGCCTCAGGCTCCACCACTGTTAAGTGCTCTGAGACGCTACCCCACATGAAGGATGCTATATAAATGCAAGTTGTGGTTGTTGTTGGTGGCAATCTTGGCTGACCTATCAAGCTTGAGGGATGTGGAAACGAGATCATTTCCTCAGATACCATGGCCTAGATTGGCAACTGCTTTCCTTAGAGAAACCAAAGCACAAATATCAGTCAGGTTTGAGGTTCAAACTTAGGACTTTAATTTGAATGCACTGGTTCATTACCACTGAGCTGTCAACCTGATCACAGATCAGATAATTTTTTTAGAAAGAAAATTATTAAACACTTAAAAGAATAAATCAAACAATAAATATTAGAAAGGGGAAGTAGGAATTATATTTTTTTATGAGCAGTCCACTACAATAAACTGTTTCTAAATATTGTTAAAACTGAAATTACTGTTAATATTTTTAATGATTCCTGTTCCAGAAGTTTCAGGAATGGGTGTTTTCAAAGCTATTTTGTAGCTCTTTGTCTAGGAAAGAACAAATGTCCCCAAGGCAGGGTGAGAAGGGTCCAGAGTTTATGATAACAGCTTGTAATCATTGAAACTGTATTTAAGAAGAAAGCAGAAACCACTGAATTCTTGAACAAACTGCTTCTGTGTGATTCAGAATATATTGGTTAAAATAATTGTGACATAATTAGTTATCACGAACTATAGTTAAATTGATTGATGTAATGCACAACACAGTTTATCAGGTTACTAGATGATACAATACAATTTCCACATTTACATTTATATAGTGCCTTTCACATTGCCTAGCAAGACATTTCAAAGAGCTTAATGCTGTTTGTGAACATGAGCCTCCACGGTTTAGTCAGGAAGATTGTGGCAATGCTCTTGTGTATTTCATGCTGTGTTGTGCTACTTACACAGAATCTCTAGTATCTGCAATCCACTTAGTGAGTGCTCATACCTGTGCTTGTAAGATGAGTAATGACCAACTTGTGACTATCTTCCCTGGGAGATACGCAGAGTCTCTTTAGGGCTGAGCTGGTTCCAGGTTTGTCTCAAGTCTCATCATTGATTTAATGGAAATATGCCTTCAGGAAATTTCCAACAATTCCCAACAATCTATTCACTTTTTGTCCTATGTGCAGTTTACTAATTTATGTTCTCTCTTCCTATTTTCAGGTCTCTGCTGAAGACCTTTCTTTTCGACCGCGCCTTTGGTCACCTTCCTCCCCCTTCCCCTGGCTCGGCCCCGGGATACGTTACTGTGAAGCGCTCAGAGATGCCATCCGGCGTGGAGGGCGCTATATAAATCAAAGTTGTTGTTATGTTAGCACAGTCTGAGTGATGCTATTGCCAACAACAGCATCAACAAAATTACATTTGTATCGTGCCTTTCACGTTGGGAGGACGTCCCAAGGCACTGACATGAGTATAGATGCATTCTTCATTGTTAGCATAAAAGATTAAAACATCTTGAAGCAAACCCAGTTCAGGATGATAGACTTGAGGCTGTTTTAAGCATTATAACATTTCTATAATGTTTTCAGTTAAATGCAATGGCAAACCGAGCAGCAGGAAAGGGATACGAGAACGAAGACAACTATTCCAACATCAAGTTTCACTTCATAGGGATAGAAAACATCCATGTAATGAGGAGCAGTCTGCAAAAACTGCTGGAAGGTAAATATTTCTTGGAGTGATCCAAGTAATCCAAAGAAACACATTGTGAGCAAAACATTAGCAGGCTCAGCCACATTGTTTTTTATTACATTTTATTTGTTACCTTTACCAACTGAACCATTGGAAGGAGCTCTGAATGTGTGATTCATGAAGAGGATTATTGAACTGTGTTATTTTTACAGTCTGTGAGCTGCGATCCCCTTCTATGGGTGACTTCCTGTGGGGTCTGGAGAATTCAGGATGGTTGAAACACATTAAAGCCATCATGGATGCTGGTATCTTTGTTGCAAAAGTAAGTTCAGGAATACATAAGTGTCTTAACAAAACTGTTTCCATGTTTATTTATATTTTATTTTGTTCCCTCTTACATTGCAATTAGCCACAGCCACAAAAACTGCAGATCTCAAGACTCCCAATTCACGCAAGAGCATGTGTGTGAGACCACATAGCCTCTCAGACCACTGTGTCAGACCTGTAAACTCCCCTCCTCTCCCACCACCTCACATGGACATCTGAGTATGTCCAGTATATTTCAGTCAAAACTATGCTTTAAATTCTGTTTCCAACTGTCTATGACAAGGGGATACACCCTGTCCCTGCTTTCCATGGATATAGGCACTCCACATAAGTGGAAAGGAGTATGTTGTTTAAAAAAGATGTCTCAGCCAATGTAGCTCACACGGGATGGATTCCAATCAGAGTTGTTTGAAGTTCCAGCCCTAAGTGCTAATTGGGCACCAGAAACCTGCGAATGAATCAGCACCAGTATATAGAGAGGTGATAGAGAGGGTTGTGGGGAAGATGGCAATAGCTTCTTTAGCAAAGCCAATGGTTTTTTTTTGTTGCTAAATCCCCCCCGATGTATGTTTGTTTGTTGTCTGGATGTGATTACTGCCCTCCTACCTTCCCCCCTTCATTATTTATCATGATTCTTGTAACAGGATGAGATAGGTTAATTTTAGTGCAATAGCATAACTAATCTAAGACTATGTTGCCTACAAAAACAGTTACTGCACCTGATGGTTGTTACTATTCTTTTTGAAACTTTTCAATATAACAATGTAAGTTTTTGTTTCTTCTATGAATGTGGCTGATCATAAAACAGATGAGTTATTTGGATTTAGCTGCTGTCTTAAAAGTTGACAGATTGTTTAGGTTTTTCTGCTTGGAAAATTGAGCTGTTGAATTGATTTGATGAGCAAGTTTAAAGGTCTTCATTACTTGCTGCTGTGCCTAAAACTAGCGAAAAGCATTTGGTATCTATAGAAATCAATAATATAGATACAGTACAATTCCCTGTGAAAATTAGTGTTCAAACTTTCTAAAGTGAATGCTTTATATATTTTGCTTGTCTTGCTAATTCAGGGAAAACACTTGTTTGCCTTCTTTCTCTGATTTTGAAGGTGCCTTTTAATGAAAGTCTGTACCTTATTAAAATTTGAAAGGTTATTTGAGCTTTCACATTTATGCTGTCCATCAAGTTAACTAGTTGCTTGCATTAATTGTTTTCTTATCATTACTCTAAGTAGAGTTTTGAATTTGGGAGGAAAATATAATGTAATTGATTTTAAATGTTGTTTCAGGCAGTGGCTGAGGAGGCAGCTAGTGTACTAGTTCACTGCTCAGATGGTTGGGACAGGACTGCGCAAGTCTGTTCTGTAGCAAACCTCCTACTTGATCCATTTTATAGAACTATAAAGGGATTCATGGTAAGTTGAATACATTACTGGAAAGGAAGCAGAAATAGAGTGAGCAGAGCCACAAGTCTTCCTGCTGATGCTTTCTTTTCCATTTTAATGTATCTTCTCAGGATAATGATTAGCAGGGCCAATAGTTCCATTTTGTTATTGTTTTCTCAATTTACTGAGTAGAAATGTAATAACACTTATTTCAGGCTGTTTTTCAATATTTGGGTGTTCATAATTTTCTGCTTTAGAAGCCCCACATCTTCTCTTTGCAGCTATAAGGACATGATTGTCTTAGATCATGGACTTTATTGGTTAGTAGCATTGCTCCTGCTCTGTAGATGTGCTTTGTTAAGTGGGGCGATATGATTTCTGCACCACAGGGATGATGTATTGAATAGCTCCATCTGGTGTCTGAACTGAGGATTGTTATCTGTGAGGCAGGCAAATTGGACTATCCAAAGAAGCCCATTCAGATTCGAGACCTGATTGCTCAAAAAAACAACTTGTGATATATTAGATACTCTGCACATTTGTTGGCATCTATAAACGCTAAAACACTTTGATATTGTAATGTTTTAAGAAGTATCACAAGCATGAACGAACCTCCACTGCATTTCATCCACAACTCTTCATGGCTTTAGGTTTCAAAGCCTTTGCTTAAAATTTGACATCAACCACCGTTTGGAAAATTCTTCATCAGAAATTTGATTTGCATCAGTTCTTAAAAAGAGTTATGGAAATTCCATATCAAGCCTGAATTTCCCAAAACAGCAATCTCAAATTATGAGACAGTAGTTTTAAGACTAAGACATCTTGTGTTTGGGATTTAGTTACTTTTTGCAGTATCACTTTAGTTGTGCAATGTTACTCTCATCGGACATTAATATCATGGTTTGTATATTTTTAAGACATTTTTGTCGTAACAGTATTTTTTTATTGCATAGGTTTTAATAGAAAAGGACTGGGTGTCATTTGGGCACAAGTTTAACCACAGGTAAATAATGTTTTTTGTTTGCTTTGAGGTTCATGGTCTGTACGTGTTTTCCTTTGGAACTTGCTGTGTGTAAAGATTCCTGAATTTAAAAAGTATGAGCCTTCACTGACTTTACTTTGAAAAGTGTTGGAAGATTAAGGACCATTAAAGTAAGTTATATAGTTACATAGTCACATAAAGTGATACATCAAGGAAACTAGCTTGATTTTAGCACCAGAATGTGTGTGTAAGGTTTTATTTTTATAAGGAAAAAATGTGGAGGAGGTGGAGGTTTGTTGTAAAAAATGTGGGAAATATTACTAAAATATTTAGTTCCCTCAATAGGGAGGTGATCTGCCTTGATCAAAAACATTCCTCCTCCCAGCAAAGTATTCAGAACAATACTCTTGGGATTCATCTTGAACCAGCTTCATGTCCTTGTAAAACCATCTCCTTGTCATCCAAGCATTGATCTGATTTGGCACTACAGGCTCCCATTATACTGGAACCTTTGGTTTACTCAATCAGAAATTAAAATGTCTGGATTGCTTATAATATGAACCATCTGTGGTTTATGAAATCTTTGTAGGGTGCTGCAGAATTTTGCAGTTTTGAGAGGATTCAACTAGGCAACATGGAGGAGTGGTCTTTACTCTGGAAATAGAGGAAATGCTCCAACCGGCCTGGGTTACTCATTCTGTCATGAGATTTTGTGCAACTCGATTGAATTTGTTTTCAGTTCAACAAATCTCTTTGTTAATACGACTGGCAGCAAATATACCATCCATCTATAATTTATGTTTAAAGTTTAGCTGCCCATATACAGCTGCTAACAATTGCACAAATTAGTATTTGTGTGTCTGAGCCTTGGAGAGTGCCCAAACCTTTGACTTAATGAAAACTGGCCTTTTTTTTAATCCAATCTTTTATCTTACAGATACAGCCACTTGGATGGTGATCCCAGGGAGGTATCCCCAGTAATCGATCAGTTTCTTGACTGTGTTTGGCAGCTAACAGATCAATTTCCATGTGCCTTTGAGTTCAATGAAAGATTTCTGGTGCACATTCACCATCACATCTACTCCTGCCAGTTTGGGAATTTTATCTGTAATAGCCAGAAGGAGCGGATAGAGCTGAGGTAAGGTGAAGACATTCACCCTATTTTTTAACCCTTATTCCTATTGAATAGTCATTCTGGTGAACTCTTGAAGTGATGTGAATTTTTGTGTAATTGAATTATACCAAGAAATTTGCGTTGATTTCCCCACGATGTTAGACATCAGCATTTATTGTGGAACAATATTTTGCAATAGAATGCATTTAGATTTTACAGATTATTCTTTGATAGTACATCTACATATGATTCAAATACCTACACATTTCTGACACTGGAGAAAAAGGATTTTTCTCCAAAATATTTTCGGGTGAATTGGGCCACATATTTTAGTAATTGATCAATGTTTTAAAACCATTTAAAAAGTGTCAGTCCCTGATGTCTCAGTGAGTAGACGTATCCAGGCAATTACTCTCTTTGTAAATGAATCCTTTCTGCTATCTGTCCTAAAATTGCCTCTCAAAACCTTTTTGCTTGTCCAGTGTTGAGGACATTATTGTCCTACCTCCTGGGCAATCGGCATTGATCATTCTTGGTGGTAGTTTTATCAGTTTACAATTTACAGTTGTACTTCAGTGGTGATGGATATAAGGTGATGGATATGATATCGGCTTTGTTATTTTTGGTCATGGAAGAATTCATGAGAAAACCCATTCGTTATGGCCTCATCTATGGAGAAATCGTGCAGACTACGTGAATCCCCTCTACAGACCAGACCACAGCCAGACCCAGGGAGTCCTGAGGCCACTCACGTCTCCGTATAATTTCAGGTTGGTATTCAGGCTTTGGGATTGTTTATATAGGAGCCTCATTATTTCATATGCGTGAGTCTAAGTTAAAGTGGAGTCCTGTAGCTCAGTGGTTAGAGCACTCAACAACAACAACTTGGATTTATATAGCGCCCTCCACACCGGACGGCATCTCAGAGCGCTTCACAGTAACGGATCGTGGGGCCGAGTCTGGGGGAGCGGGAGGAAAGTGACCAAAGGCGCGGTCGAAAAGAAAGGTCTTCAGCAGGGACCTGAATAGGAAGAGAGGGAGCGAGGCAAAGGGAGTGAGGAAGGGAATTCCAGAGCCTCGGGGGATAGTGGCTGAAGGCACGGCCGCCCAGGGTGGAGCGGAGCACTCGGGGGACGAGGAGGAGGCCAGATCCAGAGGAACGAAGGCAATGGGTATTGTTTTGAGGAGAGAGGAGGTCAGAGTCGGGGGGATGCAGAGGAGTGGAGGGACATGAATACAAGGGTGAGGATCTTGAAGTCGATCCTCTCTGGGACAGGCAGCCAGTGCAGTCTGGCAAGGACTGGGGTGATTGGGGAGCGGAGTTTGGTGTGTGTAAAAATGCGGGCGGCAGAGTTTCGAATAATCTGGATTTTATGGATGGTAGTGGAGGCGCTGTGGCGAGGAGGACGTTAGAATAGTCCAGCCGAGAGGTGACAATGGCATGGACTAGGGTTGCAGTGGCTTTCGGAGAGAGGTATTGGCAGAGATGGGCGATGCGTCGGAGGTGGAAGAAGGCGGTGCTGGTGAGGGACCGGATGTGGGGGGGAAGAATAATTGGGGGTCGAACTTGACGCCTAGGTTGCATGTGGGTTTGGAGAGTTTTAGGGATAGGTCGGGTAGGTGGAAGAGGTGATAGCCGTGAGATTTTAGACGTTGATGAGAGCCAAAGAGTATGGCTTCCGTCTTGTCAATGTTCAGCTGAAGGAAATTTGCGCTCATCCAGCCCCTGAGATCTGACAGGCAGGCTGACAGGACATCAAGGGACTGGGGGTCGCAAAGAGAGGTGGAAAAATAGTTGGGTGTCATCTGTGTACATGTAGAAATGTACCCCATATCTGCGGATGACATCCCCAAGAGGGGGCATGTAGATCAGAAAGAGGAGGGGGCCAAGGATGGGGTTGTGTTTAGCCTCCAAGCTGATGTTGGAGTAAGAAAGCTGTTTTTGCGCATGTCAAATAATGGCGGTAGCTGTGGAGATGCTCGAGCCACAGTTGTTGGTGAACTGTCAGGCCAGTTTTCCACCATCTGCGCTTGAGCAGCCGGGTTTGGGTTTTGAGGCAGCAGAGATGATTGTTGTACCAGGGGATCAGGTAGGTTTGGAGGTGGATTTCAGAGGACAAAGGAGTTGAAGGAGGAGGGAGGCGATCATGGAGCAGCTGGACAGTTGCTTCAGGATCCCCGCGGGTGGAGGGTCAGAGGGATAGGATGTTTGATGATGCGAGGGCCTTTGTGAGGGTCTCCGGGGGTAGCCTTTTCCAAGGGCGGTAGAGGATGGTTGAGGACTTGGTGGAGGAGAAAGGGATGTGAAAGGAGAAGGAGATGAGGAAGTGGTCCGAGATGGCCTTGTCCACTATGCTGAGATCAGAAATGTCAAGGCCATGGGTGATAACAAGGTCAAGGGCATGACCACAGTTGTGGGTGGGTGAATTTATGTGGAGGGTGAGGTTTAGGGAGGAGAGGAGAGCAGTGAAGTCGGCAGAAGTGGTGCAGGGGGAGTTTAGGTGGAGGTTGAAATCGCCCATTATGAACAGGCACTTGGAGCAGAGGGACAGGGAAGGTTAAAAGACATGGGTTTAATTCCCGACAGGGTGAAATGTTGGGCAAATTTCTCTACTTCCCACTTTATATGCTTATAGATAACAAAATTACTAGGTACTTTTTGAGATTTTACAACTGAATGTGTCTGACTGTTAGGTACGACTCCTATCTGCTTGAACCCCTTTCCCACTCATTCCCAATCTGTCTGCAATTTATGAGATATTTCATCCCATCCACCAGGGGCTGCTTGTACCTTTTCCCCAGAACTATGCTACTTGTGCTTCCTCTGTCTCACAGAGACAGTGAGTGCGTGTGGGTCAGGGCCATCACAAGAGTCCTAATGCCAATGAAGAGATTAATCATTTTCACTTGTGAGGAGTATTCTAAGTACCGCAGCATTTGATATATCTCTACAAAAGTGTGTGTGCGTGTGTCAATGATGGGAAAGCAGTGGCTATTGGGTGTGAAACTATTGGGTGAGTAGTGAAAGGCATTTGAGAGGGCATATGAAGCAACGACAACAAATTACTTTTGTATCTCGCCTTTTACGTTGTGAATGTGTGCAAAGTGAAGGGGACTGTGGGATGAAATTTGAAAGGGTGGGGATAAATAATAAACGTAGTAGTAAGGTCAGAGATAGAGTTGTGGGTGGAAAAGTTGAAAAGTATGAAGTTGACGAGAGAAATCTTGAAGGTGTGTCAGTCTGCCTCAGTCCTGTAGCTCAGTGGTTAGAGCACTCACCTCGTAAGTGAGAGACTTGGGTTCGATTCCCAGCAGGGCAAAACGTTGGACAAAATGTTGGGCAAATTTCCTTACTCCACACACTTCTATTTACCTAGCAGTAAATAGGAACCCAGTTGTTAGTCGATCGGTGAATTGCTTTTCTGATGGTAATAATTCCTTCNAAAAAAATCAATAAGTCACTTCAATCCACGGCAGTTTGTGGGACATTGCTGTGCATAATTGGCTGCCGTGTTTCGCCCACAAATATACAGTCAATTCACTTTACAGTATATTCTGTGAAGCGCTTTGAGACGTCAAAAAGACGTGAAAAGCGCTATATCAAATGCAAGGATTATTATTATTATATGGCGCTATAAGAAATGCAAGTATTATTATTACTGTGGACCAGACAGTCTTAGGAACTGGATTGCCAATAATGCTGCAGAGGATTGATTCTGACATTACTTTGCTAAACATGTCACCTTGTTCAGTTGACCTTATCAGTGAGTTTCCACATTAATTGAAATGATTTTTTTTCAATCTGTGAATACTTTTACAAGTGTAATTTCAAGTATCATATTTCTTGAATGATGACTTTGCAAATGAATTGCTCACCTTTCTCTCATTTTAATTTCCTGCTCTAAATAGGTTCTGGAGAGGTATGTACAACCGGTTTGAGAAAGGGATGCATCCTCGACAGTCTGTCATAGAGTATCTGATGGCAGTGAAGGAAGAGACTCAGCAGCTGGAAGACGAGCTTGAGATGCTGGAAGAGGTAAGTGGGAGCAATGTGAAGATATAAAATTGTGCAGTACATTAGGTTTTATTTTTACAGATGGATGGATTACTGCAAATGATGTAAATATGCAGTTAATGCTGAATTTACTTGTGAGTAATACTTTATTGTGCAGTGCACCAGTACAGTTGCAGACAATCCAGCACTACATTTTGAGCGACTGTTGTTCCTGTTGCCTCAGCATTTCTAAATGGGAGGATTCCTGTGACATGATGACATTGTGTGCAACCGTGGACCATGTGATGTCATCATGTAAGTAGTGCAATGACAGATACACCGCTTAAGTGGTGCAAATGACAGATGTATCATGTGTCATTAGGACTGTGGCTTGCAGAATTAACAGAAGCTGAGTGGGAAGAATCCCTGCTTTCAGTCTACCTCTCAAAGTCCTGCTGATGAACCTGGTCTGTCATCAGTGCCTTAAACTGTTTACTATCGCTGTGGAAGGCAGGAGGTCTGCTCTGTCAGGGAACTTTGCTTCTGGCCATCTTTCCGGTTCTACTGCTGTTATTTTTGGTAGTGGATATCAGGAAAATAAGTGTACGAGTTTGTACAGGCATACCTGTACTGCTTTCATGTAACCTGAGATGATACTAAACTAGTTAACATTCATATTACACAGCAGTTTATTTCGCAATTATTAGGTAGCAACTAAACGTTAAACATTGGAGGAATTACTTGTGGTATTAATTTAATATTCACCAATTCATGCACAGAATTTGTTTTGTTTTGACAGAAATTAGCCAGTCTGGATAAATCCTGCATCAATGCTACAAAGGGAAAAATCATACTGCGTCACAGACACAAAGTGGAGATTTCCACTTCTGATCAAGAGTTAGCCAACACTCCTCAAGACTACTCCAACAATGGGAGAATATTCACCTCTCGAAGTGCCTCACAGACAGATGATGATTCTCAACCGGTGATTCTAACCCATGACCTGAAGCAATCCGATCCTGATCTTTCTGCCAATAGCGACCAGGAATCTGGTGTAGCGGATCTGAGCTGCAGATCACCAAATGGTGACTCCCTTCCTAGTGAAGATAGCAGTAAGAATCTGGCAGAATACCCAGAGGAAGCTGCCATTGCTGTTGCATGATATTCCAGAGGAACTGACCTCATCACCTTGCTTTAAGAGATCTTTGTATTTAAAAAGGTGTTCTTTGGTTTGGTAATGAGATTGGTGCATTTTTGGAACACAAAATTTCACTACTAAAATTGTAAGTCAGATCTTAACGTAGAACTTTTCCCAAACAAACTGCTGAGTTAACTGATCTCAATCAGAGCAGTGCTGCAATTGGCCCCAAAGTCACAGGTTTGGGATGGAAAAATAGTCAGTGCCCTTGTGTCTGATTGTCATTCAGTAACCTGCTGTAGGTACCTAGGGGGTCAATGTCTGTTGAAGACATGACTAGTCTGATAGGTGTACAATAATTGTTACAATTCATATGGCACCTTGTGTAGTTAAAACATCCAGAACATCACAAGTAATATCAACTATATTGATTGTTTATGTAGGCAAACACAGCTGTCATTTCCGGTAGCAATGGTCCCACGAACCACCGAGAGGTGAACGATGCACTAGTGAAGGATTGACCAGGACACCAGAATTTTTTTTTATTTTGAAATGGGATCATTAATCTTCATCTCAACAGGTAGACACATCCTTGATATTAATGTCTGTTAGGGAAAAGGCCACTCTAAATATACAGCACTGTCCTAGTAATGCAGTGAAGCATCGGTCTGCAACTCAAGTCACACTTGAGCTCACAATGCTAGCAACTAAGTTAATCTGATCCTCACCCATCTCCCCCAGTCTTGTGGTCAGATAGACTGCTGGCACTCAGACAAAGCTCATACATAAATAGCCAGTTGGCAGAAGTACCAGGGAGTGAATGGTGACTGAGAAAGTGTAACCAGTAGGAGAATAAAGTCAAACTACATTCGGGACAGTGGAGAGAACAAATTTCAATAAAGTCAGTGTTCTAGCTATAATAGACAATTTTGCTGTTTTCCATCTGATCTATAATTTTAAAAGCTTTTCTTCCCCAGAGCAGTGTACTTCTTTGATTCTTTTACTCTGTGGCAAACACACAATTACTCACTGAATTTGGTCTCATCCTTCCAGGTTACCAATCCTAACAGCTACCCATTACAGTATCAAACAATTGCTTAATTGAGTCTAGTGTCCTGGCCTCATCCACTCTTCCTTTTTGATTGCTCTCTTTGTAAAGATACATGTCCTGGCATCCTTTCCATACCAATATTATAGTTGAGGGTTTATTTCCCTATCTTTTTATGAAATGAAGACTACCAGTGATGATGCATGTTGCTGGCATATTCACGTTTTTTGATCATTCCTGACAATCTTATTGTACATCTTACTCTTAACACTTTATAAATGGAAAATTTGTTGTGGCATCATGTTATTTCCTGTAGCATTTAATGACAAAGAAATAAAGTGATGTATGTGTACATTCTTACATTTCATGTAATGGTAGCTAAATTATATCCATGTAGGCCAACTCATTTTTGTGAAACATCTGAAAAAAATTGCACTGTATCTAACTATTTTAAATAAATTATACAGATTATCTTTAAAACTGCTATTTGTAACACTGTCCATTCAACATGCTGGGACTCAAAGCACAGAAAACGTTAGCTGAATAAATTATACCAGTGATAAAACAAGATTGAAAAGATTTTATGAATTGCAAATCAACTATTCTGAATTAATTAAAGCAGTGTTTAATACAGCAATTATTCAAAACTAAAGTTACTTACAAATGTAAACACTTTGTATTATAACAAATGGCATAGGTTAAAATGCCAAAAATTAAAATTGGAAAGAGATTCCTTTAGCAATTTTGCAGTACATTAATACTGGAAAGAGCGATTTCAATATCACAAAGTCAGCATTGCATAAGAATTTGTTAAATATATTTTCATCCATCTGTAATTCTTATTTCGTTCCACTTGTCTCCAATGTGGTGTATTGCCATTTGCGCCCCTTGCATTTTAAAAGCTGATGGGAGAAAAGAAGCGTTGTTAGCATTTAGCAATAACAGAGACCAAAATTAGTAAAATTATTTAAAGTAAATAAACATCACAAAATTGATCTAGATCAGGAGTGGGCAAAATCCGGCCCGCCAAATGCTTCTATCCGGCCTGTCATTGTGTCTAATAGAAAAAATTATAGTTTGTTCAGTCCCAGAAAGTCGCACAAATTTTGCATTTGAGTCTGACCGGGAACATCAGCCAATTACTGCTTAGTTGTGCGCACACTCCCTTAAAGTGTTGAATCAGGCTGACGCCAGAAATGTACGGATCGGCAAATTTTCAAACACGCGCCCGGCAACACTTTTCACTGAAGAGGACGTTAATTCAAAATGAGTTGATTAAAGAAGCAGAAGGTGGATGCTGAAGGCTGAATATTCAACAAAGAATGGACTTTTAATTTTTTTTAAACCAGGTGGAAAGTAAAACAATAAAAATAAATAAAAAAATAAAAAAAGTGCACAGTTTCAAAATAAAGTAAGCAATTTTGCATGTTTTTCACTGGCACTCGATGAGAGTTGTGATGTCAAAGCCACAGCTCAGTTGATAATTTTTATTCAAGGTATCGCCAAACATTTTGATCTCCCAGAAGAATTGGCATCAATGAGAGATACAACTGGAGAAGACTTTTTGGACGCAGTAAATAAGTGTATCTTAAAATTAGGAGTGGAGTGGAAAACAATTGGTGAATGTGACCACCGATGGAAGCCTAAATCTGACAGGCAAAAATGTTGGGTTACTGAAAAGAATTCAAGACCAAGTCAAAGAAACAAATCCAGAACAGAATATTGTTTTTCTACACTGCATTATCCATGAAGAGCTCCTCTATAAGAATGTTCTAAAACTAAGCAATGTCATGGACACAGTTACGAAAGTGGTCAACTCCATTCGAGCAAGAGGATTAAACCACTGGCAATTTGTAACTCTGCTTGAGGAACTGGAATCTGAGCAAACAGATGTTCTGTATCACACAAATGTAAGATGGCTTAGTGCAGGAAAGGTCTTGAAAAGAGTGTGGGAACTAAGAACAGACATTTATTTATTTTTGGGCATGAACCAAAAAGATTCGGATTTCCCACAGCTGAATGATGCAAATTGGCTCTCTGATTTCGCATTTGCCGTTGATATCATGGGCCACATGAATGAACTGAATTCAGCGCCTTGGGACGTCCTCCTGACGTGAAAGGCGCTTTATAAATGGAATCTTGTTGTTGTTGTTGAATTCAAAACAGCAGCGGAAGGGGGCCTTTGTGCACAATTTGTGTCAAGTCATTTATGACAAAATTATTTTATTGAGTCAGATAGGAAACAGGTGCTTTCCACCTTTGCAGAAGATTACTGTTTGTGATCAAAGCCTTAATAAGTATACTTTGTCACTACTTGGCTTACATGCTGAATTTTCTCACCGATTCCAGAATTTCAATTTGATTGAAAATGACCTGTCTTTGGTCTCTTCACCTTTCTCATTTGATGTTGATAAAGCTCCATTTGAACACCTCAAGCTTATTGACCTGCAATGTGATCCATTGCTTGCAGAGCAATTCAAATCAGTGCCGCTTCCCAGTTTTTACACCGCTCTTAATGAATATATCTTCCCCAAAATAAAGGCTCATCCCCGGAGGATGCTTATGCTGTTTGGATCAACATACATATGCGAGGAGTCATTTTCTGTGATGAAATTCAATAAATCAAAACATAGATCTGTGATGAGTGATGACCATCTTGCAGCAGTACTCCGCATCGGAACAACGGAGACGATGCCTGACTTCAATTGTTAACACACATCAGCTCTTTCATTCTTCCCATTGAGTGAGTTTCTCACATTCTCATCAACATGTGAGTAAATGAATAGAATAAATGTCTGCTCAATGAGTTGTTTTTAATTTAACCTAATTTTAATGAATGTCAATTATATAGGCTTTATTTTATGCATGTACAAGTGTAAGACTTAATTTTGAGCTATTATTAAGTATTTGCATCTATATTTAAATGTGTGGCCCGCAAAGCTTACCAAAACTCGGGAAGTGGCCGCCAACCAAAATAATTGCCCACCCCTGGTCTAGATGAATAAGGCCCTTCAGCTCATCTGAATCCATCCCTCCACAATATCCCCTTACTGTCTGTCCTCCAATCACAGGTCAAGATGCTTTTTCAAACAAGTCCAGTATCCTGGCCTCAACCACTCTTTCGGGGCAAACTGTTCCAATCATTAATTATCCCAGGGTGAAGAGAAATCCTGGTGTCTGTGCTGAAATTGTCCTTTGCCAGGAAAGAGAAATAGAGAGAGCAGAAACACAGAAAAAGGAGAAGTGAAAGCATTGTGGTTCACTATCAGGACCGATGATCGGAGCCTTTCTCAGCCACCAGGGGTGAGGACGACCGAGGGCAGACGTGCCAATTCCTCAAAGAAAGCTCCCGCTTTCCCAGTGAAAAACTTCTCTACTTCCTTCATTTCCATCTCTGCGACCTGGCCACTCCCATTGCAGAGGAAACACCAGCTGCCCCACCATTGCCATTTTGCCCCCATTATCTGGAGTTCGATTCCTGGAGTCACTCTGACTCACTCCCTCCATCCTCTTTCAAGGCACGTCAAGATCTAACTGTTTGACCGCATTTTCAGTCATCTTTTCCCCTTCCCATCCCTAGCTCAGGTACCCAGCCGGCAGTGTTGAGCGCTTTGAAATGTTCTTCCAACATGTTATGTTTCTGGAAGGGAAACAAAATATACAGCTAACGGACCTTTCTCAAATAGGGAATCTGGCCAGCAGCTGCCAAAAGGTTGGACCACTCTGCTGTAGGCAATAGTGGAACAAGCTTGACCGGTCAAATGATACTTTAGGTTAACAGCTGTACAAACATTTGACAATCATGTCACAAACATAAAGCAATCTGCTTAAACAACAACAAACTACATTTGTATATTGCCCTTTATGTCAGGAGGATGTCCCAAGGCACTGGACCAAAGCAGGGGGTTGGGATCAGGAGGGGTGGAGGGCAGGGAAGGTAGGAGGGTGGCCAAAGGCACGGTCGAAGAGGAGGGTCTTGAGACGTGCCTTGAAAGAGGCAAAGGAGCAAGGCGAAGGGACTGTGGGCTGGAGTTCCAAAGGGTAGGGGCAGAGAGGCTGAAGCAAGGCCATGGAGGGCTTTGAAGGTGAGAACTTTGAACTCTATCCTCTGGGGATGGGGGACTCATGGAACCAGATGAGGGTGGAAGTGAGGGGATCATGGAGCCTGGTGCAGAAGAGGACACAAGCTGCAAAGTTCTGGATGGTCTGCAGCTTGTGGAGGGAAGAGTTGGAGAGGCCGACAAGCAGGGAGTTGGCATAGTCGAGCTAGATGTAATAAATGCGTGGATGAGGGTTTTGGCAGCTTGAGGGGAGAGGCAATGGCGGAGCCAGGCAATGTTGCAGAAGTGGGGGAAGGCAGAGATGTGGGGTAGAAAGGTCAGTTGAGGGTCAAACAAGATGCTAAGTTTCCAGATTGGCTCAGTGAAGTGGAGTGAGTATTGCATCCCTGGATGGTGAGGTGTGGATGTGCTGACGGGAGCCAATCAGGAGAGCCTCGGTCTTGTTGACATTCAACTGCAGAAAGTTAGCTCTCATCCAGGACTTGATGTCTGACAGATATTCTGTCAGGACAGCAGTGGTCCTGGAGTTGAGGGTGGAGGCAGAGAGATAGAGTGGAGTGTTACTACATGTGGTAGATGACCCATGTCTGCGGATGATGTCAACAAGAGGGGCATGTACAGGTTGAAGAGGAGAGGACCAAGCCCTGAGGAATACCGCATTAGACGGTGCAGGGGCTGGAGGAGAAGCTGTTTGTGGAGACAAAGTGAAAGTTAGGATCTGAACCAGTCAAGGACAGAACCATGAAGATTAAGGCAAGAGGAGAGGCGGTAGAGAAGGTCATTAGTGTTATAATGAATCAACGGAATTATATTTGGGAAATTCTTACCTATAGTGTGTGAAACTGTCCATGTTGTAACATCAAATTCTGAAGCTTCTCTTCTTTGGCTCGTCTACAGTGGCAAAGCTTAAGACACAAAGGAAAATGTGGAAATTACTTGGGCTAAATGTGGCAAAGATTCTCATAAAAATCATATCTACAGCACCAGTATTCAGCAATATTAAAATTTCAAGAGTTTAAAGTAGTTCCAAGAACTGGTGAATCTTAGCAAGGCTAAGTAATTTGCTGTTGGCGGACAGCACAAAAGCTGTCAGTTACAGTAAAGCATTTCCAATCAGGATACACAAGTTGGCTGTCATTGGTAAAGCCGATTCAGATCGAGCACATTCCAAAACAACTAATCTTCTGTGACAACAGGTTTATTGTGAATAAAACAAATCAAGCAGTGGGATTCAATACCAAGGAATTGGCCTTTATATGTAATAGAAGAGAAAAAGATCAGTCATGTGTTCATGCTTCCCCCATGTTCAGAAGCATGGTTAGTTAATAGATAATGACTGTTGATCTTCCACTTTTCCTTCTCACCATTTTCGATTCCTTATACACGTTTACAGAAGCTCAAAGAACCAGGAAGAATAAAAAAATGCATTTACATCAAGGGAACAACACAATTTTAATCAAAGGAGGATACTTTTATTACATACTGTTCTTTTCTCCATGAAGCTGCTGAGAAAATCATCTATTTCGGCCTTGCCTTCAAGAAATTCCTCTGCAATCACCTCAGATTCCTCTTCTGCTTGATGAGCTGCTACTTTCAGCCTGGCCTGCAGGGCACTTAAGCTGCAACTCTAGGAACCCAAAATGTATTTTAAAGTCACACAAGTTACTTTAAAGCTTGTGTTTGGTTGCTGAATAACAGCATTCCTTACATTTGATACAGTGCCTTGCGTGTCAGGAGGGAGCACTAAAGATACTGTAATTGTAGTGACTATTTTGCGACAGTCAATTTGCACAGTAATGTCCCAAAACACCAATGTAGGGAGTGACATTGTTGGCCAGGACACCACCAGGAAAACTCCCTTCAATTTCTGAAAAGTGCCAAAGGACTTTAAACATCCGCCTGAACAGGCAGACAGATCCTCGATTTAAAATCTCATCCAAAGGATGGTATCACTGATAATCCATCATACTCCCAGCACTGGCGTGTCAGTGAAGACCATGTGAGTAAATGCAAGAAACCAGATGTTTTCACCTAACTAAACTGATACTATGAATGTACACATAACAAAGTCAGAGATTCCTAGAACCGCAGAGAAACGTTTGGCTCAAATTTACTGAAAGGAAAACTACAAAGTTTACAAACAAAATGCAAACTGCTGCTTACCTCATTCAGCTCATGCTGCCTTTGCATCTTTTTCTCAAAAGCAACTTTAAGTTGGGTAAGCTGATCATACTGCAATGTAAAATATATAACCATATAAGCAGCATATACAATAGTTTTAAAATGCAATATAATTATAAAATAATTGGGCCCTTACTTTATCCAACAATTCATGTCTTTCTGCTTCCAATCGAGGTTCAAGTTGCAGGTTTTTCTCTTTTTCGGAAAAAAAACAAAAATAATTAGTTTTAGTTAAAACGCATGTTAGTTGTAAAGAATCTAAGAGTTCATGATAACTTACTTGCCAGCTCTTCAATGTAACTAACTAGATCATCCTTGTCAGTACAAATCTGCTTCAATTGTGGCAAACCCATGAAATGCTCCAGTACCAGATCATCATTTCCCGATAACTCTGACAATTGTGACGTACTATAAAAAAGTCAGCACATGATCATTAACAAGATCAAAATTAATTAAGCACAGGTTTCAAAAAAACAGCATAAATTACCCAACACTTCAATCAAATCTCTAAGCTAAACGTCCTATGATCAGGGGCATTTTTGACACTGAAACATTAATGTTAGTTTTCACAAGCTCTGAAACAGCACAATTAATAACTAACATATTTTAAAGCTCAGAATTGTAACAAAATAGATGTATATTGAAATTTTTTTTTACTAATGGTTTAGCTACCCCCTTCCAAGTGCTCACTAGTCTGTATATTATGGACTTGTGACATTCAAAATGTGTGGATATTTATACTGATCCAAGTTCTGATCGAGTAGTGTTCATGTTTGCAGAGCAATGTACAGTGAAGAGCCAGGGCTGCCCAGATGAGGTATTATTTTTGCCAAGGGCTGCCTCAACAGTATTCACAGACAAGGATAGTCAAATAAAACAAACACTCCTAATTCCATTGGGACACTTCCAAAATAATTTCAACACAAACCAGTCATTCCACTATAAATCAAATTCTATATACTGTACCCAAGTTCTTGCAGCTCTGGAAATTGCTCAGGGACATCGGGCATCTTATAAATATGGCCATTCAAACCTGCCTAAAAAAACCCCAGAGAACTTAACACATACAAAGTAAAATAAAAATACAAAAGTTTGATCTGAAAAAATTAAGAAACTCATCTATTATCAGCATAAACGGATTCTTCAAATGCAGTTTAACCTCCACAGAACATAAGGCTATGCTCATCATTCACCCAGGGAAAATCACCAGTGCTCATTTTAGAATTATATTTAAAACAAATTTCATGTAACTTTTCCTCCATTGCGAAAAGAGCCAAACAACAGCCCAAGGTCCAGTGGAATGCAATTTGTAGAAGATAAGCTTCATTCAAAAACTGAGGCAGGCCAAGTCTGGACAGGTAATCTTTTGGTTTTCCTAATTTGTGTTTTGTCCACTCACAATTAATATTAATCCCTACATTTGATACACTGCCTTATCAAAGCACTTCATCAGAATTACTGTATAGTGACTGTATATTTTTGTAGACAAACATTGTGATTGTATCACAATATTCAGATCAAACCTGGGGTTGTTGAGTACTATTTTTGTCCGATCAAGTGCAGTATTGAACTTAAATTCCTGAGAGACCTGAGTTCAATTCCAGGCAGACGGCGAAACCTTGGGTAAGTTTCCTTACTCCACACTCCTAATAATAATCCCTCCAAAACCAAAAACAATAATAAATTGGTCATTTTCAATCTACGACTGTTTGTGGGACATTGCTGTGCGCAATTGGCTGCTGCGTTCGCCCACAAATATACAGTCAATTCACTTTACAGTGTGTTCTGTGAAGCGCTTTGGGACGTCCTCCTGACGTGAAAAACGCTATATCAAATGCAAGGATTATTATTATTAAATGTTCATATTATTATTAAATCTTCATATTATTATTAAATGTTCATATTATTATTAAATGTTCATAGTAATTCAAACTAGTTATTTTATTTCATTATACTTATGTTAAGATTTGTACACCTTGGACAAATACAGCCATGTGCAGTAAAGACCCTTTTATTAACATGGTAGATTGGACCCATAAATTCCCAACACTATGCTGGGCGTGATTGCAGGTTAGTGCTTTTACATTTACTGTACAAGCATGCAAAAAGATGGACAGTTCAATAGGCGACTCAAAAAGACACATTTATCCTAAATAAACTAGATAAGAATGGCTAAATCTCCCTTGAATTACTGAATTAGCTTTAACAAATTACAGTCAAACCTGTTAAAAGCTACCACCTCTATTCAGCAACTACCCTGGAACAGTCCACTGATTTTCCATAATAAATCATCTCTATCCAGCAACTACTTGTCTAACGCAACCCATTGCCACTCTTTAGTCCCATCAGTGGACTGACACCATTTTCAGCAACCATATCTGGTCCTGTGGGCTGCTCAGTGCCACGTTTACATACGCTAGGATTCTACACTTCAGCCCGTATAAATCTTTGGCCCCTGGAAACAACAATTTTAATTTGCAATTGATTGATTACTTTATTAAAACTAGTTTGATTTATGGGTTCAAATGGGCACTGTATTTTTCTATACACACCAATGGACCCTTACTGAGAGGCCACCCTTACATGAAGCCAGTTTGGTCCAGGCCCCTGAATGATGGTTGACTGTACTTAGCAAGGTCAGGGCTCGACTGTACTAACAATCGACTAAAACTTGAGATACCATTTTATGAAATTTATTTTAAGCAGAGTTGCAATTTTTAAAATCAGAACGCAAACCTACCTGTTGCGATGAGTCAGCTTTTGGGACTGGTAAAGGCAAATCTGTAATCAACCCATAAGCAGGGGCAGCAGGCCTGCTGTTAAAGCCTGGGCCTGAAACAGTATCTGGAAGACCGGGCACACTTGATTCCGGAGTTGGATATGGGGGCATGAATGGATATCCTTGCGGAGGGTAAGGATTCATTCCAGCAGGGCTGCTGTAACGGCTAAGAAAATAATACATTTATAAATATTACAAACTAATAAAGGCAAAAAAGCATCAATCTTAAGAATGCAACATTATTTCTCCTTTAATGAGGGAATCCCGCACAGTATAATAATGGATGGCCATATTTGAGACAGGTATGGTTTACATCAAAAATGGATATACAGTGGTGACCAGTTGGGGATCCATAAACTGCAACCTGCCTTATAGTGAGTTAGCCTGTCACAGTTGGTAACACATCGGAGTCCTGTAGCTCAGTGGTTAGAGCACTCGCTTTGCAAGTGAGAGACCTGAGTTCAATTCCAGGCAGGGCAAAACCTTGGGCAAGTTTCCTTACTCCACACAGAGCCTAATAATAATCCCTCCAAAACCAAAAACAATAATTAAATTGGTCATTCTCAATCGACGACTGTTTGTGGGACATTGCTGTGCGCAATTGGCTGCCGCGTTCGCCCACAAATATACAGTCAATTCACTTTACAATGTGTGTTCTGTGAAGCGCTTTGGGACGTCCTCCCGACGTGAAAAGCGCTATATCAAATGCAAAGATTATTATTATTATTATTTGCCTCTGAGTCAGAATTTCAAGTCCTACATCAGACGTGCAACCCATATTGGCCATGTTGATGCTCCAATGTAGTATTGAGGAGATGTTGCATTGTTGGAAGTGCCATGCTTTGGATGAGACATTAAACCAAGGTCCCATATGCCTGTCCATCTGGATGTTTCTCCTGGTGTCCTGGCCAACAAATCCTCCAAATAAAATTGGTTAGTCATTCCATGCTGTTTTGGGATATTACTGTGTGGAGACGGCTGCCGCATTCATCTACAAAATACACAGAACCACACTGCCTTACAGTATATTCTGTGAAGCACTTTGAGATATCTCAATGACGTGATAAGGTGCCATAATAATGCATAGATTATTATAATGAGGAGGCACATGCACAAGGCAGGCCAGCTCTCTTCCGGCACAGTGGTTATAGCTTTCACACTAAAATTTACTACTTCTGAGTCATAAGGTCGTTTCAAATGCCATTTCTGATGTGAATACAGGAAATGACATCAGCAGCGATCTGGTCAGCTGGAATTCAGCCATATTCAGGCCAGCTGCACACGCGCACGGTCAATGGGGCCTCATTCCATTTACACTGTAAAACTGACCAGCGCTATAATGATGATTATTATAGTTGAGGGATCTAAATTGCTCTTAGTCAGTGGGATACAATAATCCTTAAATTTGATTTAGCTCTTTCAAAACTATGGGGACTTTTCAAAGTTCTGTATTTTGTAAGCAAAATGCTACAGCCAATTTGTGCACAGCAATGACCCACAAGCAAACCGTTTCATCTGGGGGATTGTTGGCCTGGATGCATTTTTTCGAATTGTGCCATGGGATCCTTAACGTTTTCTCCAAGGTGAAAATGACTACCAAGTAAACAATACTGCTTCATTCAATTACATACTGGTGTGGATTATCTAATGACTCACTTAATCTGAAGTAAACAGATAAATGTTTGAATGGGATATTACCATCACTTGCTAAATGAGCAAAGAAAGGCACAATGGCTGGGAAAGTGTATTCACATAAGTTAACTTTACATTGAAAAAGATTAACTTTCTATTTCACAGAAAGTGAAATGACAATCACTTTACACAGAAAGAAATCATACTTACTATGGAAAGGATGTTGAACTTGAAGCCAACGATGGAGGATTTTTCCAGAATTCATCCAGGACTGACTGGACAATTTTGCCAAGGTCGGAATGCATTGTGAACTTTAGTATCAAAGACAGTTTTAACAAAATTAATATCTTACCAGGTCTGAATCACTTGAACAAATTGTTTAACAAAATCACTTGAACAAAATTCTTTTTAACAAAACTGCAAGTTACCAGTAGTGTAAAGATGCATGACAGAAATAGCTTGCAGTCAAGAAATGCTAAGTTAAATAAAACTTATTTCGTAGAATCGTAACAATGCATCTTTCACAGATAAGGCACAGTATCCCCCTCCCCTTTTTAAAACAATCTCTTTCCCAACGTGTGGATAGCTTTGCTCATCAAAATAAAGGACGGTTCCTTTAGTACATGCCCCGGTTGAGCATGGCATTAAGAGCACATGTCTACGGTGGACCCATGCTCTGCCAGAAGTACAATACACTTTGGCTTCCAGCAATGATTAGCCAGCTTTCTGTGCTAAATAATGGCCAACTTCTGGGTCATCAGATAACTATTGATGTCACTCCTTGTGTGTTGTTTATATACGCAGGAAGCATGCCAAAGTCATTTCCTACGCATGCGCACTATGTACAGAGAATGCTGCTGACATCACTTTACACAGAAAACAATGTTATTGGTGCTTCCTGCACAGAAACAGTGTATGTCAATTATCAACCTGACAATTTGGAAGCCGGCCATTTTTTCCACAGTTTGCTTATAATAGTATGCAAAATCCTGTTTTGGATAATTGGATTGTACCATGCAAGGAAAGTCAGGATTTGGGAGTCTAAATAATTAAATGCATTACCTTTTCTGTTTTTAGGATTGACAAATTGATCAAAACTGAACTGTAACCAGTAGTCTATTGAATCCCATTTTATTATGGCATTAAAAAAGTACATACATTGCTGATCACTGGGCTTGTCACCAGTGTCCCATTATGCTGGTCCACTAAATGGTGCCTGACAGGAGGGAAGACTGTGACCACAGGCTTTTCTTGTGGAAATTGGGGAGGAAGCAATCTAGATAGGGGATGGAAGAAAAAGAAAATTAAAAGTGAATTGATTTCTTTAACCTTCCACTAACATCATGCCATCTACATACTAATGATTTATACTTGTCACCATTCAGTGACATAGGATAGCATATCAAGATAGAATAGGTATGGGAAAGGCTAAAGAGTCACAGTGCACTAAATCAGCACTGTTGAACCCAGATTTGTAGCTGTTGCAGTTTTTTGGGGAATTTTCACGAATGTACCCATTATCGTTTCTAGCTTGTTAAGCAGCAACACTCTTTATCTGATGGGGTACAGGACATAAACATTATAATCTCTCGTTTTGTATAGTGTGTCACATAAGCATCACGGCCAGAATCAGCCTGAGCTCTCACATGAGAGTTCACAACTGATAACCGCTGAATGCATCGAAAATGATGTGTTGGTCAACAACAATAACAACAAAAATCCCCAGTCTGCAGATGTGTATGAATGTGCTTCTCTTAGCTGTTACACCAGAGATGCATGTGTGAGTATCTTATTATGTACTACCACGTGAATCCAAGACACACGCGGAAACAGATAGTCGTAGTGCAATCACATTTTTATCAATGAACAGCAGCTAGTCATTTTTTTGAAATACTTACATGTTTATGTTGATTGTTATATTTTTAACAGTAAAAGGCAGTCGGTACTCCACATCCTTCTGTATTTCTGCAATGCTATAGAAAGGAAATCATTTCATGTTTTGCCACATTAGCTGGGAAATTAATCACAAACTTTTATGCTGGAAAGAGACTATTCCCCCTACCTGCCCGTACCCTCCGTTCCTCCGGCTCCGGTCTGCTCCACGTCCCCCGCCCCAACCGCCCTCCCATCGGTGGTCGGGCCTTCAGCCTCTCAGCCCGAGGCTCTGGAACTCCATCCCCCAGTGCCTTCGCCGCCTCCTCCCTTTCCTCCTTCAAGGCCGGTCTCAAGACCTTTCTCTATGACCGTGCCTTCAGCTCCCCTCTCGACTCTCTACCCCCTCCTCGCTCCCTCCCTTCCCTCCCCTCACCCTGACCATCTCCCCCCCAATGCTCAGGTCCCGACCCAACTGTACAGCGCCTTGGGACGTCCTCCCGACGTGAAAGGCGCTCCATAAATGTTGTTGTTGTCTCCGTTAATTAGCCAGGTTAAAGTTTAATTTAAGCGCACCGTCAAAATATATGGATTATAAAGTGACTGTTTTGATCGATCCAATATACACAGAGCTGTTTCAGATAAAAATGACTTGTAGTTCAGCATACATACATTTACTTTGTAATTTTAAAAAACTTAATACTGTAATACACTTAAGCATATTGTTCACAGTAATAGGAGTCACAACAATAATTCAAACTATGATTCATTAAAATACTCTATCAAAATACTCTATCAAATGTTCCCTGCTTCAATCTGTGCAGCATTTAGTGTTGTTTTTAAAGTTTTTTTTAGCATTTAGTTCTCCTAATGTGACAGACAGGCGCTATACAAATGTAATCTTGTTGTTGCTTATTTCTGGATTGGGAGTGGGGAACTTTGATAAATGTGCTTCAAAATACTCTCTCCACAAACAAGACAATTAATTTAAATTAAAAAGGAACTCGTGAAAATGGATTTCTACAAAAACGAACTCTTTTCTATCCATTAAACTTTCCTTTAATGCAAAGAACATCGGTCATATAACTAAAGATGCCCAACAGTGTTCAGTTTTAGATTGTACTAATCCATCAGCGGATTAAACCGCCTTTAGGTAATATGGTCGTACATTGTGGGGGGAGGAGGGGAGGGGGGGATTTGGAATAAACCATCCAATTACTTTTTTTGCTAAAAGTACAAGAGGAAAGTAAAAGGCTTCAGCTTCTTTGGCATCAGTCTGTGTGTTGGAGGTGAAAGGAAAATCTGAAATGTTTACTGCACTAAACAGCTGAGGCTCCGTGACACCTGACCCCAAACTCCTCGGAGTCAATTCGCTGTCAATCGTTCGCGGGCCGTGCGGGGGCCGTGCGCTGGGGGCCGGGCGGGGGCCGTGCGCCGGGGGCCGGGGGCCGGGCGCTGGGGGCCGGGGGCCGTGCGGGGGGCCGGGCGCTGGGGGCCGGGCGGGCGGGCGCTGGGGGCCGGGCGGGCGGGCGGGCGCTGGGGGCGGGCGGGCGCTGGGGGCCGGGCGCTGGGGGCCGGGCGGGCGGCCGGGCGCTGGGGGCCGGGCGCTGGGGGCCGGGCGGGCGGGCGCTGGGGGCCGGGCGGGCGGGCGGGCGCTGGGGGCCGGCGGGCGCTGGGGGGCCGGGCGGGCGGGCGCTGGGGGCCGGGCGGGCGCTGGGGGGCGGGCGGGCGCTGGGGGCCGGGCGGGCGCTGGGGGCCGGGCGGGCGCTGGGGGCCGGGCGGGCGGGCGCTGGGGCCCAGTGTGATGGGTCTCCCGTTTACAGGAGGGAAGAGGAGCCGGAGCCCCGGGTGGCTGTGGGCCTTCTCGCGCTCACCTGCTGTGGGAGCCTCTCAGCGACTCGATCTGCCGCTGCCGCTGCTGCTGGAGGCTGGTGAGGGCCGGGAGCTGAGCCCCGCCGCCGCCGCTCTTGTTTGTCTGGAAAATCCAGTTCATCCTCGGCCCCGGGGAGCGGCCTCCGCACAGGGAGGGGAGGCCTGGGGCTGCCTCACAGCGACACAGTCAGGGGCCGGGGACAGGCCGGGGGGGGGGGGGCGGCGGCGGCTCAGGGTCGGGGGCGGCTCGGGGCCGAGGGCAGCCTCTCCATCTGTGGCCTGTGTTCTCTCTCTCTCTCTCAGTCTCTGGTCGTTGCCACCCTGTGCACTACGTCACCCCCGCACATGCGCACTCCCCCCGCACCACATGACCGTTTACCACTTGTTTTTTTTCGAAATAAAAACGAAAGCAGCGCCGCCGCCGCCGCGTGTCTCTCTCTCTCGCGCGCGCCCCCCCCCCTCGGGCCCCTCCCGCGGGAGACACCGTTTCCCGGTCCCCCTTTTGCCGCCCTGTCTTCTTCTTTGTGGCTAAAATTTTCGGGGCACGAAGACCCGTGACGCGGAGGCGCGGGGGGGTGGGGGGGGTGAAAGGTCAAGGCGCAGGTTCGGGTGACGCCATCGCGCCGCACGTCGTGGCCCTGGAGGAGGAGGAGGAGGAGGAGCAGCGGGTGTCGGTGAGGCGGCGAGGAGTCGGGCTGTGGGCGGCCGCTGGGTCTGGGTCTGAGCCTACAGCACATACAGGAGAGCGGTCTGTCACAGCCCCGCCAGCCCCCCCCCGGCCCCCGGGCCAGCACCCCCCGGGCCAGCACCCCCCGGCCCCCCGGCCCCCGGGCCAGACAGCCCGGGGACACAGGTACAACCTTCACCCCGCACTTGCTCGTTGTTTCACCCCCAACGCTCACTCCCTCACTCACTCACTCACACCACACACGCGCAAGTTCGCCATTTGCTGAACCGCTGGGGTGTGTGTCTCTCTCTCACACACACACACACACACACACCCACACACAGGGGGTCTGTGTCCCCGCCACCCTGGGGCTCACCCTCACACACACCCTCACACACACACACCCTCACACACACACACACACCCTCACACACACCCTCACACACACCCTCACACACACACACCCTCACACACACACACCCTCACTCACACACCCTCACACACACACTCACATCCTCACACACACACACCCTCACACACACACACCCTCACACACACACACACACACACACACACACACACAGGGGGTCTGTGTCCCCGCCACCCTGGGGCTCACCCTCACACACACCCTCACACACACACACACACACACACACCCTCACACACACACACACACACACCCTCACACACTCACACCCTCACTCACACACACACCCTCACACACACACACACATCCTCACACACACACACACTCACACACACACACACTCACACCCTCACACACACACACACATCCTCACACACACACACACATCCTCACTCACACACACACACACTCACACACACACACACCCTCACATACACACACACACACTCACACCCTCACTCACACCCTCACACACACCCTCACACACACACACACATCCTCACACACACACACCCTCACACACACACTCACACACACACCCTCACACACACACCCTCACACACACCCCTCACACACACACACCCTCACACACACACCCTCACACACCACCACCCTCACACACACACCCTCACACACACACACACCACACCCTCACACACCACACACACACCCTCACACACACACACACCCTCACACACACACACACCCTCACACACACACACACACCCTCACACACACACTCACACACCCACACACACCCTCACTCACACCCTCCCACACACACACACCCCTCACACACACACACACACCCTCACACACACACTCACACACCCACACACACCCTCACTCACACCCTCCCACACACACACACCCTCACACACACACACCCTCACACACACACACACACCCTCACACACACCCACACACACCCTCACTCACACCCTCACTCACACACACACCCTCACACACACACACACACACCCTCACACACACACACCCCTCACACACACACACACCCTCACTCACACACACACACACCCTCACACACACACCACACACACCCTCACACACACACACACACCCTCACACACACACACCCTCACACACACCCTCACTCACACACCCTCACACACACACCCTCACTCACACCCTCACTCACACCCTCACTCACACCCTCACACACACCCTCACACACACCCTCACACACACCCTCACTCACACCCTCACACACACACACACCCTCACACTCACACCCTCACACACACACACACCCTCACACACACCCTCACACACACCCTCACACACACACTCACTCACACACACACCCTCACACACAGTCACTCACACACACACACACACCCTCACACACACCCTCACACACACCCTCACTCACACCCTCACACACACACACCCTCACTCACACCCTCACCCTCACACACACACACCCTCACACACACACACCCTCACACACACCCTCACTCACACACACTCACACCCTCACTCACACACACACCCTCACTCACACACACTCACACCCTCACTCACACACACCCACACTCACACCCTCACACACACCCTCACTCACACACACCCTCACTCACACACACCCTCACTCACACCCTCACCCACCCTCACTCACACACCCTCACACACTCACACTCACACACACCCTCACTCACACCCTCACTCATACCCTCACTCACACACACACACACACACACACCCTCACACACACACACACACACTCACACACACACACACACACACACCCTCACACACACACACCCTCACACACACACACCCTCACTCACACACCCTCACTCACACACCCTCACTCACACCCACACCCTCACACCCACACCCTCACACACACCCTCACACACACTAACACTCTCACACTCACACCCTCACACCCACCCTCACACCCACCCTCACACCCACCCTCACACCCACCCTCACACTCACTAACACCCTCACACACTCTCACACACACCCTCACACTCACTAACACCCTCACACACTCACACACACCCTCACACACACTCACTCACACCCTCACACTCCCTCACACCAGCTCACACCCCCTCACACCAGCTCACACTCACTCACACCCTCACACTCACTCACACCCTCACACTCACTCACACCAGCTCACACTCACTCACACCAGCTCACACTCACTCACTCACTCACACCAGCTCACACTCACTCACACCAGCTCACTCACACCCTCACACCAGCTCACTCACACCCTCACACCAGCTCACTCACACCCTCACACCAGCTCACACTCACTCACACACCAGCACTCACTCACTCACTCACACCAGCTCACACTCACTCACTCACTCACTCACTCACTCACTCACTCACTCACTCACTCACTCACTCACTCACTCACTCACACCAGCTCACACTCACTCACTCCAGCTCACACTCACTCACACCAGCTCACACTCACTCACACCAGCTCACGCTCACTCACTCACACCAGCTCACACTCACTCATTCCAGCTCACACTCACTCACACCAGCTCACACTCACACCAGCTCACACTCACCCACTCACACTCACTCACTCACACCAGCTCACACTCACTCACTCACACCCACCTGCCCACGCCCGCCTATACCCACCCACACCCGCTCGCACCACAATGGATCAAATTGATTCATTTTCTGTTTTTATTCTCTCCCTCATGTTATCCTTTCTCCCACCTCCCCGTCTTCCTTCCAGTGTCTGTACAACTTCTAACAATCCTTGCATTTGATATTGTGCTTTATCAGTCTTTGAGACGTCTCAAAGTGCTTCACAGAATATACTGTAAACTGAATTGACTGTATATTTTGTGGGAAATATTGCGGCTGCTGTGGGATGTTTTGGTGTTGGCATTTCGCACAGTCACTACACTTTGCAATAAATCCAGCAAAAATGCTTTGAGATGTCTTCATGTAAATGAAAGGCTATGTATCAATGAGTTTCCTCCTCTCTTTTCCCCCCCACCACCCGCCAACTGAGGAATCTTATTGGATGGAGACAATTGCCTCTGACACAGCAACTTAACACAGCATCAGATTTGGAGAAACCCTTAATTCTCCACATGTTATTAAACCTCTAAAGCTGTAGAAATGTTCAATTTATGATACAAAAATCCCTTAAGGTTGCACTGTGACAGTGTATGCAAACCATTACATTGTGCTAAGCAGCAAAATAAACTTGGTTCCTTTAGAAAACAATTGTGAAGCAAAGCTGCATTTTTTAAAATAAGCTCTATACTCTTAATTGGATTTATTTTATTAGTTGGCTGTGTGGCATTTTAGAGGTTTTGAAACCATCATAACAGTGTAAATGTTTTGTTGCACCATGATCGAGCTGCAATTGTGTTTGTTAAAAGAATTTGCTCAGTTTTCAAATTATCATTAGTTAGTTTGGTTACAAAATTAGAACATTTAGATGTTTGAAAATCTCTGTGGCACCACAGGCACCAAGATGACAATTATTTGTTTCTCTCTTTGTACATACCTCAAAGATTGAATGTTGTAGTTGATCTGAATTTGGTGATATGTGAAGATAATTTGTGGTATGTGATTTGATAAACTAGCTGTGTCAGTTCAACCATAATGTCTCGAACTGTAGTCTTGTAGTTTCACAGCTTTCATATTAAGGAATATCTCAAAGTGCTTGGCAACAGAAGTAGTGGTAAAAGAACAGGCAAATGAAAGGTTAGAAGATGTTTACCAAAGGGACCATTGAATAAATATGTTTTAGGGATTATGAAGGCAGAGTAAGAGGGAGAAAGACATTTTGGGAGAGATTTCCAGAGGATTTCTCGGCCACCGTCCGACGGAGCGAGCAATAGCCCAGAGTCAGAAGAGCAGAGAGAAAGGATTGAAATGTAGGCCTGGAAAAAATTGTACAAGTAGGATGGGACGAGACCTTAATGGGCTTAAGGATAAGGATCTTCAACTTGAAATCCTGGGAACTAATGGGAGCCTGGCAAGATTTTAGGGGTGGGTGGGAATGTGGGTGTGGAATTGAGTTAATGGAGATGTTAATGAGGAGAATAGTAATGGGGTGAGTTGAGGGCCTAAGTAGTTGAATGTGGAAGATGATTATCTTAGCGATGGACTTGTTGAGGCGTTTTGAAGCTCAGCTCGGAGTCGAGCAGGAATATTGATTTAGGCTGATTGAATACAAATAACCTTGAAGAATACTCATATTTTGGAGAAATGGGTGGCAATTATATGGGCATAATTTTGAAAATGAACAAAATCTGATGTTGAGCCCTATTATTAGAAAGATCTGCGGTGTATATACATTCTAGAAAATTAAATAGAGAATACATAATGACTGAAGTGCAACAAAAATCATATTTTAGCTTAGATAACATTAGCTGTGCATAGTCTCATAAAATTGAACACGCAACAAAACTTTTTTGTACTTTTCTTCAGAGTTCCATCTTTGGTCTTCTCTTCCTCATCTACATACTCCTCCTTGGCGGCATCATCTGCAGGCATGGGGTCCACTTGAATATGTAGGTAGTGAGACTTACTCTTGCTTTCTGCCTCCACCTTTGACTCCAGAACTATCGTTCTGACAGTCTGCCCATCAAACAACTAAAAGCCTTATCCACACCTTTGCCGCCCTCCATAAGCTCTCAGACTTCACCATCCCAAATCCAAATCCTTTCCTTGCTCAGCTCTATTGTTTTCCTAATCCCCATTTCCTAATAACAACCTTAACAACTTTTAAGGTTTATCTTCAAATGCCTCCATTGCCTTGCCAAATTCTACCTCTGTGATCTCCTGCGGCCTCTACCTCCATTAACTCTGGCCTGCTTCATGCCCACTCTTCCCCATCATTGGCAGGCAAGACCTCAACCACTCGTCCCCTGCTCTCTGGAATTCTCTTCCAAAATTCCTCTACCTTTATCCCGCCTTCTCTGCTCTCATACATTTCTTGGACTTCTATCTCCCTCCCATCTTAGGCTCCACAAAATCTTCGTAAAGCACTTTGAGACATTCTCCATTTGTTGTTTAATTATTGATTTGTAGTTTTACTTTGATTTGTATTTTAGTTTGTAGATTATTGTAGTTTGTACATTATTATTTTTACTAAGAAATAATGCTGTTGCACAGAGGTGTCTGCTTTTTGAAAAAAATGTAAGGAAACCCTCCAGGTCACGTAATATGTTTAAAATGCATTTGCTGGTTCTCAGTTGCTTTTAGCAATTGTATGATTTAAGGCATTGCCTTCTACAATATTGTCAGCCTGGCTCAGTAGGTAGCAATGTCATCTTGAGTCAGAAGGTTGTGGGTTCAAGCCCCACGTTGGGACTTGGAACTCGCATTGTCTGGGCTGACACTCCAATGCAGTGCTGGGAAAGCGTGCAATAACAACAACAAATAACATTTGTATGGTGCCTTTCACGTCAGGAGGATGTCCCAAAAGTGTTGGAAGTGCTGTCCTTCGGATGAAATGTTAAATCAAAGTCTTGTCTGTCAGTTCAGGTGAACGCTAAAGATCCCATGACACAATTCTAAAACATTTCTCCCAGTGCCCCGGTCACCATCCCCCCAAAATAAAATTGGTCATTCATTTCATTTCTGTTTATAGGAGATTTTGCTGTGTGTAAATTGGTTGCCACACTTTTCCTACAGAATACAGTTACTACACTTTACAGTATATCTTGTGACGCACTTTGATACATCCTCTTGAGGTAAAATGATTATTACTTTTCTATCCAAGATCTATCCATATTGTACACCAGCATGAGAATTTGCTTTATTTTCTGACAAACATATAGAGGAAGTTTTTTTTCTAAATAGGTGTTTTTTCTAAATATGTATTCTATAAGTTCTCTGACATCCCCACCCTCCTTGCTTCCCTCTGCCTCTGCTCCGTCCTCTGATCTCTGATCCTCTGATCTCCTCCCTTTCTGTCCCACCTCTCGCACCAACCCACTCGGTGCACTCACTCTTCTCCACAGCACCCTCTCCACCACACTCGACGTCCTTGCCCCCCTCACCGCCTGAACTGCCTCCTATTCCCGATCCTCACCCTGGTTCACCAGCCACCTCCGCTCGCTTAAGGGCCAAGTGTGGGCTGCCGAACGCACTTGGCTCAAATCCGACCTAACGGTCCACCGCCACATGTGACTGGACCTCATCAAGAACTACCGCTCCGCTCTTACCTCGGCCAAATCATCCTTCTATTCCAGGTTAATCCTGGAGGCGAAGGGCGGCCCCAGGCTCCTGTTCTCCACCACCAACCGGCTCCTCCGCCCTCCCAGCCACGCCTCGCAGATTCTTTCCTCTGACTCACTACGAGAAAATGCTGGGAATCCGCTCAGCTGCCGCTGCCCTCCCAACTTCCACCCCCCTCCCCACACTCTGACAATTACCCTCCTTCCACACCTTTGAACCTGTCACCCCCTCCTCTGTCTTCACTACCATAACCTTCATGAAGCCCACCACCTGCTCCCTAGACCCCATCCCCACCCCTCCCCTTAAATCCCAGCTCCACTTCCTTACCCCACTACTCGCCGACATCATTAACCTCTCCCTGTCACCTGGAACTGTTCCTTCCCCCCTCAAAACAGCCATTATCACACCCACCCTGAAGAAACCTTCCCTTGACCCATCAAAACTATCCAGCTACCGGCTCATCTCAAATCTCCCTTTCCTATCCAAGGTCCTTGAGAGAGCCGGTGCCTCCCAGCTTCTCTCTTTCCTCTCCTCACACTCCCTCCATGAACCCCTCCAATCCGGTTTCCGTTCTGCCCACAGCCTGGAAACTGCTCTGGTTAAGGTCACAAATGACATCCTGACCATGTGTGACCAGGGCTCCCTCTGCCTCCTCATCCTCCTCGACCTCTCCACTGCCTTTGACACCGTTGACCACTCAATCCTCCTCCACCGCCTCTCCTCCCACCTCAACCTTCAAGGTTCTGTAGTTGACTGGTTCAGTTCCTACCTTTCACACCACCTCCACTTCATCGCGGCAAACGGCTTCTCCTCCAGTCCCCGCACTGTCTCGTGCGGTGTTCCTCAGGGCTCTGTTCTGGGTTCCCTCCTCTTTACCCTCTATATGCTTCCCCTCGATGACATTATCCGCAGACATGGGGTAAATTTCCACATGTATGCGGATGACACCCAACTCTACCTCTCTGCCTCCATCCTGAACTCCAGGACTACTGGTGTCCTGACCGACTGCCTGTCCGACATCAAGTCCTGGATGAGGGTCAACTTTCTCCAACTCAACTTCAGCAATACCGAGGCCTTCCTGATTGGCTCACGCCAGCGCCTCCGCACCTCAGGCGCTGACAGCATCAGCATCCACGGCTGCACACTCAACCTCACTAAGCCAGTCAGGAACCTGGGTATCTTGTTTGACCCTGAACTGTCCTTTCTCCCCCATATCCGCGCCATGACCGGCACTGCCTACCACCACCTCCGCAACATTGCCAGACTCCTCCACTTTCTCGCCCCTCAGGCTGCCAAAACCCTCACCCACGCATTCGTCACCTCAAGGCTCGATTACGGGAACTCCCTCCTCATCGGCCTTCCCAACTCTTCCCTTCACAATCTGCAGATCATCCAAAACTCTGCTCCGTGACCCCATCACTCCCACCCTCGCCCGACTCCAATGCCTCAGAGGATCAAGTTCAAGATCCTCGCCCTCACCTCTAAGGCCATCCATGGACTTGCCTCCTCTTATCTCTGACCTGCTGACTCCCTACCAACCTGCCCACTCTCTCTGTTCAGCGGGCTCCGGGCTGCTCCATGTCTCCCACCTGACCCGCCCTACCATCGGTGGCCGGGCTTTCAGCCTCTCTGCCCCCACACTCTGGAACTCCATCCCACAGTCCCTTCGCCTCGCTTCCTCTCTTGCCTCCTTCAAGGCCGGTCTCAAGACCCTTCTCTTCGACTGTGCCTTTGGTCTCCCTCCCACCTCTCTGCCTTCCCTCCCCCTACCCCACCCCTCCCCCATGCTCAGGCCCCGACACCTGACTGTTCAGCGCTTTGGGACTTCCCCCCGACGTGAAAGGCGCTCTATAAATGTAATTTTGTTGTTGTTCTCCCTTATGGATAGATATTTTCATTTAGAAATGTTTTATACAACATCTAAAAATGTTGTATAAAAGACATTATGAAAAATGTGCAGATCCATTATTACAATATTATAGAATAGTTATTGAATTGTAAAGTCCAATATTTCTGTGCATTTTTGTTTTAGTGCTGGGGGCCTGTTGTAACATTCAACTTTTATTTTCTTTACTAAGTGCAAGATTAGTGCTTTAAGATTTTTGGTATTGCTTCTAATTTTTCTTTTTTGTTGTTTTGAAGGTTAAATATCAGGAGAAGTGATTGGCTTTACACTGAACTGTATGTGACTGTCCTCACCTGAAGGTGTAGCGTTTGGATGACTTGAATTCGGCAACATGCCAGCAGCAACAGTAGATCACAGCCAAAGAATATGTGAAGTCTGGGCTTGTAACCTAGATGAAGAGATGAAGCGAATACGTCAAGTTATTCGGAAATTCAACTATGTTGCAATGGTAAGTCAGTCATCTTGCGATTTAAAATCATTTTTACAAAAATTACTTCATTTCAACAGTGCATGTAATTCTGGGAGGTGTAGCTTGTCTAAATTGTTGGTCATTGCCTGGGTGTTCTTACTTTTTTGAAGTGAATTCTAAATACTAGTTTAGTTGCTCTGAAGTGTTGTCATCACTGTTTACTATTTCATAATAGGAGGCAATGGCTGGGTTATATGTAAGTAAATTTCCTTTTCATTTAATATTGGATTGGTTCAAAGGCATTTTTTTTTAATGTTGATGCTTTAGCTCTGCTAGTCCATCATGAATGCGGCTTTAGCAGATTGCGAGAAGAAATATTCTGTTTATTTTCTGCCAGTTGTTTTTGAAAGACACCCATGTGAAGGCTGATTTCACTCTTTCTCCTACTTTATTTTGCATTTAATTATATTCACTTTTCTAGCCTGCCTTTCTCTTTGTGACTAGTTTGGTTCCTTTTCGGGGCTGTCTTTTGTCCTTCAGTATGTGCAGTCCTTCCACTGAGCTTTCTCCTATTCCTAGAATGTCAAACTTCCATCTGCTGAATACAATTTCCTTGTGCGCATTTAATTTCTTCAGTCTTCATTTACAGATGGAGTGGATGCATGTTCTTATTTTCAATGTGCTTCTACTTCATGCAATGAAATAAGTTTAAAATGTGCTGTTCATTGCAGTTTTGTTGGCTCAGTGTTTCACTGCTCATCTTGCATTGTGTAGAAAAGCATGAATTAGTAATTGCAGTAGGGATTAATTTGATGCACTCTCTGGAAAGCAAGTAAGTTAAAAAAGCTCCTTAAAAGGGGTATTTGGGGGGAGGTTCTGAATATATTCCTTACTTAATTCTTTACTTGTCACAACACTTAACACATAACTGGTCACATTCTAGAAATCCTTGTAAGTACTTAGTTTGGATAACTCAGCGTATAAGGTGGTGTCTAGCATCGCAGCAGCCTCCCATTCTATCTGTGACTGGTGCGATCGCTCGGGGGAGGTTGGAGAATGATCAGCTCACATTCATCGCAGTGGACCCTAGTCTATTGGAGGACCAAGCTGTGGCCTCCCACCCTATCCTGTGTCAGGATAGGAATAATATAGGGCAGGAGGCCACAGAGGCCCCTCCAATAGACCAGAGACCTCTGCGATGCATCTGACCATGCGTGCGCAACCTCCACCGAGCACCCACACCAGTCACACTGCCCCTCTTATGACCCGGGTGGACCTATAAGCTGAGTACAAGGCCTACATCTATTTTTTATATTGGAGAGCTTTGAAATCAATTTGAACATTGGAATTTTCCCTAAGTTGCTCAAACTGTTTAGACAGATCTTCCCCGGAGGATATACTTCTGGAGACATTTTTCATTACACTTTATTAAAATCGCATACATAAAGAAAAGTCACGGGCAATCAGAAAAATCACAGAATCCGTGAACTGTTTACCACCATGACAACTCTGCAGCCCTAATAATAATCCTTGCATTTGTTATAGCACGTTTCAAGTCGGATGGACGTCCCAGAGTGCTTCAAAGGATATCCTATAAAGACTCTGTGTTTTGTGGGCAAACTTGACCGGCAGTTTGCACATAGCAAAGTCCCACAAACAGCCATGAAGTGAATGACCAATTTTATGTTAGGGGATTGTTGGCCAAGACACCAGGAGAACTTTGCTTCTCTTTTCAAATAGTACCACTGGATATTTAACATTCACCTGCACAGACAGACAGGACTTTATTATTATAATAATAATAATCCTCACATATAATGTAGGGCTTTATCATGTCGTTGAGATGTCTTAAAGCGCTTCATAAAATATACTGTAAAGTGAATTGATTATATTTTGTAGGCAAAACCTCAGTTTAAAATGTGCTGTTCATTGCAGTTTTGTTGGCAAATCCGAATGATAATAATAATCCTTGCATTATCACATCTTCTAGACGTCTCAAAGCGCTTTACAGAATATACTGTAAAGTGAATTGACTGTATATTTGTGGGTGAAACACGACAGCCGATTGCGCACAGCAGTGTCCCACAAACAGTTGTGGATTGAGTGGCCAAATGGCTCCTCTTAACAACTCAACACATTCCCAGCATTACATTAGAGTGCCAGTCCAGACTTTATGTGTTCCAAGTCCCTGCTTCACAGAATATACTGTAAAGTGGCTTGACTGTATATTTGTGGGCGAAACACGGCAGCCAATTGTGCACAGCAATGTCCCACAAACAGTCATAGATTGAGTGACCAAATAACTCCTCTAACAATGCACCACATTCCCAGCACTAGATTAGAGTGCTAGTCCAGACTCATAATAATCCTTGCATTTGATATAGCGCTTTTTGTGTCTTCTAGATGTCTCAAAGCGCTTCACAGAATATACTGTAAAGTGAATTGACTGTATATTTGTGGGTGAAACACGGCAGCCAATTGCGCACAGCGGTGTCCCACTAACAGTCGTGGATTGAAGTGACCGATTTTATCTTTTTTGTATTCCAAGTCCCATGAGAACCTTGAATCCATAACCTTCTGACGCAGAGGCGTCAGTGCTACCAACTGAGCCAACCTGATACACAATCATCGTCATTGCTCTCTGCTGCACTGCCTCTAGAGGTTGGGCAGCTACCTTATGTCATGACAGTTCTCTAGGTACCAGTTGCATAGCGCTTTATAAGAACATAAGAATTAGGAGCAGGAGTAGGCCATTCGGGCCCTCGAGCCTGCCCCGCCATTCGATAAGATCATGGCTGATCTTCAGACCTGACTAATTACCTGCCATCCCCATCCAGGCTACATCTAGAGTACTGTGGGCAGTCCTGTTGATGTAGCCTTACCAAAGCACTAAACAACTAGAGTATGATTTGACATTCCTAGATCTCGTTCAGCTTCTCCCTTGACAACTTCTATCCCATGCATCCCATCACAGTTGACCCACTTTAAAGTATATCTTAACAACATGATAAAGCGCTATATCAAATACAAGCATTGTTCTTATTACACGTTTCCTATTTGTACCTCCTGTATGTAGTACCTTACATTTCAACTGTGCTGAATTTAATTTATCATCAATCAGCCCATGTACATACCCTATCAAGCTCGTTCTGTAAGACCTTTGCTGCTTCCTCTTGAGACCACAATATTCCCTTCCCCCCCCCTCAGGCAGGTGTCATCTGCAAATATATTTACTTTTATGATGGGTCTGCGAATCCAGATCATTTATGTATACAAGGCATAGGAGGGTCCAAGTCAGGTCCTTGACGCAGGATACAGTATGACTTTTTTAAAAAAAACACACCAGTGGCATTAAACATTGTCACATGTGCAGAGTCAAATAGGCTAAGATTTAATTAATTTAAGTATGAAATCTTCTCAAACTTTTAGACGTTCCTAAAGTACTGAATATTACCTGTTTTTCCACTTACTTGACAACAGATCATCTTTTTATGGTTCTGTTGCATATTCAAAATTTGGTCAGTGTTAGTGCTGCATATAGTCATGTAAATGGCAAGTAAGAATTTGTTATAAAAACGTCATTTTTAAAACCAAATTGGGCAAAATCTTACTCCACTAAGTTGTTTAGTCTAACTTTATATACAATTAACGATTTAAAATAATCTTTGCAATTCTGAGTGTATTTTTCATAAGGTGTATAGTTCTCTCTAACATTGTGCCTTGTATTTTCTGCCACGGAACTTTCTTTTCATAAAATGCATGCTTTATGGATGTTTTTAAAAGCTGTTAAATCTTTAACTGCAAATTGTATACTGTACAGGTATGTCAGTACACACACGAGAGTTGGATTGATAGCAGTTTCTTCCTCACTTTCTACCTTCATTATTTCCTTTGTTTCGATGGTTTACTTCTGTAAAATTAAGTATTTATTTTAAATAATCCTTCCGTTTGACAAAGCGTTTTTCATGTTGGGAGGATATCTCAGTGTTCACAGGATTCACTATAAAGTGTAGTGACTGTGTACTTGTAAGTAAATGCGGTAGCCATTGTGCGCACAGCAATGTTCAACAAACATCCATAAAATGAGCAGCCAATTTTATCTGTTGGATTATTAACCAGCGCACTGGGAAAAACTACATTCTCTTTTCAACTAGTGCCATGGCATTTTTATAGTCCACCTGAACAGGGAGACCAGACCTCAGTTTAATGTCTCATCCAAAGGGCAGCACCTTCAGCACTGCAGCACTCCATTGGAATATCAGTATAAACTATCCGAGTTCAAAGTCCTCTGTGGGGCTTTTAATGTCCAGTCAGCTTTGAACTCATCTCTTTTCTGCTGACTTACAAAACTAATCTGTTTTATATCTTTAAAAATCAGGCTGTTAATAGAACCCCAGTACAAGTGAATCTTTTATGAACACCATCAATCTCATGGTGAAGTTGAAAATAGCTGGGATATATATATGTGTGTGTGTGTATATATATATATATAGCTAATGTAGACAATTATTTGATGTGATATGTATAGGTCATAATTTATGATCTTAATTATATACATATTGTTCTGCTAATTTAACTTACTCAAAGTTGTTGACTTTGAAAACTAGAGTTGTATCTTTAAAGGTAATCGTGAGAAAATAATTTTGAACTATTAGGGAATTGCTGATCACTTGATATCTGTTACAGAGAAACTTCACAAATGTATTTTCTTACTCTTGATTTATATTTCTTCATGCTGAAGGTTTAAGGAAAAATTCTGATGTTAAGCAATCACAATAAATGTTTATTTTGTGGCTGAAATGCACAATTGTGACAACCATTGCTTTTTGCATTAGTTGAAGCTGACACCAGTGAGTGCAGGTTGGGGTGTGCTGCACTTTCAGAGATGCCGTCCTTCGACTGAGACGTTAAACCAAGGTCCTGACTGGCTGTTCAAGTGGACGTTAAAAATCTGAAGAAATTGTTCAAAAAGAGAAGGGAGTTTCTCCCAGTGACCTGACCAACCAATAATCCTCCAGATAAAAAAAAATGGTCATTTGTTTCATGGCTTTTTGTGGGACATTGCTGTGTGAAAATTGGTTGCCATGTTTGCCAATAAAACACTGACTTTACAGTAAATCCTGTAAAATGTTTTGAGTTGTCCTTCCGATGTGGAAGTTGCTATATCAAATGCAAGGATTATTATTTTACTTTTAATGAGACTGAAGCTGTCAAGCTTCCTATCTTCCCTTCATTCAACCATTCCCACTGCTTTGTAGTTGAAATTGAGAACCTCATTTGGAAATCTATATGTAGTGGTTTGGCTTGAGATTCCCACTCTTTCCACCCCCCCAACATCACCCCATTCTGTCCAAGAGAAAATAAAATCTATTTGAGTCAGAATAAATACAATGATGCGTGAAGGCAGGCTACTGAAAATGTACATTTATCGCTGAGCAATGTTTTTAAATTACTAGCAGAGTAGAATCCCACTGTATCGCAGTAATTGACATCCCAAAAAACCAGCTAGCCTTGTAACTGGTATAATTCCAGCTCAGAGCCTCCACATTGTGATGTGATTGATTCATATGAGTGGCAACACAAAGTTGCAGAAAGCCAGTTGGCCTCCTACAAGCTTAACAAAAAAAAAAGGCCAACTGCTGGGTCACTTGCTGCGCATGGCAGGCAAGCGCATTACACAGCAAAAGACATTGGCAACGTGATCTAGAAATAGGCTCTTTTTAGCAAACACTAAGCTGGTGAGTCTATGCAGCCATGCTAAAATGTCAATAGGCTCCTTGCCTTATAAGTGCACCAGCCTTCTAAGAATGTGGTGTGCAATGGGTGGTTACCTATGTTTGCTATTATGGTAAAATAAGAAAGATTTATTGTTGGCTTAACAATGGATTTACTTAAATAAAATTTAAAGCAAAATTCTATTTGTCAATCTAGCACGTCTACTAGAGGAGTGTTTTTCAGTTGTATCTGCAAGAGAACCCTTTTTTGTTAGGAGAATTTTGTGTTTGTGCAAAAAATGGCAGTCTCACTTGAATGTCTGATGTGGACATGCTGGGGCTGTCAATAGATTGATAGAAGTGAATTCTGCAAAATTTCCCCCATATTAAAGACTAAATAACTGTTCTTGTCCAATCAAATTCTTCTTTAGTCTCGGTTTCATCCCGTTTTGACACTTGCTGAGATCTGTTTCAGCATGTGTAATCTGTACTTTACAGTGAGGTTAGTTTGTCAAATAGCAGAGCACTGAAAGCACATTTGTATTTTGATTTCAATAAAAGCAAACTCAATTGTATTCCATAACTTTTAATTTCAGATAAAAAAGGTACTTTCAGATTCAGCAGCCCCTTTCAAATACACCAAGGGACTGGGATAAAGAGCACAGATTAACCATTTCAAAGGACATTCTTAAGAACCATTGGGAAGTGTTTCTTCACCCAGAGCAGAACCAATGTCTGGGACTATCGAGGGTGGTTTAGGCCAGCATATTTAATAAACCACTTAATGTAACATGGGAAAATGCGATTAATACAGAGGAATAAGATTAAAAGGACCAATCATGTTTTTTATGTGAAACTCTTTTGTGAACCCGTGAGTTCTTTCACGTCACTACCATGATAATCAAGAGAAAGACTTCACTTTTTTTGAAATAGCAATGGCAGGGCAGTCAGTCCCTTTTACATTACCTAAAACACAAGGTAGACAGAATCTAACTTGACACAAAGAAAGATTGAGCTGATTATCTGGAAATTAATATGCATTTGTAAAGCGCTCTTCAAGTAGAATAACATTTATTTTGCAGCGCTTTACAGCGATGGTGCTTGGCACTGATCATAGATACTATCAAGAAGACCAAGAAGGGATGAGATGGATGGGGCGGAGAAAGAGAGCGCCAATATTGTCATGTCTTTTTATACCAGATCTTACCCTGACGTTTATACCCCATTTAGTGTTGATGCCAACGGCAGACTTGTCTTTTGGGGCAGTAAATCACAACATAAATTTACATTTGTATAGCACCTGTCACATTGGGAGGACAGCCCAATGTGGCCCTGTTGATATTGAATGCATTTGCCTTCTGAGGTAATAGTACCAGATATCACCAATTTTCAATACACAGAATTGTAGACTATGGTTGTTGGTACACAATCAGATAATTGTAATGTCATGGTGTAATGGAGAAGTCATTAGATGATGTCATATTTTAGGATTAATAGGCTATGAATTGTAGGTGCATGTGAAAACTGAGGGAGGGAAGGAGTTTTCTTTTTGGGAGTTCAGTTTTGAGGTTCTGGGAAAGAGTGAGTACAAGTGGAAGATTGAGGGATGAGGAAAACTGGGTAAGTTGGTGTTTCCAATTAAGAGCCCAAACTCACCACAAAATGCATTCAGAAAGCCAGTTGGCTTTATGTTTAAAACCTTGGTCGGTTTCTTGTGCCTGCACTAAGACACAAAGAGCACAATACAAATGCAAGTTGTTATAGTGGTGGTGCAGTAAAAAAGGACTGATTTCTGGCGCAGCATGCAGGAATCGATGCCAGTTTCCTGATGATCCAGAAGTTGGCCATTTTGTTTCAGTGCACTATTGCACACTGACCGGCATTGATCCTGTTATAATGCTTGGTATTTTATGGACCCAAACTACTGTGTTGGCAAGGGACTCTACTTGTAATATGGATTCACTTTCAATTTAGCTCAACTTCTATTAAACTAATAAAAGGATTTTATCATGATGAACTGCCAATCCTATGAACATTAATTCTATGCACCATTCAGTAATGTGTTAGGCAAAGGTGCAACAATGATTATATTACAATACTTAAAGGTTTATTACAATGTGGAGTAAATTGTCACAAATGCCTATTGAAACTGAGTCCATTGTGTCATTAGAAAAGGAATTCAATAGACATGAATAATAAAGATATAAAAAGCTCTCAGAAAAAAGGGATATGGGTTTAGAGTACTTGGGCAGCTGTGGGTTAGCATGACAGAAGCCACTATGGGCCGAATAGCCACTTACTATGCTAAAATATCTATAATTCTGGCTTCATCATTTTGCCAGCTTTCCATTCAGTTCTTCCTGAACATTGTCCAGCCATGTCAGTTTTAGCCTTTTAAATGATCTTTTCAAAGCCGGGAGCTTCCCATCAACTTTTGAGGCACTGAACTGCAATCACACACTGACATTCCATGTCCACAATACTGCGCTTACTGTACAATGTTCTGCCCTGTCTCCTCGTACTGAAATGTGCACTGTATAGGGCATGGGGGCACTCCTCATTATTTTAGTCTTGTTCTTAAATTCTTTTCAAATATTTAGGCATTGTGTTTCCTGTTATTAATTGGATTAAATCCAAGAAATTCAGATTACCAGATCACCTATTATGCTGGCCACTAACTTTCCAGTTGAAGAAATATTTTGTTGGCCAGTAGGCTATGCATTAAACTGAAAGACAGAATATTGAAGATTTTCCTCTTTGACCATGCTTACGGTCACCCCCAACCCCCTGGCTTGGCGTCAGGCTTTGAGACACTGTTACAACTTACACCTATGATGTAGATTCTGTTTAAACACTTTTAGAGTACTTTTTAATCTTTCAGAGACCAGTGTAGTCTGATGTGGACTACCTTTCAATTCGTATAACCTGGAAAGTTCCAATGTGATGGTTTGGCGTTTTGCCCACAAAATATATGGTCAATTCACTTTGCAGTATATTCTGTGAAATGCTTTTGAGTTGTCTTGAGGATGTGACAGGGCGCTATATCAAATGCAAGGATTATTATTCTTATTGGTCATCTAATTAAAATAATGCCTTTTTAATCCTTGTAAATAAACACTTTTAAAATTTTGCCAGGACACAGAATTTCCAGGTGTTGTAGCACGACCGATTGGCGAATTCCGAAGCAATGCAGATTACCAGTATCAACTATTGCGTTGTAATGTAGACTTACTGAAGATTATACAGTTGGGGCTGACATTTGTGAATGAACAGGGCGAGTATCCTCCAGGAACGTCGACATGGCAATTCAACTTCAAATTTAATCTTACGTAAGTACACCTAAAGATCTGTGGTACCTGTTATTTACCACTTAAACTCATTATGTCGCTGTTGAAGGCTTTTTTTAATGTTTTATTTTCTGACTCTCACAACACAATGGCAACTGTGCTTGTGTGAAGGATGATTAAAGACCTGGAAACTGATGTATTCTTGTTTGTAAATGTTGGGAAATGGCAGCTGAATGTTTGTAGATCGACCAAAATAGGAATATATAGAACAGGAAAGGAGTATTTCTGTCCTTATTGGCGGGGTCCCATTTTCAAATCCCATCTCCCTATCCCAACTACCTCCCCAAACCCTCAAGAAACTGCCCATTCTAGCACATAGGGCCATTTATTGTGAACCTCCTGACCAATTTGATTATGGTTTTGGTAGAAAGATATAATAATGGAGAGCAATGCCACTATAGCGTTTTAAGCGCTCCGAGATACTACCCCATGTTAAAGGCACTATATAAATGTAAGTTGTTGTGGTTGTCGTCATCCCCTATGGTATAGCACTGCCTTGTTTATAGCGCTGATGTCCAATGGATCCTTGCAAAGTGGAAATGCAGTCAACTGACTTTCCATGCTAAAAAATAAATGGCCGACTTCTGGTTTAGGGTTCTGATGAAGTTGAAGGAAACTGTAGGGAGAGAACTTTTTGTCCAGCTGGGGATTGCTACATACCTGTTGATTCCATGATATCCCTTGGTTGGATGGTTGCAAATCGGCTGCCAGGCACCATAAAATTAATTGGAGCCGCTTGAGAGACAATTCCACCTCTGTTAGTGATGATGCTCCAGTGACTAAGCTGAGAAGTAAAACAACAACAACAACAACAAGATTCCATTTATAAAGCGCCTTTCACGTCAGGAGGACGTCCCAAGGCGCTGCACAGTTGGGTCATGACCCGAGCAGGGGGGAAATGGTCAGGGTGAGGGGAGGGAAGGGAGGGAGCGAGGAGGGGGGAAATGGTCAGGGTGAGGGGAAGGGAGGGAGCGAGGAGGGGAAGAGAGTCGAGAGGGGAGCTGAAGGCACGGTCAAAGAGAAAGGTTTTGAGACCGGCCTTGAAGGAGGAAAGGGAGGAAGCGGCGAAGGCACTGGGGGATAGAGTTCCAGAGCCTCGGGGCTGAGAGGCTGAAGGCCCGACCACCGATGGTAGGGCGGTTGGGGCGGGGGACGTGGAGCAGACCGGAGCCAGAGGAACGGAGGGTACGGGCAGGTAGGTAGGGGGATAGTAGGTTGGAGAGGTAGGAGGGAGCAAGGCCGTGAATGGCCTTGTAGGTGAGGATGAGGATCTTGAAATCAATCCTCTGGGGGATGGGGAGCCAGTGGAGGCGAGCGAGGGTGGGAGTGATGTGGTCCGAAGCCTGGTGCGGGACAGTACACGAGCTGCAGAGTTCTGAATGACCTGCAGCTTGTGGAGGGAGGTGGCGGGAAGGCCGGCGAGGAGAGAGTTCCCATAGTCCAGCCTTGAGGTGACAAAGGCGTGAACCAGGGTTTCAGCAGCGTGAGGGGTGAGGTAATGCCGTAGTCTGGCGATGTTCCGGAGGTGATGGAAGGCGGTGCCAGTTGTGGTGCGGATGTGAGGGAGAAAGGACAGCTCAGGGTCGAACAAAACGCCGAGGTTCCTGACTGGCTTTGAGAGGTGGAGAGTGCAGCCTTGGATGCTGATGGTGTCAGCGCCTGAGGTGCGGAGGCGCTGACGTGAGCCAATCAGGAGGGCCTCGGTTTTTCGCACGTTGAGCTGAAGAAAGTTGTCTCTCGTCCAGGACTCGATGTCGGACAGGCAGCTGTCAGGACATCGGTGGTCGTGGAGTTGAGAGTAGAGGAGGAAAGGTAGAGTTGGGTGTCATCCGCATACATGTGGAAGTTAACTCCATGTCTGCGGATGATGTCACCAAGGGGGAGCATATAGAGGGTGAAGAGGAGGGGACCGAGGACAGAGCCCTGAGGGACACCACATGAGACAGTACGGGGGGTGGAGGAGAAGCCATTCGTCGAGACAAAGTGAAGACGGTGAGAAAGGTACGACCTAAACCATTCAAGGACAGTGCCTTGAAGGTTGAGGTGGGAGGACAAGCGGTGGAGTAGGATAGCGTGGTCGACCGTATCGAATGCTGCCGATAGGTCGAGGAGGACGAGGAGACAGAGGGAGCCCTGGTCACAGATGGTCAGGATATCATTGGTGACCTTGACCAGGGCAGTTTCTGTGCTATGGGCAGCACGGAAACCTGACTGAAGGGGTTCGAAAAGTGAATGGGTGGAAAGGAAAGAGCGCAGTTGGGAGGCGACAACTCTTTCCAAGACCTTGGAGAGAAAGGGGAGGTTGGAGATGGGCCGGTAGCTTGATAGAATGGGTGCAACTATTCTTGACCAAAGAGGACATTTGGCAAACAGTAATAAATGGAGTAATAGTTTATATTTAACATAGTTGGGGAGTACTTGGACCAGCATCACTCTCTTTACCCTTGTCTTTCATATATTATGAAGATATACAGAAATAAAAAAAAGTTAGAGTGGTGGATATATGCATGTTTGCTTATCTATCTTATCTTTTACACTAATAAAACGACAATATCTGTGTGCGCTTCAAGAAGGATCTCAATACCTGATTGACATAGAGATGTGATTTATACCTCATCAGAAAGGTCTTGCATCCGGGAGTGACATAGGCATATTTGTTTTCGGGTATCTCCTATCGTTCATGAGTTATGACCTAGATTGTATTTCACTTTAACTTGGTGGCCGCCAAGTGTGTCCCAGAGCACGCAAGTAGCCAAGCGGAGGTGGGAACAAAATAAAGAACACAGACGAAGCTAAGCCATGGTGACAACAACACAATTACATATTTAAAGTGCCTTTCACTTCAGGAGGACATCCCAGTGATTACAAATTATGCAATATTTATTATTATAAAGATGCCTAAGTGAAAATCAAACCTTTCAAGGATAAGTAAAACTGCTCGACAAAAGAGAGAAGGCTCATTAAATGAAATTGAAGAACAAAGAACAGTGCGGTTGTATTTCAATGCTGAAAGGACTGCAACAGTGCGCCAAAATTAGTTGCCCACTCAAAGAACAGCATAGCCAAAATTAGTCCTCCCACACGAGTCCTCTCAGATGAGTGTAGATAAAGATGAAATGTCTGTGTGTCAATCTACATTCCATATTGGATCCTTTGGTTGAAGCGTAGCTGCAACGGGTACAGCCAGTATAAAAATTAAAAGTGTTTCATCCACACCAAATTTGACAGGTGAGAACCCTAAATTATCCTTGGGACAATCAAGTGAGTCACTCAAAACTTGGGATGGTGAAAAGTATTTCATAACCAAATGTGTATCTATGGTATGTTCTTAAATGTGCTTTACTTGAGGCAGTTCTTGAACAGATTATATTACAGCAGGTAAGTTTGTAGGGGAAATGATTAAGTTTTGATATCTATGATTAATGGTCTGCATTTTCGCTGTCTTTCTAGAGAAGATATGTATGCTCAAGACTCTATAGAGTTGCTTACAACTTCAGGGATCCAGTTTAAGAAGCATGAAGAAGAAGGCATTGAAACCATGTATTTTGCAGAACTCCTTATGACATCTGGTGTAGTGTTGTGTGAAGGAGTCAAGTGGCTTTCATTTCATAGGTTGGTAACTAGTGTAAATTACACACCATGTTCTTAGAAATTAAAGACTGAAATTCCACTCAGCTTTAGCCTCTGACCATTTTATCTTAAAATTTAAGACCACACAGCATTGTGAAAAATTCTTATTAATTCAGTTTTACCCACAAAATGTACAGTGAATTCACTTTACAGTATATTCTGTAAAACGCTTTGAGAAGTCTCGAAGACATAATAAGGCGTAAAGATTTGCATCTCAAATGCAAAGATTATTATTACTATTAATTTGGAAGCTATTTTTCCACAGTATTGGTTTAAAAAGAACAGCTTCCACACATTCAAATGCATGGGTAACACTGTTCATTGCAACATAAGCAGGTTTTTGGGTATAGATTTCTGCTCACAAAGTCCCAAATGCTGTAATGATTGAGTGAAGGGAACAGACTATTTTATAGTCTAGGGTGCTGGCACTCTAGTCTTATTAAAAAATGAAATGAGAATTGTTTAATTTGTTGGCCAATACATCGGGAGAAACTCCTCTTTTCAAATGTTGTCTTGGGATCTTTAACATTCACCTGAGCATGCAGATCGGACCTCAGTTTAACATCTTGTTAAAGTAGTGCTAGCCTAGGTTATGAGTCTCAAGTCCAGATGTAGTCTTGAACCCACACTCACGGCCTCCTAACCCAGTGGAGAAACTGCTACCAACTGAGTCAGTCAGCCTATCCCGTGGTTCTCCACTTGCTTATCTGGGTAGCACGTAAGGGAAATAATTGGGGATGTGGTGGGGGTGGAGGAGAGACAGATAGAAAACCTGTCCTGAGCTCTCTGCGATTACTGCTCAAACAAGCAATAGTTATTACAACATGTGAAAATAGGCCTGGGGTCTCCCATTATGGTGCTAGTCAAGAACCTAATATATGGATATATGGAAAACTAAATGCATTTCTCTTCATTCCATGTCTCTATATCCTGACATTGTTTACATCTGAATGTTAACGAACATAACGCATACAAATTAAACGTAACTTTATTATGTATATCCTGTGAAGTGCTTTGAGATAACTTGATAAAACGCAATATCAAATGCAAGGATTATTGCTATCATAATAATTATGAATACGTTTTTTGACTTTGGTAATTGAAATGTTCTTGTCTCTTTACAGTGGTTATGACTTTGGCTATTTGATCAAAATACTCACCAATTCCAATTTACCAGAAGAAGAACCAGACTTCTTTGAGATTCTACGCTTGTTCTTCCCTGTAATTTATGATGTGAAGTACCTCATGAAAAGTTGCAAAAATCTTAAGGTATTATTTCAATTTGAAAATGCTATAATTTGAAGCTGTTTCATTAAAGCAATTTCCATCATATTCGAGGATATTTGGTCTTTGCTGTAAAATGGAAATTAATCAGTGTCAGTGTTTTATAATGTAGCTCTTTGGAAGAGAATGAATTGTTTGAAATTTGAAGATTGTAACAACAACAACAAGAAGATTACATTTGTATAGCCCCTTTCACGTCTGGATGACATCCCAAGGTGCTGGACAGAGTATTTCAGACCCGAGCTGGGGTTGGGAGGGAAGGGAGGGGAGGGGAAGGGGGTGGATGATGGCATGGTCAAAGAGGAGGGTCTTGAGGCAGGTCTTGAAGGAGGCTAAGGAGGGGGTGAGGCGGAGTGACTGGGGGATGGAATTCCAGAGGTTGAGGGCAGAGTGGCTGAAGGCTCTCCCGCCAATGGTGGGGCGGGTGGGTCGGGGTCAGTGGAGCAGGCCAGAGCCGGCTGAGCGGAGGGAGCGGGCGGGTTGGTAGGAGGTTAGGAGGTCACAGGGGTAGGGTGGGGCGAGGCCATGGAGGGCTTTGTATGCGAGGACCAGGATCTTGAACCGAATCCTCTGAAGGATAGGGAGCCAATGGAGTCGGACGAGAATGGGGGGGATGTCGTCACAGAGTTTGGTGCGGGAGAGGACACGGGCTGCAGAGTTCTGGATTATCTGCAGCCTGTGGAGGGAGGAGTTGGGAAGGCCGACACACAGGGGTTTGCATAGTCGAGCCTGAAGGTGATGAAGGTATAAACGAGAGTTTCAGCGGCCTGAGGGGTGAGGTAGTGGCGGAGTCGGGCGATGTTACGGAGGTGAGGGAAGGCAGAGCAGGTCATGACTTGAATGTGGGGGAGAAAAGCCAGTTGAGGGTCGAACAAGACACCTCGGTTCCTGACTGGCTGGTGAGTTGTAGTGAGCAACCATGGAGGTTGATGTTGCCAGAGCCTGAGGTGCTGAGGCGCTGACGTGAGCCAATCAGGAGGGCCTCAGTCTTGTTCACATTCAACTGTAGGAAATTTGCCCTCATCCAGGACTTGATGTCCGACAGACAGTCTGTCAGGACAGCAGTGGTCCTGGAGTTGAGGGTGGAGACAGAAAGATAAGAGTTGGGTGTAATCCACATACATGTGGAAGTTGACCCCATGTCTGCGGATGATGTCACCAAGGGGGAGAATGTAGATATCAAAGAGGAGAGGGTTAAGGACAGAGTCCTTTGGGGACCCCAGACGTGACAGTGCGGGGGTGGAGGAGAAACCGTTAGAGGCAACAAAGTGGAGACGGTGAGAGAGATAGGAATCGAAACAGGCAAGGACAGGTCCGTGAATATTAAGTAAAGAGGAGAGGCGGTGTATGAGGATGGAGTGGTCGACAGTGTCGAAGGCGACAGAGAGGTCGAGGAGGACAAGGAGGCAGAGGGAGCCCTGATCACAGATGTTCAGAATGTCATTAGTGACTTTGACCCGGGCTGTTTCCGTGCTATGGGCAGCACGGAAGTCGGATTGGAGGGCTTCAAAGAGGGAATGGCGAGAGAGAAAGGAGCGGAGCTGGGACACGACGCCTCGTTCCAGGACCTTGGAGAGTAATGATAGGTTGGAGAGGAGGGATGGATCCAGGGAAGGTTTTTTCAGGATGGGGGTGATGACGGCCGATTTTAGGGTGGTGGGAACTGATCCGGTGGACAGGGAGAGGTTGATGACTTCGGACAGGAGGGGGGCCAGAATGTGGAGCTGGGAGATGAGGAGAGAGGTGGGGATGGATCGAGGGAGCAGGTGGTGGATTTCAGTTTGCGGACAGTCATGGTGAGGGAGGAGGGAGAGATAAGGTCGAAGGAGTATAGGGGGGATGGGTGGGGGGTAGGCCATGAGGGAGAGGTGATGTGGGGGTGGCTGTGGACGGAGCTGAGGCTAAGGGATAAATATGCAGTTTAGGCGAAAATTACAAAAATGGTGCCTCGTTCTTTGGCATGATCAGTACCACAAAACTTAGTTCACAAAGTAGTTCTATATTTATGTAAAATGGAGGAACTCAATGAATCAAACTACCTTCAGACTTGTGGAACTTTTGAAAATAAATGTTAAAATATTTTATTTCATCATTTAGGCACGAATAGCATTTTTTTTACACACTTAAAACTGTTCTTCTGTGTAATTGTGTCACATTGACACATTTCACCTTAAACTTAGTGTCCAGGCAGAGATCAAGCATTTGGAATGTGCCAACGCTGATATATTTACAGAGATCATAAATAAACAAGGAATGAATAAATAGTTCTCCACACAAAAAATCAGTGATTTGGCTATTGAATTTTGGGAGGTTTTCAGCAGCAACTGATGTGAACTTGTGCTCCTGAAAATACTTGAATTCTTAGGATGGTACCCAATCCAGGAAAATTCCCATATCTTTGCACGTTTTTATTTCATAAACCATGATTGAAAGAAATATTTAAAATTACAGTAGTTAATTTGCTCCTGCATCCAAGACTAACTTGATTACTGTAATATTGAATTAAATGACTAAAATAAGCATTTGATTACTACTATGACCCAATTATTAAACCTACTGCATGCAAACAGAAAACCATAGAAATGTATAGCACAGAAGAAAGGCTCTTGGCCCATTATATCTGCTGACTTTTTTGTCAGCTGGCTGTCTAAAATATCTAGAATGAAAACACTGTCTGACAAGCTTCCTATTGCTTGTCCAGCTAGAACCACCTAACCAAAGCATTAGGGCTTTGGTTTGCAGAGTAACAGGAACCATGTGGGAAGAATATCTACCTCCATTTGTCTCTTCGAAGGACCAATGCAGTCAGTCCCATTTACCTGCCTTTTCTCCAAACCTCTGCAAATTATTCCTTTTTAGATATCAATCTAGTTCTTTATTGAAACTTTAATATGAGTTCTGCCTTGATCAGTGTATCCAGCAGGTGATTCCACCCTCAGATAGGTCTCTGTTAGTTTTTAAAAATCCTCCTAATCTTCCTGCTTTGCTCTTTGTTATCTTAATGCCCCCTGGTCACCAACTCACTGATGAATGTAAATAATTTTCCATCGACTATCAAAACCCCTCAAACTTTTAAATACCTGTTTTGAGTCTCCCTTCACCCTGGTAAAATTTTTCTGCACCCTCTATGGCCCTGACATCCTTTCTAAAGTGTGATGACCAGGATTTCACACAGTATTCTAACTGATGTCTACCTAATGATTTATATAAGTTAAAGCAGCCTCTGGAGTCTTACTGTGCTTGCAAGGTTAATCTCATCATTGGTGCTGTAAAAGTAACCTTTCAAGTTTTAATGAGGCAATTCTGAGTCATTGTGGCATCTCATTTTATTTATAAAAAAAGTTGACAAGAATTGCATGTTCTTTCTATGCAAAAGAACTTGTATTTTAATACATGGCACATTTGTTTTGTAAGTGTCTTCTTATCTCCACATTGGTGTGAGTATGTAGTACTCCAGAGCACTGCTGATGACCGACTAGCCAGCCTGTCTCATCAGCAGGACTTGGAAAGCCAAGCCAGTCACTGGGGGCAGCTCCCATTTACGTGAGCCAAAGCCCTAACCAGTAAGATGGTCCTAGCTGGACAAGTAGGAGGGAAGTTTGCCAGACTGTAGCAAGCTATGTTTTTTAATTGGTAAATTCCAGCAGTACTCTGCAATCTCCAAGACTTGGCTCTTGTGAACCTGCACCTGATATTCTTCTGAAATTAGGTAAGCAGGTGCAGCCCTCCAGAGAGAGAGTGTGTATTCCATTGCAGGCACGAGTAAATTTCCACTTGTAGGTGGCATATGATGTTGAATTTTCAATCTGGCTTCCATACTCTTAAGTATGTGATGGGTTTCCTCATGTGTCATCCATCCGTCTGACCAAAGAAAACCTCCTCATTGTTGTGAACATTTCATTAGACTGGTCTCCACCTCTATGACTTTTTAGCTAACCATTGTGTTGTAGATGAAGTCAGGGTTGGGTGGATCTGAGTCTCTTGATGTTTTCCTCCTCCTCTATCCATTTCCTGTGGAAAATTACTGGTGTATCTGAAGAGTGCATTTCGATAACAGTATGTCCGAAATTAGAAGCTGGGTAATATATCTTGTAACTTAAAACCTATATCGTATCTGACCATCGCATCTAATAGTCCAAATTAATAATTATTTAATATAAACATTCGTCCAACTAGGGCGTTCTCCGCTCCATTGGGGTCTCTGCCTTCAGCCACTACACCCTGAACGTCCTACCTCTATCTCTCTGCCTTGCATCCTCTTTACGACTTTTCAGATAACATTTGAAGACTTTTCTCTTTGACTGTAGCTTCGGTAACCTCTCCTTTCTCCACAGCGCAGCATCAAACTATGCTCTTAGTCAGCGCTTTGAGACACTACCCTGCATGAAGCGTGCTATCTAAATGCAAGTTATTGCAAACTGAGAGAAAGAGAGTCAGTATAGTTCTGTATTATTTATAATTTCTTTTTTCAAACGATAAATGAAATTTGTTTTTGTGCAGGGTGGTTTGCAGGAAGTAGCTGAACAATTGGAGTTGGAGCGAATTGGGCCACAGCATCAAGCAGGTTCAGACTCACTGTTAACAGGAATGGCCTTTTTCAAAATGCGAGAGGTGTGTATTAACAAAATGAAGTTCATTGAAAAGTTTATACCTTGTATGTGTGGGTCCTACTCGGATCATCTATGTGGGATTGCCATTGGTTTGGATACATCTGCTGGTCATCTTTCTCCCAAAGGGAATTTCTCCTGGTGTCCTGGCCAACAATCCCTCAAGTAAAATTGGTCACTCGTTTCATGGCTGTTTGAGGCTGTTTCATGTCCGCAATTGGGCTGCTGCATTTCCCTACAAATATACAGTCAGTTCACTTCACAGTAAATCCTGTGAAGTGCTTTGAGACTTCCTTTGGACGTGATAAGACGCTATATGAAATGCAAGGATTATTATTGTTATCTTCTCTCTGTAGACAAATTGTTTCAGGTGTGTTTGTCTGCTTATAAATTTACAGACCTTGACAGTGAGCTAGTAATGAGACAATTTCATCATAAACTCACACCGCCACATCTGGTAAATTTACCTTCGTAGTGTTGACTGCTTAATTAAGAAGGTGGTGTTTGCTTGAACTAAGCTACTTAACTCTCTTACGTCGCTTCACTTCCTGACATCTCCCTACCTCTCCGACCTCCTCACTCCCCAATCCACCGCCCGGTGCCTTCGCTCGACTAGCACCAGCCTCCTGCTTGTTCCTCGGACCTTCTGCTCCACTGAGGTTGTGTTTTCAGCCACTACGCCACAAAACTCTGGAACACTCTTCCTCAATCCCTCCGCCTTGCCCCCTCTCTCCCCTTTTTCAAGTCCTGCCTTAAAACCTTCCTTTTCGACCGTGCTTAAGGCCAGCTTCCCCCCCAGCTTGGAGTCAGGCTCCGCCATTGTTAAGCGCTCTGAGACACTGCCTTACGTGGAGGGCGCTAAATAAGTGCAAGTTGTTGTTAACATTTCACAAGGAGTCTATGGAAGCCATTGTATACTCTGGCATCAAACTCCTTCATATATTATCCCCCCCCCCTCCAAACACAAACACTCTCCACCTTCAGCTCAGTTTCAAAGTCAGGACTGTCAAGTGCCTTCAGATGTCCTTCTGACATATGTAAATTTGTGTTGTATTATCCTAGTCCCAGGGCATGAGAAATATTCTCGATACAACAGTCAAAACATTCTACTTGTTGGTGCTGTTATGCTGCCTGCTACAGTACAACATTGCTGAACCTAATGCAACCTGATACAGATTAGTTTCTTCTGAAGATAACAGTCCTATTCCCATGTAATCAACTTCAACAACAAACAACTTGCATTTATATAGCACTCTTCAACAGGGTAGCATCTGGAGTGCTAAACAGTGGTGCAGAGGGAGAGGTGGGGAGGTGACCGTTGGCACAGTCGAAGAAGAAGTTCTTCAGGTGTGATCTGAAGATGGACAAGGAGGGCGAAAGGCAGAGGGATTGAGTCAGCAATTGCTTCAATGCATCTGTACTCCGAGGTCTCTCTGCTCTTTCATTTTTGGAATATTCCCCTTTACCATTTTCTTTCTTGCTTTGTTTTCCCTCCCCAAAATGCACTGCTTCACATTTCTCTGCATTGAAATAAATTTATCACATATGTTCCCTCTCTGCTACCTATGCCCTCCTATAGTGTCAAGTATATAATCTGACCTTTGTTACAAATTTTGGTTCAAAGGGACTATATCTTTTAATAATCCTTTACTGTATTTACTTTATGTATGGTGCTTCTGATCCTAAATATTACTCTCTAATGAGTTGCCTTGGCTCAGTCAGATGTACTGATATATTTTTAAAATTCTGTTTGTAGAAAAATAATATTTTAAAAATGGCAGAGAAGAGTACTCCTGTGGGGTACAAATTTAAATATCAACTCAAATCAGTATATGTGTCAAGCAGTAATTGAATTGGATATCCTGTGGACGGACTGTTTGTGGGGGGAGCCCCATCAAAACAAAGACTGCCAAACTCCTGGCTTCCCAAGCGTTAAAAATGGATGATTTCTGGATTATCAGATCACCGCTGATGTCACTTTCTGTGGTTGTAAATTGATATTATATTTTCATGTTGTGACGTTTTGTGATTATTCTCTTCCAGATGTTCTTTGAGGATCACATCGATGATGCCAAATACTGTGGTCACCTGTATGGTCTCGGCTCAGGCTCATCATATGTACAAAATGGGACAGGGAATGCATATGAAGAAGAAGCCAATAAGCACCAGCCTTGACCTGAAGTGAGGAGATTAATTTTTGGGCCACATAATACTGGATCTGATTTTTATCTGTGTCTGAATCACTCAGACAATAAGGTTTATCCCTGTTTCTGAAAGTTACCTGCCTTTTCCCTGTTCTTTCTGTTCACTACACTTGTGCCAAGAGCTTGCAGACATTCTTGATAAGAAAACACAATGTAAGTATAATTCGACCAGTTCCGATTTAGGAAACCTTATGTTAGCGAAGAAAATGGGAAGNAAAAAGCACCTGATTGGATTTTCACGCCGTTATTTTTTTCCCTTTTTCTTAAAAAGTATGCAATAAATATCAACTGGTTATTTACCATTCCCATTTAATATGTGGCGTTTAAAATGAAAAGAACAGGAGTTTTAGCTATTCAGGATTGTGGACCATCAAATTTGCACTTTAGAGAGTGACTGGTTCCTCTATTTTATGTGAATTTTTGCTGCTTCTTGTTCTCACAAGTGAGATAAGAAGGCCCAGAAACTTGAACTACTTCACACCATTGGGTTGCTGTTGGTGGATTCTCCCTGCCCCTGGCTTCCTGTGACAGCATCTCCACTTCTGGTTTGTGACGGCAAATCATATTACCGACGCTCTTGTATTTACTGCAGCTAAAGAAGAAGGCCTGTGAGTGTTGCCTTACAATATTCCATTTTACATCTTCTGGACATGTAGACAGCTCTAACATATCAAAGTGCAGCTAGCTGAACCAAAACCAGCATCACACACACAGCATCTCTGTTACTATGTCCATTTAGTACATTTATTCTGAATTGCATTGCTGAAATAAGATTTGAATGAGATTAATTATATCCTAAAATTTATATTGATCACATCTCAGCACTGATGTAATTCGTGCTATTCTGTGTATGTGATGCAATCATACTTATGGTAAAATAAGCTGTTGTATTGAACTGATAGATGTTCTCTTTGAGAATTTGGAAACTCCACTGTTTATTAGAAAAACCAACAACCATACGGAAGATATAGTTTCTTTCGTCTCAATGGCAGTAGTTAATCACAGCAGTGTGTGGGCATTTTTCTTACTCCAAAAGTAGGCTTCCCTGGGCTTTAGCAAAAGAGGCAATGTCTGACTTGCAAAGGTTTTTTTTAAGCTTCACATGTTTTCCTTTCATTAAATCTTATTGTTCAAAACCAACCTTTTTCTTACCTAATAATTGCATTTTAACCAGTGTTTTTATTGTTTTCTCCCCACTTTAATGTCATCCTCCTCTTAACTGCCCAGTGGGCAAACGGGCATAGATCCTTTCAATCCAGTGGTATTCCATAGATCGACTGGAGGGAGTCACGCATTCACAAATGAGGGAAGAAAACCTGATGCTTTTTCCATGATGTCATTGCACCCTAGTGGCCTAATCTTGAACTGGCAAAATGTATCACCCTTTTACATGGGTTAGAATGCTGGTCTGTAAATTCAATCTTTGACCATTGATAGTGACAGATACATCTTAATGTGGCTGATTAACAGTGTGTTGCAGAGATTGATTGTAATACTGGTTGGAATGTAATAGTAAGACTATTGCACAATTTGATTCATGAAAATGCATACTTTTGACACTTTAGTACAACTGTTTTATTTAACATTTTCCTCTGTAGCATCAAATTAAGTGAAATTTTAAAATCTTTGAAAAGGCAAATTGCCNTTTTTTTCAGTATTGCAAATGCGCACATAAGTTATCCAGGAGCAGCATTACATAGGTGTGTTAATTGAGCGTGATGCTGGTTTTGATGCAGCATGACTTGCTATGCAACCCCTTTAGTATATTGTATATTGGCTGGAAACACAATGTAATATATTGTCAAGTCCAATGCAGTGTATTCTGCATGCCTTTAGAGCAACTGTGCTGGAAAACTTTTAGCTGATACTTGCCTGAAACCATCAAATGCATGTTGCAGAATGTCGGTCCTTATTAGATTCAAAAGAGTTTGTAACAGGTCAAAAATCTCCAGACCGTGTGACTATAATGTAATTAACGTGTTCTGTTCTTTCATTAAGTTACAGCACTGTAACTTGATGGTCTTTTTTTAAAAAAAATTATGTGAAAAACAAGGTATTATTTGTTTTTAAACCTTTTTGTAAATAAAGGCTTCAGATTTGTTTCTTACATATGTAAGCTATGGATGCTTGTTTTATTTATACTCGGGTATTCTATCGACACCACCACAATTTAGTGGATGGGGAGGGGAAGAGGGTGATCGAAGCATGGTCGAAGAGGAGGGTCTTGAAATGGGTCTTAAAAGAGGCAAGCAAAGTGGAGGGACTGCAGGATGGAGTTCCAGAGGGTGGGGGCAGCGTTGCAGAAGGCCTGCCTGCCATTGATGGGGTAGGCGAGGCGGGGACGTGAAGCAGGCCGGAGCCTGCTGAGCGGAGAGAGCGGGCAGGATGGTAGGAGGTTAGGAGGTCGCAGAGGTAGGGGGGAGTGAGGCCATGGAGGGCTTTGAAGGTGGGGACCAGGATCTTGAACTGTATCCTCTGTGTGATGGGAAGCCAGCGGAGTTGGGCGAGAATGGGGGTGACGGAGCCTGGTGCAGGAGAGGCGGTGCGGGAGCCAGAGGAGAAACCTTTGTGGCGATGAAGTGCAGGTGGTGTGAGGTACGATCTAAACCATTCAAGGACTGAACCATGAAGGTTGAGGTGAGAGGAGAGGCGGTGAATGAGGAAAGAGTGGTCAATGGTGTCGAAGCCAGCAGAGAGGTCAAGGAGGATGAGAAGGCAGAGGAAGCCCTGATCACAGACAGACCGAATGTCATTTGACACTTTGACCAGGACTGTTTCTGTGCTGTGGGCGGCACGGAAACCCGATTGGAGGTGTTCGTGAAGGGAGTGGCGGGAGAGGAAGGAGCGAAGCTGGGAAACAATGACTCGTCCCAGGACCTTGTAGTGGAAAGGGAGGTTGGAGATGGGGCAGTAATTTGAGAGCAGAAATGGATCCAGGGAGGGTTTTTTAAGGATAGGAGTGATGAAGGCCGTTTTTAAAGGGGTGGGAATGGTATCAGTGGACAGGGAGAGGTTTGTGATGTCTGTGAGTAGAGGGGCAAGGAGGTGGGAGGTAAGGAGAGGGGTCGAGGGAGCAGGTGGTCTGTTTAATGCAAGGTACTTTCTCACATAGTTCATTACAACAATCATGTGAACCCATGAACTAAAAGCACTTGCTTACAAGCAAACACGTGCCTTGAAACGTTTTAAATTTATTTACTTATAAATTGTTACTTATTTAAAATTGTGTGCATTTCAATACCAATAGTGATTTATTTTCATTTGCTGGGGTCCTCGGGAGTTGGCTATTGCTAATTTGCACCTAATACTTTCCAGGAGTAGCAAAGCAGTGTGTATTCCCTTGGGGAGAGACTGCGTACATTCCATTCCATGCAAAAGGAAATTTACAAGCATACGTAGAGTGGTTTGGATGTTTGTAAGCATGGTGATGTATTTCTGACTTTTGGGAAAAAAATCTTTTTCTCCCTTGTCTATCACTGTCGGTGCCTAACCAGTACTGTTGAGCATTTGGGCTGTCCTCCCAACATGAAAGGTGTGATATAAATGTAAATTTGTTTTGTATTGTTTTTGAATATGAAACATCAATCTAATAGATCAAATCCGTCCCATCCCCCCCCCCCCCAACAATCTATTAAGGTGAGTAAACTTGCAGGGTCATGTCCTTTTTAAGATTTTTCTCACTGTATCCTAGCTCTATTCGTGGTGTCCTGTAGCTCAGTGGTTAGAGCACTCGCTTTGCAAGCGAGAGACCTGAGTTCAATTCCAGGCAGGGCGAAACCTTGGGCAAGTTTCCTTACTCCACACTCCTAATAATAATCCCTCCAAAACAAAAACAATAATAAAATTGGTCATTTTCAATCTACGGTTGTTTGTGGGACATTGCTGTGCGCAATTGGCTGCCGCGTTCGCCCACAAATATACGGTCAATTCACTTTACAGTGTGTTCTGTGAAGCGCTTTGGGACGTCCTCCCGACGTGAAAAGCTCTATATCAAATGCAAGGATTATTGCAAGGATTATTATTCCTGAGCTGCCCATTCACCATTCTTATATTGCTCTCAAGGCAAGTCACTGAAAAATCGTTTGTTTTGTTTGGTTAATCCTGCAATTTAATTTGCTTGCTTACTTTCATAAATTGGTTTGCCTTTAATAATTATCCACAACTGAGTTTTTTTCCTACTAATTAACTCAATGGTCTACAGTACTTATTTGTTGCATTATCAGATGCTTTAACACCAGGGTACAGATGGTGAACAGTGTACCTATGCAAATGAGCAATGCAAGGCACTCATTGGCGCAATTTATTTTTCAACTGCAGCAACCAAAAACGTCAAATATACATGGCTGGTTGCAATTTGGAACAATTGCATGTCTTTATGTTAGTTGACTAAATTTCCAGTGTTACGGAGCATGACAGACAGCAACATCAATTCCCATGTACAATATGTTATTCTGATAATACAAATGCATACTCAAAATACTCCATTAAAATGCATTTTAGCAACAAAGTGCCACAGCTTAAACTGATAGCAAAAGAACCCGATCAAAACAGAACAACACTTCTCATCAATGTACAAAACCTCTGGCAATAAAGCTTTACAAAAAAAAATGAGCTGGCTGAAATAATGCTTACTGACATGTTCATTTTTCTTCACTGTACTCTTGTTCTTTCATTAGGGAGCTGTCCTACAAATTGAGTTAGATAAGGAATGTTTTGCAAAATATTATGACTAATACATTGCCTCAAGATTTTCCAGGTTTTCCTTTTATTGATGAATGTATAGGGGGAAACAAAAGTCTTATTGTCATTTTGTCTTGGAGAATTTATATTCTATTAGATTGGTATATTGTATTAAACCCAACTGGTTTAATACAATATAAGTGAGCATTGGTAGAATTATATTTTGAAACTGATTTGCTCAAATGATTGTGAAGAATGATGAACACTGCTTTTATTCCAGTTGCCAGTCTCAAAGTGAGGAACACTGATTTTGTTTTACAAACACCAAAGTTTCACACTGTTATCACGTAAAGATTTTGCTTTAATACTTAATATCAAATGGATTATCTTACCAAACACTATTTTGGGGACTTATCAAAGATGAGCAAATAACACCTGATGGGTCCTAGCAAGACTTTATTGAAAATGAGACCAATGGTCTTATTATTCTCTTTTCCACCTTGATCTTTGAAACATTAGAGTTTTGGGAGTGTAATTCTGAGATTTCTCACATTTTAAAATGGGTGGATAAAATTGACCATTGCTATAATGATTTTTATTACATCCTCCGACGCCCATATCCTCACCCACACCAAACTCTGTCCCCATCACCCAAGTCCTTGCCAAACTCCACAAACTCTCAATACTCATGTAGAAATCACTTCATGCCCTGGCACCTCCGTAGCTCCCCTGGCTACTTACACTCCATTCCTCTACGTGCTGCCTGTGCTCAACTAGCTCCGGCTTCCTGCATATCCCTCATCTACTCCCATCCACTATCAGTGGCTGTGTTTTCTGCACTACACACCGCAACTCTGCCACAATCCCTTTTCCTTGCAGCTCTTTGCCCCACTACAGATCATACCTGAACACCTTCCTCTTTGAATGTGCCCACAATCACCTTCCCTTTTCTCCCCAGCTCAGTGTCAAGCTCAACCACTATTAAGCACTCAGAGATACTACACAGTGTGAAGGGCCCTATATAAATGAAGTTGGTATTTTTTCTCCCAAAATTTATAATTCATACTTTTCTTTATTAAATTTCATCTGCCAAATCTATAGTCTGTCTGGGTCCTCCTGCCGTTGCTTACAATCTTCTTCACTATTAGCTACAATCCCTAGTTTTGTGTCATCAACAAACTTAGAAATTGTGTCTCTTACCAGAGTCCAGATATTTTTTGTAAATGAAGAAAGGTATTGGTCTTATCAAAACCCCATTATTTATACTTTGTTCCAAATAAAATGCATGTACTCCCATAACAGGGTTTTATTCTCGGTCTGGTCTCAACACAGAATCTTTAGAAAAAAAACACCAGTGCCATAAGCTCACGTACATTTTAATGAGGGAATTGATTTTTTTTACCTTGACTGATGATGATACTGAGAAAATGTCCAGAATCAGTCATCCGGACAGAACCAATCAACATGAATTAAGAACACCGTTAGTTTTCAAATATTCTTTAATTATCCTGATTTTTTTTACTTTTACTGATTACCTTGTCTATTATACCAGCAATTACCCTGTATATTCAGGTGACTCAGTGATAATGTTTTCAGGATCATAAAAGGACAATTATTTATTGGACGATGCAGTTCTTTAGTTATCTACAATATAATTATCCCTATATTTGATATAGTGCTTGCAACATCAAAATATCTCAAATCACTTCAAAGACAATAGTAAGGAAGTTCAGCCATACATCCAACTGCTAAATTCCTAGAGACTTTTGTTTAGAATTTATGTACTTTCCATTCTTGAGGCATATAAATAATATCACTATGTAAATACAGATACTGTATTCTGAGATATTCAACTGAAATTGAAAATACCCTCAGCTAAGTCAGCTAGTAAAGCCGAATTAGAGGGTTTATTGTTCTGATTTATTAAGGAAATTTAAGTAACAATTTTCAACAATTTTAATCTTTAAAAACTAGAATAAGGAAACATTGAAATTGTATCCTCAGTTTAAAGCATCACGCATCAAAGCATGGCATATGCATAAGACATTTTTGTAAATCAAGAGAATATAGGAAATATGACAAAGTGAGGAATATTCCTTGTTGCTTCATTTATCTTTTCATGTAGCAGATTGGATATGGTCGGTGGAAGGAATGGGTGATTCTTCAAAACTAATACCATTGTAGAAGCACTTAGCTTCATACCGTTTAAGGAAAAAATTGAACACAATATTAGAAATGGTTAATGAAAACTGAGCGCATTCCTTCCATCTACCATATACTATCTGTGGAATGGTTCTGTGAAGTGTTTTTCTATTTGAAAGATAAAACTCCAGAGCATCTATTTAGCTTCATTCTATATTGCTTATCCATAAGGGTTGCCTTCTCTAGCATTACATTTTCAGATTTCAAGCAGCATCATTCATCATTGTGATGTCCTCTCGACATGAAAGGCGCTAAATGAATGTAATTTTGTGTTGTATTATGCTCCACTTGGGACTGGATCGCCTCTATTTGTACTTATTCTTGTAACCTTCAATTCTGTTTACAACCACATATCATCTAACAATTTATTATTAAGTTAGAGAAGTTATATCACTTTATATCATGAATGTAAATTGAGTTAAATTAAATCCTCTTCATTGCTTATAATTAAGTTCTCTTGTTGTATTTTACTAAACTCTCCAACATATCAATATATTCTCCAATATCTAAATTCACCTTCCCATTGGAAAAGATGTGGAATTATAGGTGTCCTTATGATGTATCAATAAGCAATACAGTTGCCAATAGTGTGCATGAATTTATAGTTTCCACATTGTGCATGACACGTTGTTGACGCATGATGTAAAATTGACCCAAATATTCAAAATATGTCCTCACCAAAGTTCTTTGTAACAGGCACATCTGAAGTTTTCTAACCTTAATCCTACTTTTTCAAGAATTACAGCTACTAGCTGACTGCAAAAATAATTGCTTTGATGGAAAGTACAAAATGTGCCACAAACTGGCATGAAAAGGTCTTCCTGGAGTTAGTGCTAATCTTAAACTGGAACTTGGTATAAATCAAAGCTTGCTGCTCAGAAACAATACATCACAAGTGCCAGAACACAGCCCAGAAAATGGTACTCAAAAGAGCTCAAGCTTCTGTCTTTTAAGTGCAACACTAATTTGCTCGCAGTAGGATGTACTGCCCTCGAGAATTTGGCTTGCAGAAAGAAATCTACAAAGCTCTCATTAAAAGATAAAAGGTTAATACCACAACAGTACTGTGGAAGGGATGAGTTGGGTTGAATAGTCTGTGGAACGGATGGGCTGAATGGCCTTTCCTCATTCTGTGCTTTTTGCTTTTAAGTAAAGTTTCCGTATAGGCTTGTGGAAGGCAGGATATGTACATCATAGAAAATTTATGCTTTGGGATTGAGAGATGTACATCCTTCATATTATTTAATGAATAAAATGGCATAAGCTTAATTTCACATTGATCTCCATCCTTTGTTTCTTTAATTTTTTTTATGAGGAACTGCTGTAATGATGAGGACACAGATTTGGAAGGTTGGTGTAGATTTAAGTGTACTTTAAATAATCCTGTGTTTTGACAGAATCACCACTTTTTGATGCAATATGTTGCAGCTTCACTGTGATAAATTACATTATGAAGATTTAAAAAGAGAATCAATTAATCAGCATAAACATTTCTCACAATAGTATCTCATTTCCCCCTGTGCTAAACACTAGATGGTAGATTTTACTAATATTTCATTACATTTTTGGTGGCCATTGTAACAGTATTTTTTCACCATTTATGTTCCTTCATTGGGGCGATACAAACATTATACAATATCTTTTATTGCACTGAGTTTCTTATGTACGCTACTGGGAAATAAAATGCAATAAAAGTTCCTTTACTGGAGTACAAATGATGAAAGTTTGTCTTTAGAAACACTAAGATTTCCTAGATAATATTACTTATAAATTGAGAGAATAGTTTAATCCACCATCTTCAACAACACTTGAGAAGATATATGGGACACAGCTGTTAAGCCACACAGTTTTTTTAAAAAAACCTGTACACTACAAAATGCCTCTGTAAAACACTCTTGAAAACGTTGCACTGTGACCCTCCATTCTTCTTACCAATGTATTCATTTACCTGAATAACACCAACAATGTTGTTTCCATTTAAATCTGTCTTTGGATTCGTTTTTTTAAAAAAATAAATGAATACTTGGAATTCCCATTCCAACCTTACACTATCAAGAAATCTTTCCATTTTCTCTAGAACCAGCTGAAATAATAAGATCAGTGTTGCCATGTTGTACAACATGCTTCATTGAACTGCCCTAAGAAGTGCAGATTTCACTTTTTGGTACATAGTTTTAAATTGCACCAAACAAACTAAATACTGTAATTTGTATATCTTCAATTGAACTCAGAAAAAACACTGTTAAGGTACAGAATGGTATTTCAATATCCATTGTGCAGTTAAAGCCTTTTACTCTATCAACATCTCAGCAAATCTTATAAGTTATTTCTGTAAACAATTAAAAAATAAAATCACAGGCGGGCATTTGGCATTCTGAAACATAAACTAGCAAGATACAATTTGTTTCAAATGCTTTAAACACTGAGCCGAACTTTTGATGAAGGCACTGCAACTTGGCAACTTGTGCTTACACTACTCCTTCTTTCCACTAAAGTCTGTTTTTCCTATTTGTAGTCCATTTGTGTTAACCATGAAAATGATGACATTCCATTTGTGATATTTAAATGACACAAAAGGCACCGTGCGCACCATTCACTCACGGCGATGGAGTTTTATAATGTCATGCATACTGCAGGTTTGGCATCATGCTGACTCTGTCATTTTTGTACAGAGCGGATTTTTGTGGTCTAGAAATTGGCCACGGGGTGAGAGCTCCACCTACGTTTACACAATTTTTACGGAAATGAATCAAATGAGTGGACCCGGCATAACAACCAAAGCATAGCACACAGTACTGCAGGCCGACAATGTCTTTTAGAATAACTGTTTGTTCTTCTGCACTAGATTATCCCACTTTGCTAACAACTGGTGATTAAACCTATGGAATGAAATGCAGGAAACAATATTGCCCAATATTGTTTTCTCATCACTTCCCCTTACACATATATAAACATCAATCATTTTAAATTTGTCACCTTAAAGTTTCTAAGCTTAGTTTTCTCTGTCTCTTAAGTGGAGCATTTCAATTTCACTGTAACATATGTCGTCACTTCATACTGAAGAAATATGTGCAAGTAAGCCCACACATGTAATTTGACATGACATAGAATCAAGACAATTACTATACTATCAGCAGGAGAACAACCAGATAGTTTAGCAAAGTAGCAGTGGGCGGGTAGGTTACAGTGCCACATTTTCCTCAGTATACGCATACCTGCGGCGATGCCGATTGCTGTAAACATTAAGCATGTTTTGTCAAGCAGATGCATTCAGCATTGAATTAAACCCCCTATTGTACATTAAGGGTAACTGAATCGATGTCTTCAATGTTTTCTTAAGCAGTGAAATGAGAAAAGCCAATTGCTTAGGGAAATGCATCCTTTGGAGCATGCCCACAGAGGCACAAACATCTGATGAGGATGGTGGGCAGGTGAAGGTTGGATCTTGGAGAACATTTCTTCTCAGAATTTTCTCCATAAGCAGCTACACCTAGGACTAGAACAGATACAATGAGTTTAGATTTTCATACAATCACAATTGAACAGATCATTCTTCTCCAAGGTGGGTTGAATTCTAAAAAAGACTGGCTTGCATTATACGTCATCCATTTTTTATCATAGTCAGGGGAAGAGTACATTGAAGGTAATCATCAGAAGAAAACTGGTGGAGTTCAAAATAGGCTTTGTTTTTGGTTGGCTGGGTGTCCGACACGTGCAGCAATCCATCATCATGCTTGGGAGTATCTGAACTAGGCTGAATGTTCCACATATATTTACTACCTTCTAAATGGAAATGTCCCTGTATTTATTTTTACACAAAGTGAATGATAGAAAATGGAATGCCTTACCTCAGTTGGCTGTGGAAGTACAACCACAACACCTTGCATTAATATAATACATGAAGTAACAGCTCGGAGTGCTAAACAATGGCAAAGTTTGGCGCTTCGAAGGGGAGAAAGTGGAGACGACCATACGTACGGTCGAAGAAGAAGGTCTTCAGGCGTGATGTATAAAGAGGGGCCGAGGAGGCGGAATTGAGGCAGGGAATTCCAGAGGTTCGGAGCAGTGACTGAAGAACGGCCACCGAGGTGGAGTTGGAATCAGCAGAGACTCGCCAGCAGAGGCAAAAAAACTTTCTTTGGTGCTTAAGCATTGTATAAATGTATGACTGGGAATTCACACTAGCAATCTGCTCCATCGCTTTCTTCCATTAGCAGAATTTTCAGGCATTTATTAACACCTTTTAATGCAACAACAATTGAGGAAGAATAGATACCACATTTAGGTACGTTGATAGGATACAGTTTAGTTGCCCAAAAACTTGCTGTCAAAGTAAAATTATATACAGCAAAGATTCATTAGCAGTAAATTTCACGGAAACTCTGAATTTTGCACAGGTAAATTTCAATCTATCTCTATATTTTAGAAAAATGCACAGGTTAGAGAGAAAGAAAAGCTGTACGCTGGCTATCTGAAGTAAAACGTGGAAATGCTATATTATCATAAGAGATCAATCAATGGTTGATGTAGGGTTGATGTGACAAATGGAAATTAAGGAGTCATGATAATCTTCTGTCTTTTACCCCAAAGTTCTGCATTTAGAAAACTAAATTACTTTAGTCTTGGGATTATGAAAAATTCTCATTAGAGGAACTGAAACTCAGTAATCCCAACAATGTTTTTCTGATGATCTGACTACATGTCTCCATTGTAGGTAATTATTATTCAACGTAACATTTCAATACAAGTTAAAATGTATTATTTTTGCATAGGAAGAAATTTTCTTCAATGTTTAATTTCTCCTGAGGGCTGTTATAAAAAAACACTATCCTGCTATTTTGTCTTCGTTATTTGATTGCCATAAATTAACATCATTCATATCCCTTGTCATTTAGTGTAACAACACTTTGATTGTTTATATACAGTTTATAACCCTGTTAATTGTATGATTCATGAAATGACACAAGATACTGCAATAGCATTAAATGTATTACTTTAAGAATTGTGGCATTTGCTCTAACATTAGAGACTCCGTTCCAATGCCAATGTAATAATGCATTTTGTGCTCTGTATTGTATTTCAGGGCATTTAGCATTGAGCACATTTTGTATTTTAATGCTTTTCACACTTATGTAAATTAGATTGAGTTTGAACCAATAGCAATTGTTTAAGATGTACATAAGTGTGAAATGTATTAAAAATGTCTCTTTTTATTAAAAAATGGAGGTTTGCCCTCGCCTCTGAACTGGAGTAAATCATCTGTAAAACAATTGTTTTTTTTCCATCAGTTTCAAGATCAATACCAGAAATCAGTAAAAAGATTCAACCTTCAAAATTGGCATTGCATTATTCTGTATTTTATATTTAAGTTTGTGTCAGCCTGGCTTAGTACTTTCATCTCTGGGTCAGAAGTTTGTAGGTTTAAGCAACATGTTGTAACCTTGAGCTCACAATCTTGGCTGGTAATGCAGTGCAGGGCTGGAGGAAGCATTGCATTTTTGGAGAAGCTGTCATTTGGATGATTAAAGATCCCATTATACTACTCCAAAAAGGACAGAGTTTCTCCTAGTATCCTGGCTTAAAATCCTACGGATAAAATTGGTTGTTTTCTTTATGTTTGTGTTTGTCTATAAATGTGTTCGCCTACAAATACATAGTCACTACTCTTTACAAAACAATTGTGAAGCACGTTGAGATGTTCCTGACGTTACAGACACTATATCAAATGCAAGGATCATTGTTATAAATCAGTCTTACCATGTGCTACATATATGTCAGACTTGCAATAATAATAGCATTGAAGGTGATCACTGCTCTCACCTGCTCATTTTCCCAGTAGACTGTTGCTAGAGTAATCATAGAGCTAGGCAGTCAGTGTTATACAAAGTAATATTCCCAGTCACTGCCACTTTGCTCAGGGGAAAACACCCTAGCAAAAACAGAGAAAGCAGATATCCTTTGACTGCTGTCCTCTCCCCTTGTCTTAATACAGTACCTTCATACCTATCTATGCTGAGAATGTCGAGCTGGCATTATGATCTGTGTACCAACCAACCAGAAATGATTTCTCAATACCAATTGAAGCAATAGTTGTGCAAGTGTCAGTATCTGTATTTTTTAAAATGTTAGTATCAAGTTGATGTCAATCTCCCTTTTCTAGGAGTGTAATGACATAAGCCATTCAGTGCCAAATCATCTTTTGCTATAAACTGAGAACGTCTGGGTGGGCCTCAAGGACAAAGGCAGAAATGAAGGGTAAGGTTGATATTTAAACAAAATGGGATTTAGGTGTTTGGATTTCATTAGGTGCAAATCACAATAGAATCTTAAAAGAAGATCTGCAGTCTTTCGCCACTTTGTGCATTCTGCACAATTTTCATTATTGTTGATCTGTCCAAGTGGATAAGGAAAACCTAAAGAGTGTTCAGAAACTAGACTAATAAGGATTTGCACAAGGCCATCCTCAATCATCACTTCTCTACCACATCCGCATGCTCACATATTCAGCAACTTAACCAATCAATACATGTGCTTGTGCTCTCATTTTTTTTAAAGCAATTCTTGAGAGGACAAGTGCTCTGGCACATGTTTGCTTGAAAAATGAAGACAAACCATAGAATGTGGTTTAACTTCAAAGGTTAAAACAACTACTGAAACAAAAGAAAAAGGTAGATTTTGGAAGTCAATATTTGATTTAGATTTAATATTGTTTATTATTGTCAAAAATAAGTAATAATACAATAATAATTCTCACATTTGATATAGCGCCTTATCACATCTTCAAGACAGCTCAAAGCGCTTCACAGAATATAAAGTGAAATAACTGTATATTTTGTGGGAGAACTAAAATAGAAGAATGTAAATGAATTACATTCACTGTGCCCTTTTTACTAAGATTAGTTTGTCTTCCATAAACTATGGCTTAGCCTAGAATATCCAATGAGGACAATAAGCATTAAATCTTGTTTAAGTATTAAATATGATAGCCTCCTACATGTCATACTGTGCTCTCCATTCCCATCCATCAACATGTAGTGCAACATAGATGGTTTCTGAACAAAAAGTCAGGAAAATTGATCATACTTTTTTGATCTCTGAATCGGGAAGAGAAACTCAAAAGGAGGGTTGGACTATAAATATACGAAAGAGGAACAATTTGTAAAGAATAAGACAAGTGGGAAGACCAGCCCTTGCTTCATCCCTCATTCTTATAATCTTCCAGTGTCAGAGTTGCCGGTGCTATGCTCTTCAGGAGAGATTAAAATAATCTTTGCATGAAGCCAGCTGTTATGGCTCTGAGCAGTTGGAAAAGGGCTGTGTCTGGATTGGCTGATTTGCAATCCAGGGAGTGGATTTGCTGATGACATACTTTCGACATGGTGGGGCTTGGGGGGGGGGGGGGGGCTCTGGAAACTCGGAAGATACTCCAGTGCAGATATATCAACAACAACAAATTAAATCTGTATAGCTCCTTTCACATCAGGAGGATGTACCAAGACACGGGACAATCAAGGATCCACACCCAAGTTGGCATTTGGGATCAACAACAACAAAATTACATTTGTATAATGCCTTTCATGTTGGGAGGATGTCGCAAGGCGCTGGACAGTCAGTGTTTCGGACCCGAGCTGGGAGTCGGGATCGGGGAGGGTGGAGGGCAGGGGGGGGAATGAGAGCGATCGAAGGCATGGTCAAAGAGGAAGGTTTTGAGATGGTTCTTGAAGGAGGCAAAGGAGGGGGCAAGGCGAAGGGACTGCGGGATGGAGTTTCAGAGGGTGGAGGAAAGAGTGGTTGAAGGCTCGCCTGCCAAAGGCGGTGTGGTTGAGCCGGGGGGGGGGGGGGGGGGGAGTGAAGCAGGCTAGAGCCCGCTGAGCGGAGGGAGTGAGCAAGATGGTAGGGTTTAGGAGGTCCCAAAAATAAGGGGGAGCAAGGCCATGGAGGGTTTTGAAGGTGAGGACCAGGATCTTGAACTGTATTCTCTGTGTGATGTGAAGCCGGTGGAGTCGGGCGAGGATGGGGGTGATAAGGTTGCAGAACTTGGTGCCGGAGAGGACACAGGCTGCAGAGTTCTGGATGATCTGCAGCCTATGGAGGGAGGAGTTGGGGAGGCCGACAAGCAGGGAGTTTGCATAGTTAAGCCTCGATGTTATGAATGTGTGTATGAGGGTTTTGGCAGCCTGCGGTGTGAGACAGTAGCGGAGCCGGGCAATGTTCCGGAGGTGGGGAAGGCAGAGCAGATCATGGCACGGATGTGGAGTATAAAGGATAGTTGAGGGTCAAATAAGACGCCAAGGTTAGTGGGTAGGTGAGGTGGAGTGTGTAACCGTGGATGTTGATACTGTCAGTGCCTGAGGTGTGGAGGCGCTGACGAGAGCCAATCAGGAGAGACTCGGTCTTGTGTACATTGGGAGCCAGCATGGAAGCAACAACAACAACAAATTACATTTGTACAGTGCTTTTCATGTCAGAAGGATGTTTCCAAGCAATAAAAGTATTTAAGAAAAAAAATAAGAAAAACTGAAGAAATATAAATCTCAACATAATAATAATGCTTGTTTTTGATATTGTGTCCATACCATCGAAAAATCTCAATGTGCTTCACCGGTAATTGCTATCAAGTGTGTTTGCTGGCTATTTGTGTACATATGTATCTGAATTCATGAACATTAACATGAAACTAATAAGTCACAATGATAGTAAATTCAACATCACTTCCTCACTTTTATATTCTATCCCTCTGGATAAAAGCCCAAGATCCCATTGGCCCTTTTTGTAGCCTTATTCCTTGTGTAGCTACTTTTAGAGATTTGTGGATCTGATTCCCCATGTCTCTCTTTGTTCTTCTTCTCCTCTTAGGTTCCTACCATCTAGACCAGTGCCGGCCAAACTTCGCCATCAAGAAGCAGCCCCTTTGAATATTCGCATTAGTCTAGGTGCGTTTCGCCCACAAAATACAGTGAATCCACTTTACAATGTATCCTGTGAAGCGCTTTGAGATGTCTCAAATGCAAGGATTATTATTATTAAGTCCATGTTCATTGTGTTTCCAAATTTTTCTTGATTGAATATTTCTAGATTCATGGCACAATTCAAGAAATATTCAATCAAGAAAATGTATTTTGTTAGCCGACCAAAACGATTGGAAACCACCAATCTAGGCTATAGACGGTTCCTTTATTTTTTCTGCCGATGTGACTATGGTTGCTTTGGTCAGTCACTGCTTACCCTCCATTTTAAGTTGTTCCAGTTTGTTTGTAACTTTTTTTCCTTCCTCAGCTAAGATAGCAGCTGAATCCCAGAATATCAAGGACACATTTTCTTTCAGACTTGAATACTTTAACCTTTTCACTCTGAGTTCAGCTGTAATTCTTGCGCTTTGCAATTAGCATTCCTCCTGCCTGAGTGCTCATTGCTGCCGGTGCTCCTGCTGCCTCTTTCTGACACATTTTATTTTAGTGTGTGTGCGTGTGTATGTTCTACAGTGTTCCCAGTGGCTAATATCAATGCTCATTACCATGCTATTGGAATTTTACACACAATTCATGCCTGTAAAAAAAAGCTCCAGCCCAGAATGCCAACATTGCAGTAACACATATCTATATTTGTGCAATGCTTCTGTGTTGATGTTATCATGATTAATAGAATTTGCAGTAAAATGTTAGACTGACTTCTGAACTCAATGCTGCAGGATGCTATGGCACTATTTAGAGTCAGGTATTCAACTCTCTTAACACATTAACAACACTTTACCCATTTCAGCTCCCTGTTATTCCCGTACAGTGAAAAAAACATGAAACTCAAATATTCATTTTCCTATCGGGACATCTTCTGACGTGAAAGGTGCTATACAATTGTAAGTTTTTGTTACTGTTGTTGTCAACTTACAAAATTCCCCCAATTTCAACAGGAATTATCCAGTCATCTATCACTTTATTGATCAGATGGAAGTACAGGCACTAACTGAAATGAAATCAAGGGAAATTATGGGTTACTGGGCAGGCTAATAGAAAAACATAGGAAATGAATAGTGAAACGTTATAAAATGTGTACACAGTGATGCAGTCATTTATAATATGGTGTTGTAAATAGAGAACTCAACCAGGTAACTAAACAACTCAATTCTTCATAGCAACGTGCTGGTCAGAGTAAAGCTCTGGGCTTCTCAGTTCCACAAAGCTGACTATGTGCCCAATATAGTGGAGATAACGGATATGAATTGTAACACTATAGTATTCTGCTTTCTGTTAATGTTGCAGGGTTAGAAACAGAGGTGTTATCTAATAATGGGCTACACAAGATGTAACACCATTTTGCTTTCAAACTTACATTTCTCAGCTGTTGCATGTTTGCATCATGAGTATCTAGGTCTCATTCTCTATCACCATGGCAGGATTACTCATACCTAGAAATTAACAACAAAGTAAAACAATTATAATTTGGCTTGCCAATCTCCGTTTTTAATTGGAAAAATAAGTATTCATTGGTTTTCCAATTTTTCTACACAATGACGAAAACAGATTTCCATAGTGGAGTTATTTTTACATATTGTTTATGGTTTTGAACTAGGAAGATGGCTGACTGGGTTGTAGAGTCTCTACAGTTCTTGTGCATTCCAAGAAGTGATGTTAATGGAGATGTCTGCACATTATGTACATGTGCAACATGCAGGATGTGACACGTTTGGTGACCTTACAACCCAGAAGTCATCTATGTTTGTAATTGAAAGATTGCAAAAGATAGTAATAATCCTTGCATTTGATATAGTGCTTCATCAGCTTGTCGAGACATCTCAAGATTTTACAGGACTTTTATTGCGAAGTATGTATCTTATAAGCAAAAGATCAACACATTCAACCCTGAGAAGGTAATTGATAATAAATAAATTCCTCAATAGTTGCCAAATGAGCTCCCCGAAGACCACATGGTTAAAGGCACAAAGTGTTAGTAGGTCATGCAGACGTTAGGCTTGCAGGTTAGAATTCCAGTCTGTGCTGAGTTACTTGATTTTAGTTGTGGCAGCAGTTTGGGTGCCAGGGTTGGCCTCAGTGCCCAATGTTGCCAGATTAATTATTATTGATTACAGGGCATGTTTTTGTTGTACTGTATGTGAAAAAAACACTTTGGGCGGGTGCCAAACTTTTAAAATTTTAATTTAAACCTGCAACACGTGTGTGTTTTTTCCGTTGAAGACCATTTCTTACACTATTTCAAAAGCACAAACCTAAATTGATCACTGTTATCCATTATAATAATAATAATAATAATCCTTGCATTTGATATAGCGCTTTTCACGTCGGGAGGACGTCCCAAAGCGCTTCACAGAACACACTGTAAAGTGAATTGACTGTATATTTGTGGGCGAACGCGGCAGCCAATTGCGCACAGCAATGTACCACAAACAGTCGTAGATTGAAAATGACCAATTTATTATTGTTTTTGGTTTTGGAGGGATTATTATTAGGCGTGTGGAGTAAGGAAACTTGCCTAAGGTTTCGCCCTGACCTGCCTGGAATTGAACTCAGGTCTCTCGCTTGCAAAGCGAGTGCTCTAACCACTGAGCTACAGGACTCCATTGTAGGCAAGGCATAATATTGGTCTACTTTTGAGTGAGTATTTTGCCCACAAAATATACAGTCAATTCACTTTATAGTTTATCCTGTGAAGCGCTTTGAGATGTCTCAAAGTCATGATAAGACGCTCTATCACATGTAAGGATTATTATTAATTTGTTTATTATTAATTGGTTGACTTTGGGCTACAAATGTATTTTGATTTCTGGCAATCCTGTCATTGCTCCTATATTAGGGAGGGGAAAATCAGCCAAGGTCTGGTCCTAATTGCTATCCAAGACGCTTGGAAGGTGCGTGTGTGTAGATGTCAAATGTGGACAGGATCATGCTCAGCTCCACAGTATAACAGCTCACCAAGAATTACTGTGATGGGTTTGCACATGACAAGGGAGCCAGATGCCTATCAAATATTGATCCAGTAAAATAGTTATACTGAAGGAGATGAGACTTTGGTTAAAAAAGTTGCAAAAAGTTTTTTTTAATTTAAATTTCATGACAAAAACATGACTGTCTCTTGCTGCGTATTCTCTTCTCAAACGTTTGAAATCACTGACATGTAAATTATAACTGACAGTCATGGGCGATGGTTGAATAATATATCTCCCTCTGTCTATAAAATAATGTTACCTGTTCCCTAACAGGCTTTATTTTTCTCAAAGCAATATTATGAAGATTTGTGTGGTTAATGCAAATTATAAAATGTTAATGTATACTAACCAAGCTTGCTCTTCTCATCATCAGAAGCTCCTTCAGACCATGTGTGACCACTGCCGAGTAGGTGATTCTGGGAATCTCGTAAAGGCTTGGCAGGGAATGGATGTCCATCAGCTGTACTGTCAATCAAGGAGACAAAAGATCACAACACAAATTCAGATGAAGAAGTCTTTGGCACATTTGATCTCAACCCTCAGGTGTCTTCATTAAAAGGTGAATTTAAAATTACATTTTATTTGGTGTGAAATATTCAACAATACCAACAACTTTCACTTATATAGCACCCTCCCTGCAGGGTAATGTCTCAGAGTGCTTAACAACAACAACAACAACAACAACAACAAGATTCCATTTATAGAGCGCCTTTCACGTCAGGAGGACGTCCCAAGGCGCTGCACAGTTGGGTCATGACCCGAGCAGGGGGGAAATGGTCAGGGTGAGGGGAGGGAAGGGAGGGAGCGAGGAGGGGGGAAATGGTCAGTGTGAGGGGAGGGAAGGGAGGGAGAGAGGAGGGGGGAAATGGTCACGGTGAGGGGAGGGAAGGGAGGGAGCGAGGAGGAGGAAGAGAGTCGAGAGGGGAGCTGAAGGCACGGTCAAAGAGAAAGGTTTTCAGGCGGGACTTGAAAAAGGAGAGGGGGAAAGGCAGAGGGATTGAGGAAGAGTGTTCCAGAGTTTTGGGGCATTGTGGCTGAAAGCGCGACCTCCGATGGTGGGGCAGAGGGCGTGAGGGACGAGCAGGAGGCCGGTGCCAGTTGAGCGGAGACGCTGGGTGGTAGATTGTGGAGTGAGGAGGTCGGAGAGGTAGGGAGGTGCCAGAGAGTGAAGGATTTGAACATTAGTGTGAGGATCTTGAAGTTGATCCGTTTAGTGATGGGGAGCTAGTGGAGCCTGGTTAATGTATACATTCAGATTAATGTATTAACATTAAAACAAATCTCTTCACCTTTTTACCTAATGAATTCTGAGCTCCTGCACACAAGGTAAAAAGAATAATGCTCTGCAAAATAGTACACTTCGACAATAGCAGCTTTACTATTTAACTCAACTTAAATCAAGGGTGAAGGTGAGCAAACCATATAATACTTTAGAACAACCTCAATCCTTACCAGGAATGACAAGCTAGCCAGTGTACTTGCAGACAAAATAGCAGCACGATTCAAGCTCTTGAACAGATGAAAGCTTCTATTGAGTAACATGATAAGTAAAAGTACACAATAGTAATGTATTCGTTTGACACGTGGTCCGAGCTAGACCTAGTGAATTTCTATTCCACTCTTTAAATTCTCTACAGCCAACAAAGAGCATGTTTGCACCTTCATGGTACCTAATTCAAAATACATTTCAATGCAGTTTATTGTAACTATTATCATTCATGTTCAGGTATATCAAGTTAGTATGTCTCTATGAGATTACTGCAACCAAAAGTATTGTAATTCTCCCTTGTTCACTACTTCTGTAAATCTATTAATCTGAGTTGTTTTATGAAAGTTGTACTATAGCACAGTTATTGATGGTTGTACACAGCTGAAGTGGCACAAGATTAACACACTCTCCTTTACGCTCTGGGGAATTCAGCATCGCAATCTTTTCTCTTTGATGGCTGCAGAAGAATCCTGAATGAAGCGAGTTTGTGGCTAATCTACACTCTTCCAAATAAGCAATGGTCCACAATCCAAAACAATCCCAAATTGAAATCTCCAATTTGCAATCTCACTCAGGATAACTAGTATGGGAAGCATTAAAAAGCTACACTTGTGTATCAGTGTATTAACACTCTTCTGAGGTTGAAAGTGTGAAGCGTTTTCAGATGTTCTCCCAACGTGAAAGAAGCTATATAAATGTAAGTTGTTTTTGATATTTCTCACAAAGACATTCTAGTGAATTCACTTCTCAATACCAACAGGGAGGANTTTTTTTTAACAACGTGACCAGTCAGAAGGGCGAGAGATGGGAACCAGCTACGTGATATAATGGGGATAAACAGATTAAACCCACAGTTTATAAAAACACGAAATGAAATTACCCTCACATGTACTGGTACAGGCCAGTGGAAAAATTAGTTTATTCCACGTGTAAGAAATGCATACATTTTTTCTCATTATAAATGCAAGTTGTAGCTGTAAAACACAATTTACGGTTTTATTACTGTGAGTTAATAAACGACACTTCACTTGAGGAATCAACAAACTATTCCACAGTTGTCTTGAAGGAAACTGGAGTTAGGCTGTATTTTCTAGTGTCAATAATGTCCTTATGTTAAAGCCTAGCCAGCAAGTACTATTGTCTGGAGCCAGAAACACTCTACTCTGAGGAATCATCTGCTCCAAAATGCGCTAATTGGAAATAGCATTTGTTGCATTAATCGTTGCTACTATTTTGCGAATATCAGATTGTGAGGCCTCGAAATAGCAAATGTTAGTGTTTCCTTGCCTGTCTGATTAGGGCTTTGTTGACTTTGAGCTATGATTGCCGTTTTGCGAATCATGCAATCCGAAGTTCACAAACCAGAATTAACGCAATAAATCTGTTTGCATATATCATAATTTAGACTTGTGTAAGTTGAGATAGAAAAGTAAATAAGCTTTTAGTCACTAATGGCCACTTTTTGATATAGCGTCTTTTGATCAGGCGAACATCTCAAAGCACTTTACAACATTTTATTGTTCTGTGTGCAATTGGCTGCCATGCTTCACTCTCAAACTATACAGTCAATTAATTCACTGTACAGTATGTTCTGTGAAGTGCTTTGAGACGTCTTGAAGAAATGATAAGATGCTATATCAAATGCAAGGATTGTTATTATTATAAAGTGTAGTGACTAAATTTTGTAGGTGATCACAGTACTTACACAGGCATAAAACACTTATCTGTGCTTTTTCAAAATGGTTAGTCTGTCTGTTAGGCGACAATGTAAGTGAAAACAAGCATGAAGGTGACACTTACTTTTTGGTTGTTGAGTTGTGTCCAGCTGGAGTAGGGGGTTGCTCTGGATCCTGATTAACCAAACAGGTTGGGAAGGAACATCCATCACCCAAGCTAATCCAACAAAAATACTATTAGTTTTTGCAACTGTTATAATCTACAATATAATAATAAATAATAATAATCCCTGCATTTGATATAGTGCCTTATCATGTCGTCGTGATGTCTCAAAGTGCTTTACTGGATACACTGTAAAGTGTATTTTGTGGGCGACTCACAGCAGCCAGTTTGCACACAGTAATATCCCACAAGCAGCTATGGAATGAGCGCCCAATTTTTTATTTGTGGGATTTATTGGCCAGGACACCGGGAGAAACTCCATTCTCTTTTTGAATAGTGCCAAAGGATCTTCAACATTCACCTGAACGGGCAGACGAGACCTCGGTTTAATGTCTCATCCGAAGGATGGCACCTCCAACAATGCAACACCACCCAGCACTGCATGGGAATGTCAGCTTAGACTATGTGATTCTAAGTCCCGATGAACCCACAATCCTCTGACTCAGGCGAGAGTGTTACCACTGAGCCAGGCTGACATACCTATCTAGTTTTAAAGTATGTTGCTTAAAATAGCATAAACGTGTAACATCAATCCTGCATTTAGGGCAATTTATTGAGAATTTTGCAATAACAACAGCACTTTCTTTATCAATAATAGTATTTGTTTGTTAGTAAACAAAAATAACTGATTCTACTGATAGATGAACTATTGGAATTAACAGCCATACATTTTTGTCAACTTTTCCTTCCTCCTAATCTGATTGAGGAATAGTTGTTATTGCACCAGTTAGCAACTGGTACATTCACAATTGCATGACGTGATCATTAATAGTTGTGATGTTTATCACATCACATACTCCACCTTTCACGCTTACTGTGTTTATCTTTGAACAGCAGTTCACAAGATCACAACTTTGCTTTGTATGATAGAGGCCCTTCAGCCCATCTGTTCACATCCCGTCCTTCCTTCTAGCAAGATAATACAGTAGACTTTCTTCTCATCTGATTACAATTATTTTAACTCTCTTGATAAGTGAATCTCAGTCTCTTATGTTTCAATCTATCTGATAAATGTCTGAGTCCAGATTACTGTGCCACGCAAATAGGCTTTCTATATTCTAAAACATCTCAAGTACTTAGTCCTGGAGTGAGATAATCTTTACTCCTCCAACAAAATGAGAAACTGCTTGGAGTCTGCAGACTATCACCCTAGAGGAAGAGTCACATTGTGCTGCTTCGGTTGCTGTCTATTTAGGTCAACAAGGGTTTGTGTGTCATTTTTACTCAACTGAAGGTTGACCCTGAAGTTGTTCCCTTGTCAAAGAAAGATCAGTAGGCACCAAAAGGAAAAGCTCTTAAAGCCTTCAAATTGTCATTGCAAGTCATATGGCTGTTTGCTTATTGGTAAAATGAAACCAAAACTAACAGATATAATGAATGCATTTCTGTATAAAGAAACAATCCCGATTATTAATCACTTAGAAATGATTAAGAGATATTACAGCTTTTTAAAGTCGTTCCTCTTGGAAACACGGTCATTGCTGTAAGTGACTATGGGGATATATTGTTCTCTTTGCTATAACAGCAATCTGTTTATAGAATTTGGAGTACTAAAGTTAAACTTGTAACAACTTTTAATAGGGGGTGAAGGAGAATATGAAGAGAAAAATATAAAGACGTATGTTGAAAGATCGTGGAAGTGTGATTACGATACATAACTCTAGTGAAGCAGATAATACCAGCAAAGGCTCGATGGGCCAAATAACCTTCTTCTGTGCTGTACCTTGTAAGATCAGTTCTCCGAGACGCTATATAAATGCAAGTTGTAGTTGTAACATGTAAGATTCTATGGACCTCTATATTTCTATCACAGATGCAATACCCAATGATGTGAACAGTACCTTGTAAAGACAGGCAGTAACCAATATTTCTTCTCATCTCCAAATGCCTGTTTTATATTTTTGCTGCAGCCCAAACTAAAACCATTCTTATCTGGTCCATGTCGGAAGACAGGAGCTCTAAAGGCTTCTGAAACAAAAAAATATTGTTGGTAGCAATTTGATAATTCATATTAAAATACATGAAATGTTTCTTTTTTTAAATTAAACAATTAGAACTCACGGCTGCTTGGAGCTCATTGCTTTAAATGCATTAGCTTAAATGCAGAGTTAACAGTCACTTCCTGAACCCAAATAGTGGTAGGAAAGGGATACTTACTATTCACGTTCATATTCAGCATTCACCAGAATTTGATCTATTCTAAGCCAGTATCAAATTATTGACCCACTGACTAATTCAATGTTTCTGATTTCAGCTGAGGGAGGGTGTAATATAACTCGATCCAATATAAAGATGTGTTAGTATTTCTCTACTTGTCAATCCAAACACTCATAAATCCACCTGTTATCCCTCTCCCAGTGTCCTTTTGTACGTCCTGCTCTTCTTCTTATTGGCCCTTTTATTAATTGTCAATTTACTCTTAAAGGAGTATCCAACAGAGGGAATCTCCACCACATTGTCATGCACAAGCTTAATAAACTGTGTGCGCATCCCTGGAAGTAGCTCTTCTATTGACTGTGGAATGATAATTTACAAGAGACCATGCCTGAATGGAGAGAGGAAACATAACACATCACCCCACCCCCCGCTTTTCCCTTAAAAGCTTATTTTATCTAAAGGAAGCCAATAAAAAGCTTTCAATAATAGGCATTGCATCTTACCTAGTGTAGATCTATTCTTACTGACTAACCAGCAGTGGTAACCAAACAGAGAGGACAAGCTGATGGAGAACATTGCAGCTGCAAAGAACAGGAACATGATGTGGAACTTAGCTTGGGTGTCAGGCAGCCCATTCTAGAGAGAAAAGAATAGGAAGGTAATAGACTCCTGGAAACACCAGAATTGGTTTATATTGAAAAGGTGACATTCAAAACCCACATATTAGGGTCAAAACGACAGGATTCCTAAACACACCAATGTTCCTTCATTAAGGATGTTGTTAAAATGTGTTGCGGATAATAGACTTAAAATGTAATATCGTGCAGAGTTTGGGAATATTCAGACTTAATTTGAAAGCCAGTTTTCTGCAGTTCTTCTTACAAAGTAAGACCGAATTTAAGAACTTTCCAAAACTCTGCTATAACTTAGATGTTACCTCATTGATTTTATGTCAATGATCTGGTTTTAGATTAGAGAGCTTCACATTAACTGGGACACATTTGCAGCCATAACATTACTACAAATGGTCACGATATTTAAATAACAAATAAGACTTTCCAAAAGCTATGATACTGTGTTAAACACGTCGAGTTAATATTCTGCCAACTACTGTACGTGGTTGATCAGTACCCATCAGTACAGGTGGGCTGATCAAATCTTAGGATTCCTACCCAAAATTTCTTCAGCCGCTCATGTGGGATTCCACCCTTGATAAATGAAGAGTCAGCAGAAAAGATGGAAGGAAAAGAATGGTAGGAGATCAATGAACATGGAATGAGTTGAAATGCTCAAAGTAAACCGAACACCTGGAATTGAAAATGATCAAAGGAAATAACATACATAAAGAAGTGAAGAAAGGACATGAACGGAAGCAAGAGAGGAGAGAGAAGGGAGGGAGAGAGGGAGGGGTGAAATGTATGGCCTGTTGTTGTCACGATGCTTTTGAACCACACAAATCTGAGAATATGATTCGTAATGTAGGGGACCAATAGGTTATTGCACAGCTTCTGGTGAATGGATAATATTAAATGTAAATAGGTTTAGTGCCATTGCAACAATTGATAATGAAGGTTGTTAAAGGTAGGACAGTCCAATACAGAGACTATTCTGATTCAATGGTAATCAAGGTTCTTTGAAGCTCAGGATGAGTGATGGGACATCCAGGAGCCACAACAGGGCTGTCCGAAAGTGCATCACTGCTGATAGTCAAAGCAAAGTTTTTCTCTGCATTTGCAGATAGAGAGGATGAAGATTGGGACTCATTAAGTATAGCTGAGATGGCTGGTGGCAGTGCCATTCATCGTATCTATTCATCTCTAAATGATGCGAGGTGACACCAGAAGAATAGCTTGAAGAAAAAGCTATTTGGTCATTTGTTTGCTCTCTGAGATTTCCATTAATTTCAGTCTGATAACCACAGAGTAGGGCCACAGTACACAATTATACGGAGTTACATATGGCATGGAGATAGACCATTCAGTCCAACTAGTCAACGCCAGTGTTTAAACTCCACACAAGCCCTCATCCCTTCTATTCTCCTCTCCTAAGCACCTCTATTCTTTTCTCCCTTATGTATGCCTCAAATTATTATTTTATTTCCATTCCTTTTATGGAATTAAACTAATGGGAGTTTTTTGACAGGATACTAGTCACTAAATACAGCAAACCTTTTGTTATTTTTCATTACAGACACGACAAGCTGAATGGCCCCCTTCTGAGTAGAAAGCCCTCCAAAAAATATAGGTTATAAGCACTTACCGTCCAGAACTTGATAAAAAAGTGCAGATCTGTAGCAGCAATGAACATGCAGTAAAGCAGTGAATAAGCCAGGAACAGGAAGAAAAACTTATAGTTGGAGAAACCGACACAGTTGTTGACCCTGTAAAGAATATCAGGACGCCAATCATTAAAGATTTCAGACATCAGCGTGATGATTTTAAGGTTACTGATGGGCAAATAGAATTACAAAACATTTATATATGATTTCAATCACTTGCTTAGTATGCACTTTAAACGAAACAAAATGAGAATTGCTGTTTTATAAAAACGTATGACCTACATTTCTTATTCATCGGGCAGTGAATGCTGGGATTCGTGTGGATAAAGGAGAATATATTGGCAATTACTGCATAGTCATACGTTTCTCAATTCAAAATGTTAATGCTGGAAAATAATTACACTATTTATACAATCTAACATCTGCCCTTTTCTTAAAAAATCCAGTGACCTCCAGTTGAATTGCATGTGTGTAGACATGAGGATGAGGGTTTCATGGTGATATTCCTCTCTCCCTTCGCTCATTGTTCAGGTTCACACATGATAAATGGGCACTTAGACAATTTAGTGGAGAGCAGCCAATGCCATGGAATCATGTTGCACATTTTTCCAGTAGTTTTACAAGTGTAGGGATAGATAGATGAGATATGCGGAACATCAGCCAAAAAAAAACTGACAAGACAAATATTTATCCAGCAGACAGACCTCACTCAACAGCATAAGCCACTGGCATCTGGCTTTTTCTGAAATGAACACCTGAATTCATCAATTAAGTCACATTATTATTTGCACATGGTGCATAATAGATCCTAGTGTGTCATTTGCACAAGTACAGTTAAACATATTTGTTTCTTTGATTTACAAAAAACCTCAGTGTTAATTGCTTTTAGTAAACATTCTCCTGAAAAGGGGAACCTACGCCACAGCTGTCACTAGAGTGAGATACTGTTATTCCCTCAGCCCATAAACTGATGAAGGAACAAGTACGAGGTTGATATAACACAATAGTTCTACATACCAAGGGCAGTGATGATCCATCTTCAAAATACACCTGTTGAACAACAGAGTTGCGCTAATTTTAGTATTTGATAATTGTTATTCTTGCTTTTAATGGGACACATTGATTACTATTTACTTTAAATATAACAACAACAAAATTACATTTGTATAGCGTGTTTCATGTCAGGTGGACATCCCAAGGCCCTGGACAATCAGTGTTTTGGATCCAAGTTGGGGGTCGGGATCGGGGAGGGTGATCGAAGACATGGTCGAAGAGTAGTGCCATTAGATGGGTCTTAAAGGAGGCAAGGGAGGGGGTGTGGCGGAGGGACTGCGGGATGGAATTCCAGAGAGAGGGAGCAGAGTGGCTGAAGGCTTGTCTACCAATGGTGGGGTGGGTGAGGTGGGGGACGTGAAGCAGGCTGTAGCCCATTGAGGGGAGGGAGCTGTAATAATAATCTGTGTATTTGGTATAGACGCTTATCACATCATCAATACATCTCAAAGTGCTTCACAGGATCCACTGTAAAGTGTAATGACTACATATATGTATATGTAGATGAACACAATGGCTAATTTATACATAGCAAAATCCCACAGCCATGAAGAAAATAACCCATTTTATTTGCAGGATTGGTAGCCAGGACACCAGGAAAAATTCCATTCTCTTTTCAAATAGTGCCATAGGATCTTTAACATCCACCTGAACAGGCAGACTGGACCCCAGTTTAATGTCTCATTTAAAGGACGACACCTCTGACAGTGCAGTGCTGCCTGCACTGGAGTATCAGCTTATAACAAAACAGAATGGACCATTGCGCAAAACTCAGCAGTATATATATAAATAATTAGTGGTCCAGAGTATCACTTTATAATAGCCATAAGGTACACGAAAAACATTCATTTTTGAAGTTAAAACTGGAAAAATAAACCGAAAACACATGAAAGTTGAGTAAAACATGTTCCTAATTTTATGCACGTCACAAAGGTGCAAGATGTGGTGTGAAATTGTGCCAGAATGAAAATTTGCTTTCCAGCCAAGCTCTGGAAAATATCACGTTCTGTAAACATAAACAGGCAATTGTTTTGGTGACCACTTCAGGCATTTGGTGTGGGTGCACAGATCACGCCAGGAAAACAATCCCTTTCCCTATTAATTAATCTGCTCACTTTGTAGATTTTCATCTCACTGTTGACAGAAGTCATTTCTACGAATTATTTTTGCAATTTTTTTTTTACAGATCCCTTTGGCACGTGATAAAATCAGCTTTCTTTAATTTCTGCTGTGGTTGACGTTAATTCCATGAACGAAACTTGAAATATGTGTTGTGTGGAATACCATCTAAATATGAACCAGTGAAACTTCTCTGCCAAACAGCAACTGAGACCATTGTGGAGGCGCTGCTGCTGAGCATAAAACCATCAGTACCATTGGAGAAAAACCACAATCCACATGGCATTTTGCAACACAATGGATGTATTATGAAATGGCACAAACTTTACCCTGTAATTTCTTTAGGCATTGATCTGCAAATAGAAAATTACATTAAAAAGCATCTGACTTGTGCCCGCAAGTCTACAGCCCAGAAACAGATACAGATATTCTGTATTGCGTGCCTGCCAGAGTAAGTGTTTTGACATTATGAATACTTCCTGTATTCCTGACATAGTAATTAACTGAAGTCAGGAGGCACAGTTATAGTAGATCCTGCCCATAGAGTCACAGAAATTATAGAGGAGGTTATTCAGCCCAAATGAGCCTAAACTTGGTGTCAGCTTGGCTCAGTTAGCAGTGTCCTTGCCTTTGGGTTAAGCGGTTGTGGGCTCAAACCTCAAGTCAGGACTTTTGCCCTCATAGTCTAGGCTGACCGTCAGCTCTCAGTTGGGGTCAAACAGAGCTCCTGTTCAGGTTGATGTTAAAGTTCCTGTGTTTTTATTTGGAAAGAGAAGGGGGTTTCTCCCAGAGTCCTGACCAATAATCCTCCAGATAAAATTGATCATTCACACATTGCTGTCTGTGGGACATTACTGTGCACAAATTGGCTGCTGCACTTCACAGAATCTTTTGACATGTTCTCAGCATTATAGGTGTTATATCAAATGCAATGATTACTACTATTATTATACACTGATATTTACTCATATACTGGAGCTAAATAAAATACAATAATCCCAAACCACTGCCTTTTCCCTCTAGCCTTTTTGTTGCAACCTTTTGCATCCTGAGCCCCCACTTAAATATATCACAAATCCTTACATTTGATACAGTGTTTCAAAGTACTACACAGGATACCTGTATAACTATGTATTTTGTGGGCAAACACAGCAATCAATTTGCACACAGTAATGTTGCACAAACAACCATGAAGTGAATGAACAATTTTATTTGGGGAATTGTCGGTCAAGACATTGGGAGAGAGAAACTCAGGGTTATTAACCTGTAGGCTGAGGATGCACAATATTTGAAAATGTAGGCTTGTCAAATAGAAAAAAAGTAATAACATTCCTTGTATTTGATACAATATCTTTCATATTTTGAGGATATCTGAAAACTCTTTGCAGGATTTTACTATACAGTATAGAGGCTGTATTTTGTAGCCAAACATGGCCGGGATTTGTACATGGCAATGTTCCAAAAATAGCCAGGAAGTGAATGACCAATTTTATAACAACAACTTGCATTTATATAGTGTCTGACACACAGTGTAGCATCCCGGAACGCTTGACAGTGGCAATGTCTGACACTGAGCCAGAGAGAGAGAGTCTTTACGTGGAATTTGAAAGTGGGGAGGAAGGGAACACAGTTGAAGGAGAGAGAGTTCCATAGTTTCGGGGCGTAGTGACTGAAGGCACGGCCACCGATGGTGGAGCGGAGGGGATCGGGTAGGTTGGGAGGTGCGAGGGCATGAAGGGATTTGAAAACAAGTGAGAGGATATTTATCTGGGGTTTTGTTGACCAAAACACCAGGAAACGCCATTTTCTTTTTTAAATGAATGAATGATATAGAAATAAATAACTGCAGTTTTAATTTTAATTTAAAAAGGGTACCAGCTGAGGTACAGTCACATCACATGTAAAATTCTGCCACACAGGTATCAGCGGCCTCACCTTGAACCTGAGCAGCACACTGTCTCTTGTTATATGGAGGATTTCCCCCAATACTGATCCAGCTGCTTTCAGAATCATAAGACAGCTATTGTCAATTGAAATCATGTTCAGGCCAACCCTAATGCGCTCTGTAACAAAAGTATGTGTTTGAAATTTAAATTCCCGAAAGGACAAAAGGGACTGAGCTCACCGATGCAGCAGCTGGCAAGTGACCTAAGGAAACTTCTCAAAGCATTTCAAGGGATTTACTGTAAAGGATAGTGACTATTTGGTAGGATTAAATGCGAATATTTAATCAAACGCAATCAAATTTGTGAATATAGATATATACACAAACATTTTCACGCACAAAAACACATATGCTTGCATTCAGTACAATGTAACAATGACTTTATTACACATTTGAGTATGTATATGCGTGCACGTGTTTCCGTGTGTCTGCATGTTGTTGTTCCAGGAGTGTTTCAATGGCAGATATTACAATGGCATGACAAGCGTTTCATTCTTGTTCTAACCCACTTCTTTGTAACACAGATTCACTTCTATCATAGTTGGGGTGTGAACCCCAAAATTTTCTCACCAAAACATTAAAAAATTCCCAGTGCACTGGAAGTGAGCTGGTTCATTGCGGGAATGCACCATGAATGTGGAAGCACTGACTGGCAATTGTGGTCCCATTATAATACAGATTCATATTAATCGCTCCCAAACTAGTACATTATAACATAGCTCTAATGTACAGTCTCCTGCTACTTTCTCCTCACGTCCTAAGATGTGGTATTTTATTCACTTTGGAAAGGTGCCCTGGTCCTGAATCTGGCACAGACACTGGACTCATTTAAGAAACAGTTTGATGCTGCAATAGAAGGATGGAAAAATAAGATGAAATAGGATAAAAGTCCTTCATCATCTGAGCATCTCTTGAGATCTTATGACTGAGCTACTTTTTGAGCCTGTCTGAAAAACAGTCCATTTGGTGCTGAGCAGAACTTGCTGAGAAATAGGTTTCAACTCATATGTCAGTTCCAGTTTTCAACCAGACAGAAAAATGACAGATTATATCAATTATTTATGAATTATGGTCACACTGCTTTAAGCACAGGATTTCTAAAATGGATTGTAGACCTTCATGTAGCATCCTCCAACAAGCCTGTAAAATGGGGAGTATCATGCAGTATTTATCACATTTTTCCTGTCTAGTGAGCACAGTACGAAGGATTGAATGCTTGCTTCATACAAGCTCTGTAAATAACACTTTTTCAATAATTCATAACTCTCAGCAAGAACATTTATTTTCCAGTTTTATTTCCTTTCTTTATAATTGCAATTTTAAATGGATTAAAATGAATGGTATCTTCTCAATTCAATGACCATGTGCGTAACAATTAATGTAAATGAGCAGCATTTTACTGCAGCATTAGTTCTGAGTCTTAGAAAGATCCAGTGTGTGATATAGTTAAAACTGGAGTTAACTGTGACTTCTGGTCTACAAATATCAGAAGTTCACTGAGAGGAGGGGCTGTAAACCTTCTAATGATTCTACATTTTCCTTGTCAACAACAACAACAACTTGGATTTATATAGCGCCCTCCACGCTGGACAGCATCTCAGAGCACTTCACAGTAATGGATCCCAGGGTCAAGCCAGGGGAGGGGGAGGAAGGACATTTATATTTTTCATTAATATACAATGAATAACTAAAAAAGTATACTGACATTTTAAATCAAAAAGAGAAGTTGTGTGCCTGAAATTTTAGACAACACATGTTTCCTCTGCAGTATACAATATCTATAATAATCCTTGCATTTGGTATAGTGCTTTATCACGTCTTCATGATGTCTCAAAGTGTTTCACAGAATATACTGTAAAGTGAATTGATTGTATATTTTGTAGATGAAATCCGGCAGCCAATTGCACACAGCAGTGTCCCACAATCGTGAATTGAATGACCCGATTTTTTTTAAGGGATTATTACCCCCGGAAAAGCGATCTACCAATCGACTAACAACCGGGTTTCCGACTTACTGCTAGGTAAACAGACGTATGTGGAGTAAGGAAACTTGCTCAATGTTTACCCTGCCCTGGAATTAAACCCAGGTCTCTCACTTGTAAGGCAAGTGCTCTAACCACTAAGCTACAGGACTTCAATATCATTGAATATGATTCCAGCGCCCAGGGACGTCCTCCCAACATGAAAGAAGCTATACAAATGTAATTTATAGTTGTTGATTCCAATTGCTTTATGAACAGAATAAACATTAGAATTAATAATAAATCAGAAGCACCACAGTCTAGTTCTCTCCATTTGGCATGATAACTATGTGCACTATTATTCCATATACATTACATTAATAACAGTAAGAACTTCAGTAAACCATCAATCCACCTAGCCTTCCATCCAACTTCCTACAATATCTTCAATGTACAGTAGAAAGTTACTAATAAAATCATCAAACAGACTGTGGAATTTAGACCACATCGGTGGGCTGACATCACTCGTGAATTTCTGTTACTGTATTATATATATCAGAGCCCAATTATAAGGTGTTTTTTGGTAGTTCCAACTAATATTATGACAGTACATGATCAAGAGTGATTAGTCATTAGAGTGATTAGTGTGGAGTCCTGTAGCTCAGTGGTTAGAGCACTCGCTTTGCAAGCGAAAGACCTGAGTTCAATTCCAGGCACAGGGCAAAACCTTGGGCAAGTTTGCTTACTCCACACACCTAATAATAATCCCTCCAAAAAACAAAACAATAATAAATTGGTCATTTTCAATCCATGACTGTTTGTGGGACATTGCTGTGCGCAATTGGCTGCCGCGTTCGCCCACAAATACACAGTCAATTCACTTTACAGTATATTCTGTGAAGCGCTTTGGGATGTCCTCCCGACGTGAAAAGCGCTATATCAAATGCAAAGGATTATTATTAGGATTATTATTATAGTCAGTGAATTGTATAAAGCCAACTGGCTGGCTCATCTAAATGGCTATTTTGTTAGTATGCAGGAGGCCAGCAGGACATAAGACCAACAATAATTTGTATTTATTCGCCACGGCTCCCAGTTTCCTGCAATGCTGTAGCAATATAATTCAGGGGATTAAGCTGTATTTTATTTGCAGGATTGTTAATCCTTTGTTAAGCATTATATTAATTCTCACATTCTTTTCCAGTCAGCTAACACCATTAGTTATACAGTACCTCTGGTCAGCACATGGTCAATCAATACATATTTAATTCTGACCTTTATCCAACCAAATATCATAGTTTTTCATTTTTCTAAATTGAACTGCATCTGCCACCATACTGCCTGCCCATGTAGACATCATAGCATTGCCGAACGTGTTATGATTCTGTCATGTGATGTGGAGCTGCTACAATAACATCCATAATAATGATGATGATTATAATTACCCACCATTGTGAAGTGATCCAAGACATTATCCTATGTGAAGGGAACTATATAAATGCAAGCTGTTGTTGGTGATGGTGTGCAATGTGTGGTCCAGTGCCTTGGAACATCCTCCCGACGTGAAAGACGCTGTAGAAATGTAATTTGTTGTTGTTGCATTAGTGACAAAGATAGAGATGAACTGTGGCAGTTGACCTTTCAATGGCAAAACTCCAAAGCAGTATATAATTGACTCTCATATGACTATATATATATTTATTATTATGTACTACAAATAATTATATATATAGTTATATATATACACTCATTAGTAGTACACCTGTGCACTAAAACATTTATTAAACTGATGACAAATTCAGAAAACTGTTAGACCTTATTAAAATAAATGCTTACTTGTCACACACAGAGCAGTGATGACAGCGGTCTGGCTTCACGAGCTGACATCTGTCACAGTATCGGATCGCTGTGAAAGCAACACCATAGGTGAGAACCGGATACAACAATTATTCATAAGAATAACACTACAGATATTTGTAAAAATGTCACCCTTTCGAAACATGAAGAAATGATCCAGGGAGTAGTGGTATTGCTGAGTCTCATATGGAGAAAGGTATGCAAAGTTTCTCATTATGTACATCACGTATCGGGCATGGGAAAAAGACAGGTAAATAGGACTGAAAAGATTGCTCTTTATAAGAGCCAGCACAGACACGTTAGGCTAAAAGACCCTCTTCTGTGCTGTAAGTTTCTGTAGTTCTAAAAAAAAACATTTCTATGGCTCTTCATAATAATAATAAACATCATGTTGACCTATGCAACCTCAACTCTGATCTGAGATCTCAATGGAGTTGAGTTTTCAAGGGTTTCTGCGATGTACATGGGGTTCCTTGGAGGAAACTTATTTTAAAGGATTAAAATTGCAGTATTTCTGAATATGTTCTGTTCTTCAATTATCACTGGTAATGTTAAAGGATCAATACAGAAGATGTGGTCAAAAATGTGTCTATAAAACCTGTCCTGAACACAGTTTTAGCATTGAACAATCTCATGACTTTGAGAAAATTATTTTTCCCTCTAGCTCTTTTACAAATGAATCACTGCTACCTTTGTTTTTTGTACAGAGACCGTATCTATTTTCTAGACCAGTATTTGGCAAAGAAGCACAAACTCCACAATAACTGTGGTCCAATTTCTGGGTCAATTGGCTAGGTTTGTACTGTCATCTGTCCTACTTGTTATCAATTTGTGTTATATAATGTAGTCTGACTTTACCAAGTTATTATGGTGTATATTCAGTAAGGAAAACATATGGCCTTTTTGTGATATGTAAGCATTTGGAGTGAAGCAAAGTGAGGACAAAGGCTTCAGTTTTCAGACATGTGTGAAGTTGTGCACTTATGCAATAACATTGTTGATATATGGTTCAAATGTAACTAGTGACTTGCTTGGTATCTATATAAATTAAGCTGAACATGAATCTGGAGCACTTGGAATAAGACCACCAAGAGCCTTCCCTCCTCCAATTCACGGCAAACTCAATTAGGCTTAGAGTAGATTAACAAGTGACCTTTAACATCCTTTAGCTACTTTCTAATACTTTATTGGACCTGACTTTGTACTGAAATTGACATTACTTGTGTAGCTGGTAAACATTTACCTCCAGATAAGGTTCTTGTGTAGATGGGCAATTCCTTGGCCATCCGTCTCAGGACTTCCTGCTGACCTTCGCCTCGATCTTCCCGTTCTATCTGCTCTCTGTCTGTGTACGACAGATGAAACTGTGGAAAATTTAATTCAATGATATTGTCAAATATATTGAACAATGCAATAAATATACTTTGCGAGCGACTCCACTGGTTTAATAAGTTGACTGTGACGTACGCTGGGCATAATCTTTATCTTCTTGAGTTAATACTTAACACCAGGAGCCTAATATCCTCATTGACTCAATTCAGATATTTCATTACCAGGTACGTCAACTTGTCGTCAACTCAGCTCCTTATAGTAAGCCCGCTTACTTTCACCCCTCACCCTCCAGAGGCCAGACTGAAGATTAACATGGGGCAAATTAATTTCACCAAGGTAGAAACGAGTTCATGCACACAGATTGCTCACTGCTCCTACTTACCTCTTTACTTGGATTCAATGGCTTTGTGAAGATGGTTTTCCAATACGACCACACAAACATGATGAAAAGCAGATGATAAACTACAAGGCATACAACTAGAAGATAAGAGATCATAACTGTAGAAATTACAACAACCACAATTTTACATTTACATAGCTCCTGTCATGTCAGGAGGACATCTCAAAGCACTTTACTGAACTCACAAGATGCCTGACTTGAGAGTTGAGTGAAAGAGAAGTGACCAAAAAACACAGTTGAAACGGTCTTAAAAAAAAAAACCTATATATTTCAGATTTCTGTTTTAATATAATGATATACAAGGTTTGTCGGTTTTAATTTATAGTCAATTACAGGTTCACTTCTGTTCAGCAATGAGAGCTTCTAATGCTATAATTATGCTGGGACTGAAATGATACAGTAATTTGGTGTATGATATGTTGATATGGTAATTGGATTTACATACTAAGGATAAAAATATATTAAGGAGGTCTTTTTCGCCCTCCAGATTTATATTGTCCACTGCTAAAGGTGTTCATTCATGCTGAAATGTAGTTCCACAGGTACCAGATTGGCACCCTTCAGTTTCTTTTAAGATCACAAAATTGGTTCAGATAAAGAAGGCCCTTTCACCCATCTGATCTCATTCCTCCAGAATACCCACCCAACCATCGTCCCATCACAGCATCAAGCTGCCCAAAATACTTCTTTGATGTGTGACCTTAGCAATGGGATCCTGTTGGAAACTGATCCTTCACTCTAGCAAGTGATTAGTAGAAAGAACTCGGGATAATTTATCCCTCCCTTGCACAAGCACTCCTGAGGCCAATTTTAGTTTTCATATTGTTGCCCCAGAAGGGATCATCTGACTCAACACAGAGCAAGGATCAAACCTGGAACTGCTTTGTTGTCTGATTCAGCCACACACTGGGGGAAATGTTTATTAACGAAGAGCTATAAACAGTGCTGTATTATTAAACCCAACATGCTTGAGAATAGCTACCTACCTTTCTCTCCAACATTTTTCATTGAAACTGTGACAAAAAAGAAAAAGCCCAGTTAAAAACAATACAAAGATTATGGTTTGCGCACAACATTTTGTTTTTTTAATTTTTTATTGACTAGTAATGTTTATTAGGTTGTTATACAATCCTAAAAGATCATATGTAATATTGTAACCTTTACAAATTAATGAGTAAAGAGACCGAGACTATCCTCCAGGGGTGTGGGGGGGAGGGGTTAATAAGTAGGGTTATCTTGGACCTGAGCTGGCTCAAGGGTGACATGCTTGACAATGAAATGTCAGAATCATGTCACCCTTCTATGATGGTTTTGGTAATCGGTGGTAAATGGAGTCCTGTAGCATAGTGGTTAGCACGTACATCTCGCAAATGAGAGGATCTCGGTTCGATTCCTGGGCAGGATAAAACTTAAGGCAAGTTTCCTTACTCTACCTGCCTGTTTACCTAGCATTAAATAGGAACCCAGTTGTTAGTCGATTGGCGGATCGTTTTCCTGGGGCATCCCTCCAAAAAGAATTTAAAAAATTTGGTCATTCAATCCACGACTGTTTGTGGGACACTCCTGTGCCACATTTGGCCCTCAAAATACAGTCAATTCACTTCACAATATATTCCGTGAAGTGCTTTGAGATGTCTCAACAACCTTATAAGACAGTATATGAAATGCAAGGATTATTATTATTATTATGGTTCTGAGCAAGGTAGGTCCTCAGTATTCCAGGGCATGCTGATGCCAGACTAGCCAGTCTGTCTCGTTGGCAGGATTTGAGGGGGCAAACTAGTCATTAAGGGCAAGCATTCTTCCCACTCAGCTCTGGAGACTCTACGAACCCAAACCCTAAGAGGTAGGTTGGTCCTGGTTAACAACTACAATGGCAAGCTGTGTAGTTTTACAACAGCCACTAGGTTAAACTGATCAGACTCCAGCAGTACCCCAACACAGTCTGGGGTCCCCAATCTGTACCTAGTACTCTCAGGAATTAGGTAAACAGGGTGTATCCTTCCAGGGAGAGAGTGTGCATTCCATTATAGTTAAGAACATTTCCATGTGTAGGTGACATATTTTTGTGGAACTTTCAGTCCGTGTTGAATATCCTTAAGCATGTGTCAAGACAACCGGCTGGCCAAAATCAAAGTGACAGATTTGATGGTTTCAATCTTCCAGTACTGTAACAGTTTGGTTAATGGCCTCACACATTCAATGCTTGGGGACTACAATGATTAACACAAACGCTTTTATTTAAAGAAATCCTGCAATATATTGAGAAGTGAATTTTTCACAGCAACTTTTTTTAATATCTCATAAGGCATTTGCAACAAATGTACATTTCTTGCCCTGAAAATATAAAACAAAGAATCTGAGAGCTTTTCAGAGCCATAAATGACTTATTTAAACGCTTTGAGACACTACTGGCAATGAAGGCTGCATATAAATGCAGTTGTTTTCTCAAACTACAGAATTTCTGAACTGAAACACTGGTTCTTCAAGGTTCAAACAGATTGTGGAGTATCCCTAAGTCCCTGCAATTCATTGATACTGAAACATTACATCCATCTGTGCAAATCCTAGAAGTATTCAACAGCACACTTTCTCGAATTGCTGTCTACAGTACTAATAATATTCTCTCACTTCTATTCCTTTACTTCAAGTGAACCGTCCTTTGGGAAAAAAAGTAAATTCACATCTACACTATAGAGGGGCTCCTCTTTGGTCAGACTGAGACCTGTAATAATTATCACATAATAAGAGCAATTCTTCACTCTATTGTTTCTTGAAGGTTTCAAGGGTTATGTAAGCACTGATGGTAACTTGGTCTCTTTCTGAACTCTGATACTTTTGAAACTGCATGTAGGACTACACATTTTGAAAGTGCTCACAGCACTATAAGCACAGGCACAGCTCACAAGTAATATAAGCACACATAGTAAAATCATAATAAAATGATAGTAAAATCCTGTGAAACACTTTGAGACAGTTTGATGATGTAATAAGGTGCAATATCAAATATAATGATTATTATTATTATTATTTGGTTATTATAATCCAGTTAAGTATGTCGAGACACTAGCTAGACATATAGCAGGGTACTGTATAAATGTAAGTTGTTGTTGTACAATGCAATTTTTTGGGGGTCAGCTGCGTGTCTGACACATGCTGTAACCCATCACCATGCTTAAGAGTATCCAAACCAAGCTGAGAGTTCCACCCATCCCACCTATAAATGGAGATTCACAGGATATTTGTTGGAATTGGAACTCTCTCCATGGAGGGCTATATCTTCCTTACCTAATTCCAGAAAGTATTAGGCCCAGATTGGCAAGAGCTAAGGCTGTGCTTCGGGGAACTGCTGGAGTCTAACCAGTTAAAAGAGCACTGTCTGGCAAGCTTTCCCGCTGCATGTCTAGCCAGGACCACCCCACCCATTAGGGATTTAGCTTGCAGGGTTAACGGGTGTTGAGTGAGAAGAGTTACCGTCCCCAGTGACTGGTCTGTGCTGCCAATTGAGGGCAAGGATTGTCGGATCACATTTAAGTGTTAAGACAGCAAGAAAGATGTTAATTCAATTCATAGATCATTATGAGTTTCATTTATGACTTCAGCTCAGAGTTTCTCTTTGCCCTTTCCTTGATGCCATACTTACTCTTGGCTGACTGCATCCCTCTTATGAGGCAGCCAAAATTGGGGTGGTGTCATACGAAGAATCATTGGACTGTGGCCTGTATCACACTGATTCACACTATGAAATGGAGCTGGAGCATCAATGCATAATAACACCATTAACCATTGCTAGCTTTTAGAAAGGAACTATAGTAAATACATGTTTTTGTGTCGACATCAAAGACTCCACTTGCATTCATTTCCCCCTCCCCCTTCTCCCTTGCCCAATATTCAACTCCATCACTATGCAGGATTTTGAGACTCTATCCTACATAAAGAATGTTAGATGAATGCAACCTGTTGCTGGATATGAGTTAATAATAATTCTTATATTTGATATAGTGCCTTTCACATAGGGAGGACATCTCAAAATGCTTCACAGGATATGCTTGAAAGTGTAGTGACTGTATTTTGTATGTGAGGTGTAGCTTTCACCTTGCTTCTTCTTTACCTGTCTTTAATACCCAATTTGTAAAAAAAACCTATGATTTTGACTGATTTAAACAGCCTTAAATTTTCCTTTCCCTTCCTGGTTCTCTGAAAGGGAATTCAAAATAATTAAATTAATAATCTGAATTAAGTAATTCAAATTAATTAAATTAATTATCTGATTGAAGTACTCCAATATTGAAAGGAATTGACAGATGAGAGATAGTGGGCGACCGTTCCCTCTGGTAGAGAGATCTATTACAACATAGTACAAATTTATATTTCAATAGTGCCTTTCATACAGGGAGAACATCTGATGGTGCTAGATAGTCCAGGTTTGCACCTAAACTTGGAGAAGGGGCCAGGGGGTTGGGGAGGGGCAAGGGAGGGGAGGTAATGAGTGGGAGTGGGGAGATGTCCCAAAAAATCGTGAGGTGGACCTTGAAGGAGATGAAGGAGGTGAGGAAATGGGTAAACAAATGGGACTTTGGGATGAAGTTCCAGAGGGTGGGGGTAGATATGCTGAAAGCCTGATCGCCGATGGTATGGCGGTGACGTGAAGTAGACTGGTCAGAGAGAGCGACAGTGTTTGTAGAATGTTGCTGATGTAGGGTGGACAAGACTAACCCAGCTCGGATGCCAAGACACTATTGATAAGCTCCTTGGCCCATTTCTCAATGTGAAAGGCGCTATGCAAATGCAAGTTTGTATTGTGTTGTACTCAGTAATGGGTATTATAGGCACATACAGCCTAGCTCAATCCTGACTACACCTGACAACCACTGTCATATTTTCCAATAGGAATTAACTCTTGTTGATTTTTGCTCTATCCTTCTTCCATAACCCAGCATGCCCAGGACAATTCCAGCACCCTTGCTGCTATTCTGTTAAGTTTCAAGGCGCACTGGCTTTATCACTTGAGCTATTGGTGGAAATAACAAATATTTTATAATAGATTATTGAAAAAAGACAAAAGTCTATGCACATTTGCCTAAATAAAACGCAGCTCATTTCTAATCAATTGCAAATTGTATAAAGTGCTTATAATAAGATAATTTATATTATTGTTTTGTATGCTTCAAAAAGTTTGTTTTTACATGAAAGGCACTACATAAACTTATCAGCTACACAACAACTTGCATTTATATAGCACCCATCACGCAGGGTAGCATCCCAGTGAGCTTGACAGTGGCAGAGCGCAACTTTGAGGGGAGGGGGAGGTGATCATAGGCACGGTCGAAAATGAAGGTCTTCAGGCGCGACCTGAAGATGGGGAAGGAAGGGGTCAGGCGGAGAGATAGAGGAAGTGTTGCACACAGCATGCATAAAAGCCCAGTCCTGTGCACCAGCTATTCAATACTGCAGTACTGTAGAAATGGGGAGTTATATCGCTCTCCACCATAGCATGGGGTTAAAATAATTAAATTGTTGTCCCTGGAGAAGGTTCAAGATGATTAAGATATAATTTAAATCTCAACTAAAGTCTGCATGTCCTGCACTAAACACAACTGTCAGAAACAGACAAATAGAATCGTGTTACAATTGGTTTAACACAATAAAGGTGAATGTTAGTAAATTTTTCGAGCAGTGAGAGAGAAAAATGGAAAAATTCAGGAGGGAGAGGGGGGAAGGATGTGTCACTCCGACCACATTTGAACATCCTATAGCTGCCAAGGACCCAGTAGTACCGACACGGTGACCTTCTATCTTCTTATATAAGAGAGTAGTTTGTGTCAATCTAGAAGTAGAAATAATTCTGCTTGTGATTGTCTAACTGCCAGCTGCCTACAGGACTACTGGGTAGAAATTCTACCTGGGTTTAGATTGACTCTATTTTCTTACCATTTAACCATAACCAGAATTTGGCAAATTCGTGAATTCTGCTTGATTTTAAAGTCCGTTTTCTGTAAATTATCTTAACAAT